AGTTACTTTCGCATTTATAATATTAGTAAAGATTTCAAAAATACGTCCTAAGACAAGCGTTTGCTGATGCATGTACCTGTTTTAAGTAGGTAAATGGATATTGCGGATCTTTCGCTTGAACTCTATCTAAGGTGCGCGCATATTTAAATTAAACCAAATATTCAAAAATTTTGGTGATTATTAAGAACCCATGATTATAAAGCTATTGTTTGTAAAAGAGTAAGTAGGTGTTTTAAAAACTTCCGAACTAAGGTTTTTGGAAAACCCGACAATCAGGTACGCGAAGTTGCGAAATGATTAGATCAGTCAGATCAATCTAGGTATATTATGGGAACTATTAGTACAACAACATTTATCTCATTTTATATGAAAGTTACCCCGTTCCTATCGGTCCGAAGGCGTAACTCTCCCTGCTTACCTATACATGCACGCACCCTGACTGCGTAGGAAGGTACAATATTGCTACCTTACGTAGGTAGTTACACCTACACGTGTAGATCCTACCAATCTTTGGCCCATTGCGATTTTTCCTGGAACGGGAAAAGTGAAAATTTAAACAATTAAAAACGCCCTAACTTAATTAGTTCAGGCCCACCCACTGTGGCCTTACATAAGATTTTGTAGTAGGTGCTACTACTAATCTGTGTTACTTAACTGACCAACCTACTTTAACTAACCCACTGAGAGGTCGCTGACCTTTCTACGTTTTCCAAGGTCATGAACTTGTGACATTCAGGATAAAACATCCCACGCTTCCGGTCTTCAAATTGGCTTGATGTCTGACCTAAAAGCACTGAAGGGCCGGAAAATGATGAAAGTAATTTCGCTGAAATACTTTTGCGGCATAAATACAAACACAGATAAAAAGTATACAAACCGGTTTCGGGGTCTGTCTCCTCAATCCGAGGACATCAAGCACTCATCACCTTCAACACTTGTAACTCGCGGCGCGGCGTGGGTCGCGGAACTAACGCGGTGATAACGCAATGAAAGCGAAAGTGCTTTTTGATGTGCGTTGTATTTACAGTTTAACAAGTGTGGCGGCGCGGCATGAGCCGACGACTGTCGGTGAGGACGCGGGAAGGTCGCCTGCCGGCTCGCGCATGCGCCGTATGTCGGCCAGCCAATTTTGCGGCCAACACTGCCAACATCCTGACCTCTGGCAAACTTTCGGCGTAACGGCCACACTTATTCCCAACTACTAATCTTAAAGATGGTGGTTCAACCTCTACTTCGCAATTACCTCTATTTTTTATCTTTACTGTTGGCCTTAATACCTATGCAATGAGGTTCTGAAAATCATAACAAGTACTTGAAGCAATTAATTTATTTGCAACGAGTATTTAACACTGTGCACCATTTCACCTAAATGTTATCACATTTTGAATAGGTACTTAACTTACATTATCTATTTAGTTTAAAAAACTTCTTATTGTCTAGAAAGTTTTCATTAATACTTTTGAGATAAAATAATCACATTAAAAATTGAGCTCGTCATGCCATTTAACTGGCTAAATGCATCCACATTTACATCCAATACAATAAATAAAATTAAAAAACATAATAAAGAAATAAATCCTCACTTATATCCATATTAAATAAGGATTTATCATTTAGCTCTGAATTAAAACAGAGTAGTTAGGTGTCTATTAAATTTGCAGACCTACTGTTTTAATTCAGATTAAGACAAATTCAATTATAAGACATTTACACAAGTGGACCACACAGTTAATAATGATCACAATGTGCAAATTAGTAATAGTATTAACATAATATTTAAAAAATTAATAATACATAAAGGAAAACATAACAGATACATTTCAGAGATTAGCTTAAATACTATCTTAATTAATTGAGATCATAATAAGACTAGAGCAAATAATATCACAGTGCAACATTTTAGGACGATACCAGGTGTGTTAATAAATGGTAGAGCCTAAGCTTTATTTCTTTGGTAGCTCTTGCTCTGGGGGTACCGGCCTCTTTGGAGGGATTTGCACACTTCTCCAACATTTCAGTCAACACTCTCGGGGTTCGAGGACCAACGAGCAGCCCTGGTACCATCACCCTCCCAGACATCACCCAGCCAAGAAATATCCTTTCACAAAACATCTGCAGGTTATTATTAACAACTCCATGCTGACATTTATTCGTTATCAAATTACAAAATGATCTACAGTCCAGGAAATCACAGTCGCTATGCTTCTTACACTTGGATCCATCAGCTGTGATTTTGTTGATCACACTTCGTGGGTGCACAGAATCAAGATCAAGGTACATCACCTTTTTAAAATCATTTGTCACACCAAAGTTGCTAACCTTCACATCACATAGATGCAATGGTTCTGGCAGTCTCTCCTCTAACAGCATCAAGAAATCTAACATCATTATGGACACTTTGACTCTTCTCTCCCATTCCTCTTTGGTGTCATAAAAGGTCATCAAATGCCAATATGCAGATAGAGAATCCAGTTTCTGAACAGCATACATTGAACCACATGACCCAACTAGCCTTGGGAATATTCCATATTTCTCATAAAGAGATAAAGCAAGATATTCATTATTTTGAAGAAGGGACCAAGCATTTTGCATTTCTACTTGTCGACTAATTTGTTTTTGATTATATTGAATATATGACATCCTTTTGGCATCAACAATATCTACAGAAATATTAAATTTTATCTTAATATTGTTTTTCACTATATTTAAGAATTCATTTTCAGAAATGTTTGACTCCCAAGGGCTATTTGATGTTTCTTTGACAGTCTTAAACACTAAGCTTTGGTTCTTCCAGGTACCAGAGAAAATAGTATCTTTTTCCATGTAGAAGGAGTGACAAGAAACTGAAGATATCCCGTCTGGCTCACACATATCTTGACATAGGCTTCCAACAGACTGTCCACTGCCGTAGCTGAGACACTGAAAATTGATAAAATAATTTTCAAAAACTATGTTAATACTTAAACCAAAGAACTTTTATTAACCAGAAAATGATAAAAAAAAATACTTACAATTTTCTGAATATGCATGCGAGGCTGCATATTGATGCACATTAACTTCCATCGTAGCAGAAATAAGAAGGCGCATAACAGACAGAAAAGCGCAAAACATCGACGCTTTATTGATTTGCATAAATGTGCAAAGGACCACTCGCAAAAATATTGCAGTCTTCTCATTTTATTAGCTTCTTGACATTTAGGCGTTCCCAATTTGCAAAGTACAGCTGAAAGATGATATACATTTTATGATTAACATTTCCTAATTTCAAGAAAATTTTAAGAACGAAAATTACAATGCACCTGTCATATTATTTTTCTTACCTTACGGAATTTATTAAATTCCAGATTGATTTGTTCAACTTATACATAATAAAATATTTCACAGAACTCACATTTACAGAATTATTTATTAATTTACGTTAGAAATTAGAATACAAATGAAAATCATACAAATTACAAAACAATTTTGAATTATTAATTAATTTGACATTTTTGACATTGACAATGACACCGCCGATCATTGACAGCTGTGAATCGTCTGTTGTTTATTTTAACGTCTGGTGAGGAGTACATCATTATTATATTTGGAGATGCTTTAGGTAGCTGTGTGTATCTGCCTTATCTTTATGATCTGCCTCTAAACAAAATCGAGTGCCCATTACCATATGGCCATATGCGAATAGTGGCGATTTGCGGAATGATGGGAATGGGAGATGGGAGTATGGGTCAGTAGATGGGACAGCACAATCATGCTTATTATGCATGAATTGGACAAATACATACTATATTGGCTTACTCAATGGATAAATTATCCTTGTAATTTTGCAAATAGAGGGAACGACTCTTTTTGCCCATTAGGCACGACGCCCAACGCCCAATATTGGGAGAATCTCAAGCAGGGGATTGTCTCCAACAGATTTATTTCCCTATAGGTATTTAGGATTTAGGAATTTATGGAATAACTACCTACCCACTGTGGCAAGTGTCCCAGATAATTAAAATAATTTTGAAGGACCTACTCGTAGTCGTAGTACCTCCTGTACCTCTGTGGTAGTACTGGTAGTACCTATTTTGTTATAGTAGGTACCTAAGTACATAAAAGTCACAATTAATCATCTAGCGGTACCTTCCAAAGAGCATGTACCTTCAACCTCTACTCTGTATTATTAAGGTAGTTGAATGTGTGCAGGATACCGTGACACACATTTCTTGTGTAACATAGAACACAATGTCCCATCACAATAAGCTGTGGGAGAACTACACACCACCTACCTACCTCTCTTGTCTGTAAATCCAAGTTATTTACATTATGTTATTGTTGTTGATTACTGGAACGTATTTGGTCTTCAAAGATGAATCATACATATTGTACAGACAACAGCACATCAAGCTACTAAACACCAGTATCTTATGCCATTGTAATAAGGGTGCTTTTACTACAACCATGTTTAGTCTGTCGTCTATTACCTACCTACCTGCTACTGAAATAATGGAATGATAATTATGTAACTCAATCAAAATGAGTAAGCATACAGTTCAAGACACATTATATAAACATTTTAAAACCTGTACTGCAATTTAGACCGTGACACTTTCACTTAAAAAACATAATAGACAAACAGTGTGTGATAACCAACGTCGCTCTGTAATCATCCGATATCTACCTGCCCGGCCGACTACTTAAACTATATTATGCGAAAAATTCGTTGTTTATAACAAAACTAGCTGACCCGGCGAACTTTGTTCCGCCTTAATGGCAATAAATAAGCAGACTTTTTTTTTAATTTCGAACGGGATAAAAAGTATCCTATGTCCTTCTCCTGGCTCTAAACTACCTCCCTGACAATTTTCAGCTAAATCGGTTCAGCCGTTCTTGAGTTATAAGTGGAGTAACTAACACAACTTTCTTTATAGATAATCTGATCTGAATGGTCTGACAAAGTTAATTAAATCTGCCAAAATAGGCTAGGGTTTGGTCACAAAAAGAAAAAAAAACATAGTAAACAAGCTCGTTTCGACTTTTTATTCATGTAAATTTGCAGATATAATTAATACAAATGGTCATGTAAATTGGGAACTATGATAAATTATATAATATTAGCTGGTTAAGAGGACACTGTCTTACTCTGCCTCCAGATGTCTGACGACTCCAGCCATTGTTAATTTAGATGACTCATTGAATTATACAAAAAGGCAGTCTCGGAGGTGTGGCATTACAAATACTGTCTTATTCCTAAAGTTTACATTATGAGATTTTTATTGTGTAGTGATAAAACACAAACTTAAACTATGTGAACATACTACCTGAATGGCTACTGTACGCATGCATGACTTTACATTAGGTTCCTCACTTCTAGGTGGTAGTGCCGAGCTATTTCAACTAATAAATTCCTAAGAGATTAATGTGACAAAACCTATATTGTCTACATGTCATACATCACAATTTTCCTAAAGCTATCTGTACAGTTTGGGTAATTTAAAATTGTCTATAACAATGCCAATGCTATGTTGTGTTTCACCAATGTGTCTACAAACTTGAGCAGCGCGTATCATATACCTCGCTACTAATATTACAGGGAACTTTGTTGTTTAGCATTATTCCAATAGTTGCACACAATTTACTTTCTGGATCAAAGATCGTTAACAAAACAATCTAGATACAAATTAAATAACTCACAAACAAATCCATAAATAAACTTTGATTCAAACATAAATTGCTGAAATACTTTGTATGTTGACACTACTGATTTCATGAATGTACAATCATTCACTAAAGACAGAGAGCAATGTGTACTATTCTTCAGACTCATTCTTTTCAGGATAGCTCGTCTTCAACCATGGGTGCTGAAGGCACTCATAGGCAGTGGCACGCCTGTTAGGGTCAAAGTCTAACATGGGTTTTAGAAAATCAGCAAATTCCTCTGCATCATTTTGACTCCATTCATACTTCTCAGTTAGAACAGACACCAAGCCCCAGGGCTTTAGCCCAGTTATGTTCCTCAACTCACCTTTCTTGTTAAAAAATACTTTTGAATATTTTCCTGATGCTGCAATACGCTTGGGAATGTCTCCAAGTAATTCAATAATATGAGCTAAATGATCTTCATCCCGGGTGTAGCCATCTCCTGAATGAGGCTCAAACAGGTAATCTCCAGTAGCTAATTCAAAAGCCATGCAGGCTGTGCTCCAAATGTCAGCAGACGTTCCGTAGCCAGCACTCAATAACACTTCCAGGGAGCGATACTGCCGTGTTTGGATATCTTCAGTAAAATGCCTATGCACCCAGCATGCATTGCCTAAATCAGCAATTTTCACTTCTAAGTCACAGATATCAAATGCTGGATCAGGTTGCTTATCCATTGACTTCTCTTTCATTGACTGTGAGTTGAGAGAAGGTGGTGTGTCGGTCATCTCACCCTCGGACATGGGTGTGCCAGCGTCATCACCACAGCCATACTGTTTGCTCCGCACCTGCACTGCTTCAGCATCAGTATCAAATGCTTCGTCATCAGCTCTTCTTATTATTTCACTACACCCATTCAATGTAGCATCATTTTCAGAGCGAGTATCAATAACACTAGCTTCTTCTGGAGTCGGTGGTGAATCATCATTGTCCTGAGACATGGGAGCAGACTCACTGTTTTCAAGTTTCTTTTGCTCTTCCATTTCTTCTATTTGCTCCATTTGTTTTTTTAGCAACATTGACTGACGTTTAGCTTTCTTCTTTAACTTTTTCTTTTTATTTCTGCTCATTTTAGCTGTCACTACCTGCTCTTGAAACTCTTTCGGGGCAGTACTAATGAGGGAGTGTGGTAGTCTTAGGCCAAGAGTGTGCAACTCAACGGCCTCAGCTGCAAGTTTACGTATGTATGTCTCATCTACACACACCAACACATTCTCTGGTTTAATATCAGTGTGTATTATCTTACACTTGGTGTGGAGGTAATCCAACCCCTCCAGCACTTGACGTATTATTGTTTTGACGTTTTCCCGTGGAATACCTCTGTAGTTGGACTTGAGTATCAACTTGAGTAGATGATGGCCCAGCACTTCAAACACCATGCACACATGCGTTCCATTGACACCAGTAATTTTAAAATCGTTGAGAAGTTGCACGGTCTTATTCCTTTTCGGGTCGGAAGGGTCGCTGTCGCGTACAGCTTTCAATATTTTAATTTCGTCTAGAGCCGTCTCCGTGAAGTGGGGCGCCGATTTGACAACTTTCAGCGCCGTGAATCTTTTGTCGACAAGATCCCAACACAACCATACCGTCGAAAAATGACCCCAACCCAATTTTCTAGTGACGTGGTATCGACTCTGGAACAAGTCCCCAATTTTGACAGGATGATATCCACCCTTACAATAGTCGGCGCTGTCTTCCTGTTCCTCATCGTCACTGGTGTATTGTTCGTCCTCGTCTTCTTCGATCGTTTCATTGGAAGAACTATGTGTCGGTTCCAAACGGTTTTGATTTTGGTTGCGCAGCCCGTTTCCTTGTCCACCACCGCCGTGATCCTCCTCACGGTTTTTCTTCTTGGCTAGTTTATGTCGTTTCTTCTTCGCCTGAATGGCGAGTACTCTTCTATTTACATCTGATTTAGAACTCATTTAGTAAATTAAAACACTTTCAACAACTTGCAATAAATATAAAATTTATCTTTTCATCTCAATCTTTTTGTTTGAGTATGGCGGCCGGTCGCAGAACAAAATGCGTTCGAACATGAAATGAAAGATGTTGCTAGGATAAAAAATATATCATAGACAATAAATGTATGTTTTTAATGATCTTAATAAAAAACAGGAGAATCTAAAAACAGCCAAGATATTGCCAAGTTGATAAATGATATCATTGTTTTTTAATTATACCTTTTTGTACCTTATTGAATTTCAAATGATTAAGTACAATAAGATTAAGTACAAGTTAGTTTTATTTGTATACGAGAGCTTATAGAAACACAAAGTTTTATACTACATGCATCATAACATAACCTCGAACTGAGCCCCGATTACGGTAACTTTTTTTTAACGTCAACAATCCAGACACGCTTCTCGATTCTGCGATACGATTGGTCGTTCAACAGTGTACGTCAGCTGTTTTGACCAATCGTATCGCAGAATCGAGAAGCGTTTCTGGATTGTTGACGTTAAAAGTTACCGTAATCGGGGCTCTGAACCAGTCAGTTAGTTGCATTAGAGTAGGCGCACACCGTTGATTTTTAGTTGGCCGATAGTTGTGTTGTGCCCGATTTTAATTTGTATGAAGAATCGGCCAAATCGAATCGGCGTAGTGTGCGCACTCCCATACATGCCCATACTGATCAACTGCCCACTGCCCGACTAAACTGGACTAAACTATCGGCCGACGAAAAATCAACGGTGTGCGCCTACTCTTAAGCGGTAAGAAGCATACAATTTTAAACGATTGAATTATCCTTAGTATGAACGGAGCAGAGTAGAGAAAGTGTCGGGGCGTCAATTCTTCTAAAATATTTGATTAATTATTATGGTTGTAGGCTTAGATTAATAAAACCTAGATAGATAGTCAGTGCACGAAAGGTGAGGCAGTTTTTAGGGAGCCGGCACGGCTCACCCGTAAACGTCACATGAACTGTCAAAGTGAAAAATTGGTAAACACGTCCGACGAATTTTAATTAATTAAAACGGTTTGTGCTGTGTAAGGGNGTGACATGTCAATAAAGTTTTCAGTTACTGTTGCCATTAAAAGAAATTAGTACCATTAGTTTTCGCAACATGGCGAGGGTTTTTATGTTCCTGGTCAGGCTCTAAAAGTAATATTAAATGAGAGGAAAAAAAAGTCTTCGCATTTTTCGAAAAGTAAAAAAATACTCCTAGCGCCCGGTCCCGTCCAAGCGACTGTACTGGCACGGTAATACTATCTATACAGTATTCCAACTCGGCCATATTTTTGAAATAAATGTCAACAGTCGCGCGGTACGTCACAGTATGACAACATGCGATAGGGCTGCCCACCTACAGTACCCAGTTTAATTACATCTGCCTACTTACAATTTCTATCTAGTTTTGTGATTGTATTTTTTATTTAGTTAGACAAACAAAATACTTTGGGAATGGAATAGGCTAAAAATGTGTGTAACTTTGAAGATCGCGCGCCTAGGTGCCGTTCAGGACACTACTTCGAACAGCTGTTGCTAGCCTCTCGCCACGTCGCCTGTAACTTTGATGGCCTGTACCTTCACTAGGAAGTCACTTACCATGATGCGTAGTATTGGGATTTGGGTTGCACGAAGATGTTGCGCGGCTGTTTGTGCAGCATGACGATGTTCAGGACACTACTTGTCGAACTGCAACTGTGCGACTGGCACCCGCAGTGAGTGTGCGAGCGCGACAGCAACATAATTACGTGCGAGCGACAAGGATGGGTAGCTAGGGGTCATTGGACAAAATTCTACGTGCTCACGGACCGGGCTTTAGTAACTTGGATGGTCTGTACCTTGACTAGGAAGTCACTTACCTTCATGTGTAGTGTTGGGCTGCACGAAGATGTTGCGCGGCTGTTTGTGCAGCATGACGATGTCCCGCCAGCGCGCCCATACCCCGTCCAGGCGACTGTACTTGTCGAACAGTTGCTCGCCGCTCGCCACGTCGCCTGTAGCCTTGATGGTCTGCAACTTCACCAGGAAGTCACCTGGAAGGAACGAATAATTTACGTGGAGGGTAATTGCTTGGGAAGAATGGAAGATGTGCTTGAATAACCAATATTTCCGATCCGAAGTTGAACAGTGAGAATCACCTAACTATCATCTATATCAATAGAAATAACGAAATTTGATTGTTTATTCAAACACATCTCTCAACTTTGGCGGAAACCGGGTTTTACAAGTATTGGTTCTTTATAATCCTCCTATCATTAACGTCGAAAACAATGAAACAAAAATTTAAAGTAGATCTAAACAAATCTGTTGTTATTTTGAACTGATAAATAATAGAGGGCCTGTCCACTTTTCTACGTCACGTCAAGACATCGTCAACGTGGAACGGTGCGGTGTCGTGCCGTCGTCGTAAATCGACGTGGCTAGGGTGCACTCGCTCAGTTAGCCCAATAATAAGAGTCGTATCTTTTGTAAGAACCTACCAATGATCCTCTTGCCGTCTGTAGCGAGACGGTCCTTCTGTAGAGTGAGCAGCAGGTTCTTGCCGGGCTCGGTCTCGGCGACGGTGAGCAGCCCGGCGCCTTCTAACTCCAGGAGGCGCATGAGCACAAAGCGAGTTGCAGTAGCACGCAATAGACATGCAAAAACCGACTCTCTTGTATCACAATAAGACCTATCAATTATCCTCTTGCCGTCTGTAGCCAGTAAGTAAGTAGCAGGTTCTGTTAGTATGCAAAAGATATGCTAAAACCAACTCTTTTGCAAGTAAATAAGACCTACCAATGATCCTCTTCCCATCCGTAGCGAGGTGGCCCCTCTGCAGCGTTTTCTTCTAGCAAGCAATAGTCATACTAAAACCGACTCTCTTGCACCTACATAAGACTTACCAATGATCCTCTTGCCGTCTATACCCAGTGAGCAGCAGGTTCTTTTAGTATGCAAAAACCGACTCTTTTGCAAGTAAATAAGACCTACCAATGATCCTCTTCCCATCCGTAGCGAGGTGGCCCCTCTGCAGCGTTTTCTTATAGCACTTAATAGACATGCAAAAACCGACTCTCTTGTATCACAATAACACCTACCTATGATCCTCTTGCCGGCGGCGCCAGGCGCCTTTCTGATAGCACGTAATACACATGCAAATATCAACTCTGTTGTAACTGAATAAGACTTACCAATGATTCTCTTGCCGTCTGTAGCGAGACGGTCCTTCTGTAGAGTGAGCAGCAGGTTCTTGCCGGGCTCGGTCTCGGCGACGGTGAGCAGCCCGTCGCCTTCTAACTCCAGGAGGCGCATGAGCACGAAGCGGGCACGTGCGTGCGCCTGCACATAAACGTTATTATGGTAATTTAATAATAGGGTTGACAACCCCTGTCATTTGACACTTTTTATGCGCTGTTATAACGCGATTTTGCACCTATACAAACGTCATGATAGGTACAGTAATTAACATAGTGTTGACACCACCAGTGATTTTGTTGTTTTTATGAGCTTAGTTAATTAAAAGCGAGCGATTCTTTTATAGGTGTTGTATGGTTAACAAGTTATGACTATAATATAACTTCACAGTGTGTGATAACATAAATATTAGAGAATGTTGTGACAAATATCGGAATATCAGCATGAAATGATAAATATTTCATGACGTTTATTTTGGAATTTTTAGACAGCGCGTCTCCTACAGTGGCCACTGTACATTTTAGCAGTGAGGTCAGGTATCAAAATTAATTGCAAATCAAAAAATCAAATATAGTTGTTGCAATTCACGAGGGCGAGTGAGCTTTCCATGTGTGGTGGCTCGCTACTGTTCGTTTTTCAGTTTTGATATACATTACACTATCATTATGTACATGTAAACACACAATTAAAGCTCACTCGCCTTCGTGAGTTGCAAGAACTATAAACTATAGGCTTCTTCCACAATTCCCCGTTGACAATCCCAGTCAACGGGGAATAGTGAACTTTTTGTTCACTAATCCCCGTTAACGCCAAATGGAGCTTATAAAACTTATAATGGGGGAATAATGAATTAAAAAGTTCATTAATCCCCATTACGTTAAAAATAAAATCCTAATATAACGGGGATTAATGAACTTGTTAGTTCATTATTCCCCATTATAAGCTCCAATTGGCGTTAACGGGGATTGTCAATGGGGAATAGTGGAATAAGCCGGAACTATACCTGCAGCCAAGTCTTGGTGGAGGGCTGGTACATCTCGGTGGCCTTGGCGGCGCCGTTCCACAGCAGGCTCAGCCAGTTCACGTACGTCACGTTTTGAGCCTCCTCGCCCTCGTAGCCGAAGATTCTATCAGAGTAAATACAAATGAGTAGGTCATCTTCATAGAAACGCCCGAGCGCGGTTAGTATGTGAGCGCGCCAATACGTATGCGGCGCGCGACACATTGACAAAATTTAGCGTGGATTAGGTAAAGGTAGCAGGGAAGCGCTGGACGCAGACCGCTGCCAATCGATCAACATGGAAAGCATTGGGGGAGGCCTATGTTCAGCAGTGGACGTCCTATGGCTGAAATGATGATGATGATGAGCGTGGATTAGCGGTGAGCGGCGCCGCATACGTATTGGCGCGCTCACATACAAAGTACAAACCGAGCTCGGTGCGTTTCTATGAAGATGACCTACTCATTTGTATTTACTCTGATTCTATCACATTAAATAATATTGATCAACTAAAGAGATTAGAAATAAGACATCTTCATTATGAAGCTGAGAACTTAGTTGGTAAAAAGTTTGTTGATAAGCTAAGTTTTAAAAAGTCCTATCAACAATTTTACGAACAATGAAAAGGAGTTTTTAGGTTTGTTTCGATATTAAATTAAGTAGCATCATTATTAAATATTTTTTATTAATTAAGTCTACAGTTACAAGAGTAATGGATAAGGTAAGGATTGAATAAATTAAAAGAGAACGACACACAGAGATACATTCATTTTATCTGCCACGCCCATTTAAAAAAAGTATTTATTATTTTTTCTAAACAATGTAAAAGTATACTGTGACGTAACGTCTCTGATGCTAAAAAATGTTCGATATAATATCACAGAATAATAATAAGTACTACGTACAGAAGTTTTACTTCGCGAAGGTATTTAAAAAATGTATGCTCAATGTCACTATGACACAATATGGTGTAATTTAGCGTGTCTCAAGAGTCGATCACCATTTTGTTGACAAATGTCAGTGATCAGCACTGCGCCGAAGCTATAGGGCTGACTTCGGTAAAATGATGTGACGTGAGGTGCCAAACTGCAGAAAATGGCGGAGGAAATACATAATTTAGCATGAATTATCATGAATAATATTAACTACTTATTTACCTCTCAGTGTCTTCAGGTAACTTAAAAAAGTACATTCTGTATTTTTATTATCATTTAGGCAGTTAAATACTGTACAGTATTTAGTACACCATTTTTTCCATCATACACAAGAATACGCGTGCGTGAGTCAATGCTCGCTCGTATGTGAGGCCTTGTCGAATAGTAATCCTGTAGGGGGCCATCGTGCGTGTTTTGTTTTCGATGTAAACTCGCGGAGATGAACAGGCCTGGTAATATACACAAAAGAGGTGACTCACTTGAGTATCTCGGTATCCAGCGAGAGGTAGAGACCGACGGCCTCGGCGCGGCACTCCTCGAAGGCCGAGCCCAAAGTTGTGAACTTGCTGTCATATGTCTCGCCGTCCGTGTACCATGACTCGATTTGTTTGCCTAACAGAACAATAAAGGATGAAACATTTTGTCATTCGATTTTCAACATTATAATAAGGTGGTGAAGTTCAAATTACATTGTAGTAATTCATAGAATATGTACAGAGAACTTGCTGTAGTAAGTTTCATCGTCCGTATACCATGACTTGATTTGTTTGCCTGTTGTTAGCAAAAAAAGAATAGTCAACCGATTTACAACCTTATTATAAAGGGAGACAGTTCAAAATCAATTAGAGAAATTTATCGAATATACAGATTATAGCATACTCTTGGCAATCAAAAGGACTTGAAAAATCCTATTCTGCATCAATTAGTACCAAACTGTAGGTATGTATAATCCACCATGAAGAACTGACCTGTTAATGGATTCTTAACTTTCTCCTTATCAAAGTTGAAACTGCCATCGGCGTTTTGACGCAGCAGTTTCCCGCTGCCGTGGCCTAGCAACTCGTGTAGGCCTACTTGTACCTGTTCAAATGGAAAATTAAAATAAAATACGAGAAAAAAATTAAAAACCTACTTGCAAAATGCAGGAGAACCAAAGTAACCGACGAAAATCAAGTGGCAGTGGGCGGGGCACATAGCTCATAGAGACGATGGCCGTTGGGGCAGGAAAGTTCTCGAGTGGCGACCACGGGCTGGAAGACGTAGCGTGGGCAGGCCTCCTACTAGGTGGACCGAAGATCTGGTAAAGGTCGCGGGAAGAGCCTGGATGCGGGCAGCGCAGAACCGTTCATTATGGAAAACCTTGGGGGAGGCCTTTGTCCAGCAGTGGACGTCATTTGGCTGAAACGAACGAACGAACTTGCAAAATGTAAATGATTTGTATGAGTTTTAGGCCCGGAGAAAGAAAGAAAAATATACTTTTATTACTTTAGGACACCCAGATGTCAAGTAAAATTGAGAAAAAAGTAAATGAATGGCACCAAAACAAACGCCAATGCAATGGTGTCGCCATCATGGTGATGCTCATTATAAACTACACTTTCATTAGAAGTAATGTTATGTCCAGAACCTACCTCAAAGGAGGCCACCCTGTATTTTTCCAGCAGTTGCTTGTCGGAGTCTGAAAGGAACGGGATGACGGACTCCTTGTACGCGGCTGGGATGACGTTGCCGAGCGACACGTTCTTGAAGCCTTCGTTTTGGCGGATTTCATCGTCTGAAATCACAATAAAATTACATGAAATTAAGGTGAAAAGTATGCTCGCATAAGTCGGTCTTGCGGTAAGTCTGTAAGAGGCGTAGCGTAAAAGAGGAGCCACAAGAGCGTTGCGTCGCCGTCCGTCAATTCAACGCATCGTGTGGCATATCGTTCAGTTTTATATGTAGAACGACGGAGCGTCACCGCTCAGTCGACGCACATCTAACGCACCGCACAGACATAGCCCGTGTGGCATCTCTCTTATAGACGCGTATTCCTCTTTTTACGCACGGTGTAAAAAACTACAGAGTAAGGGGATATGCTGAGCACAACTTATCAGCTATTAGGTAATTGACACAGAATCCATTTAAGGTCTCTTCTACCCACTACACCGTATCATACCATAACAGTGCTAGGAACGTGTCAGGCACGGAAAGCAACACGATACGCTCTACTATGCCCACTGAACGGATCGAAAATATTCTCGCCGACATTTTGTTGACGCTCCGTGCATGGCACGCGACGGTGTTGGTCGGTGACGGAACGGTCTACTGGACTAGTATTATATTATCTGTGCTACTGGGAACAGTGTCATACTTTTCAATACAAATAATATGTATTTGCCTGACACGTTCCTAGCACGGTCATGGTATGATACGGTGTAGTGGGTAGAGACCTTTAAAAGTATGCTGAAAGGTGGTGTTAACTACTCTATTGTCATCATTCCGCAACTAAGCACTGACTTAGCGGTATGGTCCTGCAAACGGACGACTGATGTCGTTTCAAAACATTTGAAAGAGCCTTAAAGGTTACACACTTATCAACCCAGAAAAGAATCAACACCGTATCGACTTTCGCCGCGCTGTCAACCGAGGCGAGGCGTTTACGTTGCAGTACGGAGTTTTATAAAAATAATACTGAACACGTCCAGTTGATACGTTTACGATCCGTTTCCGGGTTGACAAGTGTGTTTCGTCCTTAAAGATGTCTTTATTAGTGTGACTTACAGTTGGGAATGTTGATCCCGGCGGGAATCCCGCTGCCGGAGAACGTCAGAACATCCAAGCTGGTGAAGTCAGGCCGGAGGAACGAGTCCTTCTCCAGATCCTCGCCCCATGGCAGCAGTTTGATGAACCTATTGATGACGTCATTTATTTATTTAAAACTTTATTGCACGTAAAATAAGGTACAAATAGAAAAATGGGTGAGTCCTAGTCAAAAAATGTGTCAAAAAGAAATCGAATAGGCTCGTATTTATTTTGATTATTTATACAAATGTCAACTAATTGAACGGTCCATTAGTAAATACACAAATAGTAAATATTCGTGGTGTGTATGAGTTGGTGCAGAAAACATGATTATTTTATTATTCACTTCAAGGAATTTAAATGGAAAAAAAGACAGTTTCTTGTGACTCTTATAATAGTGTGTGTGAAAATAGGAACCATGGGAGAGTAACTATAATGTATCTTAGGTATATTAGTGACATACCTCTCAGCGCCGTCGACGAGGTCTCCAAACTTCTTGGACATCTCCTTGTTGACCATCGCCACGAAGCCTTCGAACTCACCGCGCTGTCCGGTCGGGTCGCGGTATGTTTCAATAAAACCTTGGTACCTGAAAGTTAGTATATTTTACAGTTATTTTAAATTTGAGAAGAAATACGCTAAATGAAATGATTCAACATGTTCACTGATAAATTCATATTTCAAATGAAAGTTAACTAACAATTTGAACAACCAGCCCTGAAATTAATATTTTTTAAGATGATTCCGAAGATGCACTAGTGGAAATTGAAATAGGTAAAGCTTGTGCGACGGGCGCCCGCAGTGAGTATGCGAGCGCGACAGCAACATAATTACGCGCGAGCGATAAGGATGGGTAGCTTGGGGTCATTGGACAAAATTCTACATGCTCACAGACCAGACTATAGATTGTTTTTATTTCTGTCTGTAATTTCAGATAGTATTGGTCAGCATCAGACATACATACGTTTCAATAATAGGTCCCTTATCCTTGATCCAGTATCTGCTGCCTTCTTTGTGCTCATCCAAATCGCCTTCCTTGAAACTGTTGATGTAATGTTTTAACATGTTCTTCTCATTTTCATTCAAAGCATACTCCTTGGCTTTTTCCAGGTTTTCATTCACCAGTTTGAGGAGAGGGGAGTAGTCTCCCCTCGTCACTTGGAAGTAGGCGTTCTTGTATTTTTCTTTTTCCATGGTTAGCGGTGGTTTAGATGAGGTTTCGACACTCGCCAAATGAACAGTGTACAAGGGCACTACAATTAAATAAATAAAAAAGTTATAAAGTCTCAAAAATACATACAAAAAGTTTCATACGTCAATAGATGGCACTAAATGTCAAGTCATGGTAAAAACCTGGCCATAAACAAAATAAGAAGAAGAAATATTATTCTTTTAATAAAAGTCTTATGAATGAAAGTCATGAAAAGCACTTGTTACATACGTCCATCATCAGCTGTGGTCTTGAAAGTCCTGCATATGTACGCTTCAATGCGCTTTGTCTTCATCCAGTCATTCACTAAGTTTGAGTCTGCCTCAGTGCAGTTACTTGAGAAGTATGTTGTTACACCCTGAAATTTCATACATTTTAAGGAACACTTTGTTAAAAGAAACAGTTCTTTTATAAAAAAAAGGTACAGTTGAGAGCATATGAAACACATTTTTATTGCAAATTGGAACTTACTAAAACTACATAAGATGCTACATGTTTAGGTTCATGTGTTTTGTACAATAAAAAAAGTAAACAATGCATAATCTTTTAATAAGACTGATAAAGGACTACAATATCAGTGTAATCAGCAGATGAATGAGAGCTAAACAAATATGCACACAAATAGTGTGCAATGCGCATACTCTTGAATGATGCCCATGTATGGGCAATATCCAAGCAAACTAGATTACCTTGTCAGCCAGTCCGAGGCTGGTCAGTCTTGGAGTGAGGCTATAAATAGCATTCTTGTTATTCTGCCAGAGCTTTGTTATATGAGTGGTGTCATTTTCAAAAGCTTTCGACGCCTTTACAATAATCTCAAAGGATTCCTTCGAGAGATTTGGAATAATTTTTGTGTCCCCAAACCCTTTGTAGTTACCACTGTTGGCAAATATTCCACCAGCATATACTAGGAAAGCCTGCAATGATGAGAAAAATGTGGTGTAATAGACAATTGAATTCAATGGTTGTTTTTGTAGAAAACCACAATCATAGAAACTTTATGATAAAAATTGATACAATGTTAAAAGGATGTGGTTTACTATCAATCTTAAGTGAACTAGTTTTGATAAAAAATTAGACTATTATCACAACATTCAAAGTTATTCAAATATCTAGGTTAATTTATTTTTTTAAGAATGATTCTAATTTCTAATTAGAGTGCTAAATTAAAAAACCTTCAATAAATAGTAAGAAACTTGCACTATCTTAGATATTGATATAATATTCACCTGAAAATCATCTTCACTGGCTCCAGCTTTCAGTGCAGATTGTTTGAGACTCTCCAGAGGTTCCCCAAGGAATATCCGGTGTAACAGTGAAAAAATTCTTGGAGATTCGGGGCTAGTTTGGAGAAGCACTATTAGCCCACCATTCCAAGCTGCCTGAAAGACATATTAACATTTACATACTTTGAACAATAGAAAGGGAGATTAAGAAAATGGTAAGTGACTTACGTGACTTAAATAATGAGCATACAGTTTCTCCTGTTTAGTCAAGTTATTAAAGGCTTGTGAACTATCCAGTTCCACAAATCTCTGATTATTTGGAAGTAAAAAATTTGAGTTGTCTACAGCCATTGCTGAAATAAATGTAACAACATTGGTAAAATTTCAATAAAAAGCCTTTGTTTAGATCACAAGAGGCTTGTCATTAAGCGAAAATAAATAGCTACATAAATATGCTACATATTATAATAAGCGTATATTTTACTGACCATTAACTACTTTATTCACTTGTGGAGTTTTAGACTGAAGTGTTCCTGTAGAGTACCGATTACGACAACTTTTGTTCGCCAATGAATCAGATTGAATAGGGCGCCGGCATTTTATAAGGTTAATAGTCAGTGTACGCAGCATTGATAATAGTGTCGGGCGGCTAACTTTTTATAAATGCTTAGAATATATTATTCCACAAATACTTACTGTAATTTTTAAGATTTTACGATAAAATAATTAATTTTTTTCGCCAACAACAAAACTGCAATGTTAGATGATGTTTAATAGGTTATGTGATGTTTTCGGAGGTAGCTCTCTGTTTTATTTTCTTTTACTAATTCTAAAAAAACAGATTTTATTTCTTTTATCTTTTTGAAACTTTAAATAAATAAAATATCTGATTTTAAGCACCCTTTGATGAGCCCCTTGGTCTTTGAGACAGTAATTAATCACAGAAAGTGGAAATAGAAGTAAGTAAAATAGGTAGTTTGGAAAATAATAAACTATCTTCATAAACTCAACCCTTATGTCACGCTAATCAAAGTAGAGGAGGGGGCTGTTTCTGCGTTAGGGGCTAGTTGCACTATGAGCGTAAGTAAGAAATTCTAAATTTTATAAATCTACGACAACTCGACCCCCAGACAACTTAAGTTGTAATATTTTAGCCATATAAAAAAGTCAAAAGTTTTAATCAGACTAACGAACATCAATTATTATTCATTTTTATTTATATAGATTTATTTATATAGATTATTGTGAAAAAAAATTGTGCAAATTGAAACTCAATACATGTAACTCCGTGCTCCAAAAAGAAGTGTACCCGTGCCAAAGAGTTAATATCAATCTTTCTATAATTCACATGCTTCATAAACAAAAATCTTCAACTCTTAAAGATGAACTGTAAAGATTCTAAAATCTCTTCTAGAATATCATAGTAATAAAATTAAATATGGTTCGATTGGGATTAACTGAAATACAAAAAGAATTGAATCTTTTGACGAAAAGAGCATTTCATTCATCATTTTTAGCCATAGAACGTCCACTGCTGAGCATAGGCCTCCGCCTCCCCCAATGATTTCCACAATGGCTGGTTGGTGGCAGCCTGCATCCAGCGCCTTCCCGCTACCTTTATGAGGTCGTCGGTCCACCTTGTGGGTGGACGTCCTACGCTGCGATTTCCGGTACGAGTCAAGGCCTCCACTTAAAACCTTGCTGCCCCATCGGCCGTCAGTTCTGCATACTATATATATGCCCAGCCCATTGCCATTTCAGCTTGCTAATCCGTTGGGGTATTATGTCAGCGACTTTAGTTCGTTTACAGATCTTCTAATTTTTGATTCGATCTCGTGAAGAAACACCGAGTAGAAAAAGAGTTATTCGCATAGTAGTAGAGCGCATAGTATGTTACTACTTACTATTTATAAGGTAGAGTAAGGTGGGTAGGTAGTACAATAAAATAGGAACTTTTAATATTTATGTTTTGAATACTATCATTATTTCTATCACTACAACATATTAAAACAAAAGTCACTCCACTCACTGTCTGTCTGTCCCCCCTCCTATGTATGCTTAGCGGGTCGTTAGTTAATAATATTTAGTTCGAAGGAAAAATTTGAGACACCAGCCACCGTGAAAACAATTTGAAAAAAAAAAAAAAAAAAAAAAACAAAAAAACATTTTTTTCATCATTCATTGGAATATTGGATCAAGACAAGAATATGAAAATTAAATGACTCATTTATCAGGTTAAAAATGCATTTGTGTAAAATCAAAGTTCTGCGAGTTTCGACCTCAGCCGTATCCGTCATCCCGTCATGAAGTAAACATTCAACATGGATGCTATCCGATTAATTTCATCCGCATTTTAGGTCAAATAGATTGTTTACGATGTGCGATTAGGTTTGCAAGAATAGCTAATATTTCCCGAAAATGTCTTCGGAAAGGTAATTAGTTACAGAAGTCTTTAGAAGCTTTTTTTGCCAAAATGTTTCTTACGTGTGTTGAAAGTTGCAAAATCAATAAAGTGTACGGAAATCGCTAATGTCACGCCCTGGATTCGCAGTAATTTGTCGTTGAGTTCCTGATGTTTTTGATGTTGATTATAAAAACCGGGAATGTTTTATTCTAGGGTAGAATGGGTGGAGATTATCGAGCCCAAAACAAAGGAGCATATGTATGCTAACCTAACCACAGGAGAGTGCGTTTGGGATCCGCCAGAGGTGAGTTTTTTTACCCGGTCTCATTTCCTGTAGTTATTGCTTACTTACATAGCACTTTCATTTTCCTGTAACTTAAGGGAGTGAGGGTTCTCTGTGTATTCTGTTGAAGGGAAGAAAACCTACTTAGTATTTCATAGATTGAGATAAATTCCATAATTCGGCACATAGTCGAAAAATCCCATTGAGATTCATTCATTGAAATTCATAAAATTAATCATCTTGATGAATAAATAAGTCAGTATTCATTGAATTGCAATGATCATACTTATCACCTTTCATTTTACTTATTTAGTTGTTCTGCAATTGTTTCATAATCCATGGCCCTGCTCATACAAAATTAGTCATTGCAACATCTAAATCATTTGGTAACAATGTAATTTTAATGTATAGCAATACATTATACTTACGTAATTACACAAGAAATGAAAGTAAAAGCTGTTCCATTGAGGTTGAGACTAGTGGTTACAATTGCCTATGAATTTCCTAAGTATGTACCTCAAATTAAACTTAGTTCAAGACAGTGTCAAATTCAGGTGACTTGTTTCCAGTTCAAATCCTAAATATTTGATTTTTTTTTATGTGACAGGAGGCAAACGAGCAGATTTTAAGATTGAATTCTTGCATAGCTTATACATTTTGAATTATAACCTATATTAATAGGGAGCTAAAATGCACTTATTTACATGATATCTACAATTAATGCTCCTCATTTTCTAATAAAGATCACATTGTGTCAAATTACTGTGGTTCTACCTTTTACAATTCTGATAATCAATTAGTTTCATTTACAAGTTTTCTTATGATTTCTTCTAAGTAATAAGTTGTACGAATTTACGGTATTTTTTTCTAGGTGATTTTCCTAAATAGTAACACATAATATCTTGTTCCAGGGAGTAAAAGTGAAACGAACAGACTCTTCACAATGGTGGGAACTTTTTGATATTAACACACATAGGTTTTACTATTACAATGCTTCCACACAGGTGAGCTTTCATACTTCATGATGATTAATGTGCTTGACAACCTTAATTGCCTTTTAAAGTTGTCTAATTGATTTATTGATGTGCTAAGACTTTTTTAATAATGGCTAAATAATATAAATACAAGTCATCAATATTTTTCATCGAACTTTCACTGGTAACCCATTAAATAGTGAAGTGTGATGAAGATATACAATGAAATTCATATCTTCTTACTGATTTCTTCATTTATTCAGCCTAATTTACTCTTCTTACTGCTTTTAGACCACTGTATGGCACAGGCCTACTGATTGTGACATCATACCGCTAGCTAAATTGCAAACGTTGAAACAAAACACGGACCCTCAAAAGAGACGAGAGACATCGACTCAGACGAATCAAGCTGTTCCACAGGTATTTATTATATCATAATTATTTTTTAATGTAGTAGAAAATAACTGTGGTGTGATTGATAAATGTGGCACCAATAAAAATAGATATTATTTCATGTCAATGTTTCCTTGTTATCAGGTATGTCTGGATTTAAATTTTAAAATAATTAATGTACAATTTCAACCTTTCCTTGTAATACAAAGTGTTTTTCCTGTTAATTAACAATAACTTTTTAAATACGCTTAGTGATTTATTTTTAAAAACACTTTTAATTTGAGCCCAATCAGAAGTACATTTCTAAACGTTCATTGCTTAGGTATCAACATCGATCGACCCTGTAAGCAGCAATGGCAACAGCACGGTGGCTAGCGCCAGCAAACTGTCACCGAGCAACGCTAAGGGAGTCACCGTCTCTCAGACCAGTCCAGTGCGAACCAGGAAATACATACATCATCATAGGTGATATATTTAGCATAATTTAAATAGATTTGTATTCAAATCCTGTAAAACCACAACGTAAGGGAAACATTTTACAAAATTCACTCAATGAATTTTGTGGTGAATGAAAATTTACCACAATTAATTGTGAAATAAATAAAAGTAACTTGTTAATAACTGCTAAATTATAATGAACTAATTAATCAAAGCACTGTGTTGGACATTGATGAATGAAATATTAATTAAACCAAATGATATGAAATGTTGGTCTTGAGTCCTTCACTTGTATTGCTAAAATGTATTTTCTAACTTATCCTTTACATCTTGTATGAGTTATATGTATAATTTAACTCCATCCTAGATTGCGTCTCTTTAAACATCAGATGTGATTGCAGACAAAACTTGCTTCGTTCTGCATAAAAATAACCTCAGTTTAATCTTAAGGTAGCTCATAGAGACGATGACCATTGGGGCAGAAAAGTTCTCGAGTGGCGACCGCGGGCCGGAAGACGTAGTAGGCAGGACGGGCAGGTCTCCCATTAGAAGGACCGACGATCTGGTGAAGGTCGCGGGAAGAGTCTGGATGCGGGCAGCGCAGGGTTATGAACATCCTTGGGGGAGGCCTTTGTCCAGCAGTGGACGTCATTTGGCTGAAACGAACGAACGCATCTTACAGCGCTTTCACATTAGGGCGTTAGAAGAATGGAACGACAGCAGCGCGGCAGCGGCGTTTTTATAATGTAAAGGCAGAAGTAATCCGCTGTCATATAGTATGAAATTATCGACAGCGCGTCTGTCGCGCGTTTGTCGCACTGCTAAAGTCGTCTAAATGTGAAAGTGCTCTTAAGGTCATATAGGTTACTGAGGGTATACTTATTATTATATTAATAATGCGAGTGGCTTATTGTCCAGAAATAGTGGGGAATCCAGACGCGGGAGGCTGAGTGAAGACGGAACGACTGCGCTGTGTCGACACACCGACTCCGGGCGGTCTTCTGACAGCAGCATCAGCAGTGCACAGCAGAGGAGGAAACAGGTATAGATCGTTTCATCCACGAAGACGCGCCCCACTAAATTTTTGGTCGAGGGAAGCACGGGGTGCGGGAAGTTTGATCCGAGCAATCCGAACGTCATTGTTGGGCAGGGTAACTCACCTGCCATGTAGCACGTAACGTAGCATGTAACGTAGCATGTAACGTATCCAACCTTCAAGTGAGTACGGCTCGTCCACGGTCATCGCGTATCTGGCTGCGAGCTCCTGAATCCGCCTTTGTGCTCGCAATGATACCGCCAGTCGGCGGGTCGCTGCGATCTCCCTGCGAACCACGCGCGAGCGGCTCGCAGCGGGCTCGTGCCTATGTACTCACTTGATCAGTATCTGATACATTACATGCTACACGGCTAGATGAGTACCCTGCTTTGTAGTGTGCCTCATTGATAATTTAGCGTGTTGTACCGATAACACTCAAATATTACAGGAAGAATGATGGGGCGCGTCTTCGTGGATGAAACGATCTCTATAACATCACAATAGGTTGCTTAATTAACTCAGTCAACGTCTGAGGTATAGGAGAGACACGGAAGGGTGATTATGTGACGGTCAAACGTCAGCGAGACTTCAGATTTGTATGCCCTGTCACTTCATAATATGGCAATGTCACCTCCCGTGCCGCTACCATACCTCAGTATAGTTCCAAAATACTGGACTGTCCTGTCGATGACATTGACAGCGGGGCGCCACCGTCAATACCGGATCGCTGGTTCCGATTTTTGTCATGTTGGAAACCATATAGTTGAACGATGGTAGCGCCCCCCTGTCATTGAGTTTGGCGGGACAGTTCAGCGTGGGTCATCTATACGGCTAGCACGAAAAACTTTCGAGTTCGAATCGTTTACGTATTCGACAAAATTCGATACTCAATCTTCGAATGAAACAATAACGTGACAATTTTTATTCTCAAAATAAGTTTCGTGCAACCATTTCTCATACTAAGTTCACTTTACGACACGTTCACAATGGCGCTGTTGTAGTTTTCGTACTAAATCTTTTGATGGCGATTCAAATACGCAAACGATTCGAACTCGAAAGTTTTTCGTGCTAGTCGTACAGGAACTGAATGAGTAAGCGCTAGTCCTATAGTTAATTAATAGTGTGTCATGTCAAGTGTTGCATTATATGGTGGGACATCTAAATTCCAAATTAGGTCATATTAGAACAGGCAAAAATGCACCTTAATATCATTGAGGACGACGAGTGTCGTGTATCTAAAAACTTGCAACATTTTTCCGATAATTAGTTTATCGCCGACCACATGCGTTTGCCAGATTGCCAGAACGCGAACGGCTTAATGAATGGAACGTCACATCGCGTTCATTTGTTTTTCTTTAGTCTTCTATTTTTTTATTAGCACTGGTAACCTTGGGGGAGGCCTTTGTCCAGCAGTGGACGTCATTTGGCTGAAACGAACGAACTGGTGACGATATTGCTGCGATTTCTTTATCTCTAACGTATGCTAGTATAGTATGATGTATGAGTAACAAAGAATTGAGTCTTCATACTCTTTTCGCGCAGATTCTAGAATACTTATAGTGGGGAGGGAAAGCCAAAATTCTAAAAAGTAAATCTAAATGTCTCTAGTAAATTAGAGAATGGCTCACAGTGAAGCATCCTTGGTAATTTTACCCAAAGTCTCCGTAGCTTAGAGCTCCCAGTTAAGAGCAGTCGTCCGGCGACGGCAAGCGAAAGGTCGTGGGTTCGATTCCCGCCAGAGGCAATCGATTATATCATATTAAAAAAACTTGAGTGTAATGATGATGATGAACATGATGATGATGATGAATTTATAGGAGCTGAATGCAGCGCCGTGCAACCCTCCCGTTTGTACCCCGCAAGTCAGGAAGAGGGGCAGCGCGGTGCCGGCCCATGAACCCGACAAGTGGTCGCCGCATTCAGGTGAGATAACTGACGATTGAATGAAGAAATACTTCATAGATCTCTCTATAATCTTCTTTATCTTGCTACGTCTCTAAATCTTTAATTTGATGGACCAAATGAATCTTTGCTAACTAACCTGGCAAATCAAAAAACAATCCGATGTTCGTCACTTTTACGAATCTACTTTTGGCATTACATAAACAATTAGTTCTAGGAAATCTACGTGTAATGTCAAAAGTATATTGCTCCAGAATTGTGAACTATTTTAAAGACATTTCCGAAATCCATTAGACTTAATTGTTAGGAATTCCTAAGTTTTATTAACCCTTTCGGACCCGCGCTTAAACTAGAAAGAAATTTGTAATTTTGAACATGAATTTTAGGTAATTTGGGGCCGCAGATTACGAATCTGCTATAATTTTCCAGATTTTCCGCCGCCATCTTGGAAAATTCATATACCAACAATTGTATCAAACGGGGCCCTTCACTTCCTACGTACAATTGTGAGGGTCAAAATTGTAAGGGTTTTGGAAATTTTATCAATGGCATGTATTCCGAAAAACGTATTTATAACCAGTAAGGAATAAACAGGTTTAATTTTTATACCAGTATTTGCTATTTAATATTGATTTGTGGGCAAAACCAGCTGTTCCATGAGCTCAACAGTAAATATAGCGCTCGAAATATTCCTATGGAGTTTTAATATCTCCTGGATCATGAACAGCATCTCCTGGAAGATGTTGACGATTGAAGGGCTTCGTCTGCTATACCGCTTGCATACTCAGAGGTATGTATCGTCATGAATGTCTGAGCCTTCATCAGAAGAAGAGGAGTAGTTCATCTGAAGTATTCGAAACTAGCTTTTGTCGTTGTCATCGCTCTCATCCCCAGATGCATTGAGCATCTCTGCCATAGTAGCGTCGTTTAAAATCGGAAACATGGTGCGGAAACCATGCAAAATTAATAATTACGAGAAACTTAAAATACGCATAAGGTATTGTAGGGCCCACGTCGATACAATTGTGTCAGTAAAGTTCGTTAAGCCGTTACGCCAAAGCCTTTGCTTACAAGTAGTCACTGTTACCACAAAAAGATGCTATTTTTAACTATTTGTCTAATCAATAACTTGTATATTACTACAATTAAAAAATAAAACCATAGTATGTACTTTCTTTCGCCAAGTCGGGGAGCGCAATCAATCATGAACTGTACAGGTTGTAACCTGCTCACCAACTGCGCTTCGTACAAAATTTGCACGGAAGGTGGAAGAGCGCATCTCGCACAATCGTACGATACTCAGCCCATCCACTTCCGATGTAAAACTAATGAGATAATCTCGATTTTGTAACCCGCACAATTGTATTGGAGCGGTCCGAAAGGGCTAATTTAAAATAGAAGACAATACTTAAGGTCCTTGGTATTTCAGGGTTAAACCGCAGCGGCAGTTTCATATCACCCAGAAAGGACGCATCTGACGATTCGATGCACGAAAAGTATTTCAAATCGGTCGAGAGCACCCCGCTAACGAGGCGCAAGGTAAGTCATTATGACTAACTAGCTGCTTTCATGCTTGATCGACTCATCTCCAACTTGATGAGGCGAAATTCAATTTAATATTCCTATGTTTACTTTCTCAACACAAAAACACGTAATACCGAACGTCTAGGTACATTTACTCGTCTCTAAGACCAGCTATTATCTCTTCACCTTCAATTACTTGCAAGTTTTTGTAACTGATAGCGCACAAAAAGTTATTGCATGCTGTGTTACCGTTTAGCCAATTAATAACCCCTCATGATGTTGGGATTAGTAGTGTTTTTGTTAGAATAACTTACGATCAGCGGTAATCTTATACGTAAGAGTGAAACCTGTTATGATTAAATGGTACAGTTCTGATGGATTCTAAATTAACGCAAGCGCATGATTTGGAAATGCTTGTCGAAATGGCTACGCTACACTACACTATGGTTTTTTATCGAAAGTAAAGGCATAAAGAACTATTAATAAGATTCAATTAGAAAGATAGTCACGGTTAATTAATAGCACTTATTTCCTGCAAGTTAAACGAGTCAATTCTCATCCGGTCGAAAAAGAATCCAGTGAGATGTTTATAAGTTAGGATGAAATTAGAATACCCTCAATGAAATGAGTTATATTAAAGTAATAAATCTCAATCTGATAGTTTGATAATTACATATTTTCAAACTCACGCGTTGCATGATTATTCACAACCGTTTAAGGCTTGGTATTTCTGCTAAAGTAGGTATTTCGCGCTGTCAAAATCTGCGCGCGCAATTCTTCGCCGAAGACAGCGCGCAAAAGAGCTCCCGCCACAATTTCCAGCTACACAGTATAGAAATACGCAGTTGGTTAGGTTAGGTTGACTTCCTTTCCTTCAAGCGTCACACTCACAACACTTTCTAATACAAATCATATCCAAGTGATACAAATTAAAACACCTTTCAGACTTTTTGGGAATATATTCTAGAATCGAATAAATATAAAATATAACTGCAGAAGTAAACACGGTTCAAAGTGGCCGTGGCGTCGCCCGACCTTCTGGAAGTTCTGCGCCGGCTTAAAGAATTTCAAGATTACGTCACCCGACCTATCGGTAGGCCCTTGGGAGCTTGAGCGATTCGAAAAACATTTTATGATAAGTTACTCTTAGTAGCGATTATTTAGAGCTTAGATAATAAACTATAGTTGTTACAATTCACGAAGCTTTGCATGTGGTTAATAACATTAGTCAGTACACGCATCAATTTTGTTCAGTCTCTTTGTTTATTAATAAATAAAAATATCATACTAAAATTGCAGAAACATAATTATTTGTTTGTATTGGTCTGGGTGTTTTCTTTCCATAATATGTATGACGTAGCTATGTACGGGGTTCTGTATCGAAAATTACTATGAGCATCACACGCGGTTACCTGCGTACCACTGTGCACGGGAGTTTAAGCAGAGGTCCCTAGAGTTTGACTTTGAGCTTTGTTTATAGTCATTACGAAGCAGACTGATGGGAAACTGCACTGTCTTGAATTCGAAAGGGTAATTTGACGGTGTTAGGGGAATTCTAGGAATAAATACAGAGTCTCCTCATTGAGATTGAGACATTTCAATTTGAGATTTCACTTGACATTGAACACAATCTGACATGGAGTTTTCAAACACTTGTAAAAATAAAAAGTAATTAAATCAAAGGCACTAAGTAGTATTGATATCAACTTCGAAGAAAATTACTGCCAAAATTACTTTCTACCCGTTCCACACCACGTCTTTCATGAATTATATTAAGGAATTAAAAAATATGAGTCTAATATTTTATAATTTATTATCTGTCTGACGGACTAAATAGAATTTCGATTTAATTACCCAGTCATCATCCCTATTTAACAAATATAGAAACACACAAACTTTACCTATTCATAATATTAGATATAGATAGGCAATTTGAAACCCTATTTTGTTTTATTCTTTTTTTTATTTTAAATATTTCACAATCCAAACTAATATTTACTGTAAGTAAATGCTAAATAGTAAATATTAGTTTGGATTGTGAAATATCCTACTAATATGACTGGATGTCATGATGTCTGGATGTTTGTTACTCTTTTACGCAAAAACTACTGAACGGATTTTGTTGAAACTTTACGGTATTATTGTTTATAACCCAGATTAACATTATGACATACTAGCTTTCCGCCCGCGGCTTCGCCCGCGTGGAATTTTGTCTGTCACAGAAAAACTTTATCGCGCGCGTCCCTGTTTCAAAAACCGGGATAAAAACTATCCTATGTTCTTTCCCGGGACTCAAACTATCTCTATGCCAAATTTCATCAAAATCGGTTGCGAGGTTTAAGCGGGAAAGCGTAACAGACAGACAGACAGACTAACAGACAGACAGACAGACAGACAGACAGAGTTACTTTCGCATTTATAATATTAGTTGGGATGACGATATGTGGCTAATAAATTTCAATAAATAAATAAGACGTGTCTAAAAAGCGCCATCTATCGTCATTGGTTAAAATCTACAGTACTGGACAAACTACGGTATGACGTTCGTAAATATTCATTCGGGGGAAGCCGTGAAACGCCATCTATCAACATGGGTAAAACGAGGTAAAACATCATATCTAACGGGGGTGAAACGAGGTCCAGGCGAACAAAGTCACGGGCGGCCGCTAGTTTATAATAGGTAGCTTTCCCTCTAGCTTATTGGTATTCCATAATTTCCATGTATGTGTGTCAGGTGATCCGTCTGCTCGTTTGCCTCCTATCACATAAAAAAAAATGTCTTTTAACTGATTTCTGTTAAACATTTCATGTAAAATTTGTCCAGTTATAACTCTATTTACATCTGCATCTGTAAGCAAGGATTCATGTTCTCCAGCCCAGATGCCGAGTAAACAGAATCGTCTTTCAGTGACATGTAGCTGCCCCTATATTCGACCTATTTTTTTATTATATATTTGTGTCAGTGTGCTTTTCTAAAGAGTGTAAGACGATTGTATGTAGGNAGGCCCTTGGGAGCTTGAGCGATTCGAAAAACATTTTATGATAAGTTACTCTTAGTAGCGATTATTTAGAGCTTAGATAATAAACTATAGTTGTTACAATTCACGAAGCTTTGCATGTGGTTAATAACATTAGTCAGTACACGCATCAATTTTGTTCAGTCTCTTTGTTTATTAATAAATAAAAATATCATACTAAAATTGCAGAAACATAATTATTTGTTTGTATTGGTCTGGGTGTTTTCTTTCCATAATATGTATGACGTAGCTATGTACGGGGTTCTGTATCGAAAATTACTATGAGCATCACACGCGGTTACCTGCGTACCACTGTGCACGGGAGTTTAAGCAGAGGTCCCTAGAGTTTGACTTTGAGCTTTGTTTATAGTCATTACGAAGCAGACTGATGGGAAACTGCACTGTCTTGAATTCGAAAGGGTAATTTGACGGTGTTAGGGGAATTCTAGGAATAAATACAGAGTCCCCTCATTGAGATTGAGACATTTCAATTTGAGATTTCACTTGACATTGAACACAATCTGACATGGAGTTTTCAAACACTTGTAAAAATAAAAAGTAATTAAATCAAAGGCACTAAGTAGTATTGATATCAACTTCGAAGAAAATTACTGCCAAAATTACTTTCTACCCGTTCCACACCACGTCTTTCATGAATTATATTAAGGAATTAAAAAATATGAGTCTAATATTTTATAATTTATTATCTGTCTGACGGACTAAATAGAATTTCGATTTAATTACCCAGTCATCATCCCTATTTAACAAATATAGAAACACACAAACTTTACCTATTCATAATATTAGATATAGATAGGCAATTTGAAACCCTATTTTGTTTTATTCTTTTTTTTATTTTAAATATTTCACAATCCAAACTAATATTTACTGTAAGTAAATGCTAAATAGTAAATATTAGTTTGGATTGTGAAATATCCTACTAATATGACTGGATGTCATGATGTCTGGATGTTTGTTACTCTTTTACGCAAAAACTACTGAACGGATTTTGTTGAAACTTTACGGTATTATTGTTTATAACCCAGATTAACATAATGACATACTAGCTTTCCGCCCGCGGCTTCGCCCGCGTGGAATTTTGTCTGTCACAGAAAAACTTTATCGCGCGCGTCCCTGTTTCAAAAACCGGGATAAAAACTATCCTATGTTCTTTCCCGGGACTCAAACTATCTCTATGCCAAATTTCATCAAAATCGGTTGCGAGGTTTAAGCGGGAAAGCGTAACAGACAGACAGACAGAGTGATTGAGATTGTCCAAGCCGTCATGGGCGATTTTTTCCACATTTTTAAACATAGTAACTAAATAAGACGCAATATAAAAATTTCATCCGTTAAAAGCCCTCAAGTTATTTCTGAACTTTAGTTTAGTAAAAGATTCAGAATCTCAAATCGCTTATTTTAAAAATAAAACCATAAATAGAAAACGAATAGAGGTAACTTTGGGAATTTATTCTATCGAGTCAACTTCATCAAATCGTGTTTCCATCCGTTAATAGCCCTAGAAAATATCCTCAACTATGCCCAAAAAAAATCTTAGCCTTTAATTTTACTGTTTAGTTCCTCAAAAATGAAAAATGAAAACCTCATTTTCGCCATTTTCTCTGCTACCCGGCCTTAAAATAAAGTAGGTAGGTAAATCTAATATTATGAATGCGTCACATCGCGGTTTACAGATTGCACATAGTTATATGTTAGATTCTTGTCGCATCAACTCCCGTCTTTTCATCTACTGTTCGTATTCTCAAAGTTTGTGTCACTTCCCGTCTTCACAGATAATGTCTAGATTCCTCATTACCTAGCAGGGCCGGACCGTGAGTTTAGGGGGCCCTGGGATAATACCACTTAGGGGCCCTACCTACTATATTCTTTCGCATTATCGTCTATTTTTGATTTTGATTTGACTTAGCTGGGGTCTTGAATCCACGGGGCCCCAGGCTGAATCCCAAAAAGCCATATCGTAGATCCGGCCCTGTTACCTAGTACAGGGTTTCCCAATTTTTTTTTGCCAAGGAACCCTAATTGATTATACTTTTCCTAGCGGAACACCCGTACTACTCCGCCCGCACGCCCTGCCCCTCCCTTGTGCGTAAACAAGTTGGTGCGAACGAACAACGTCGGTCACGAAACGTAGGATAATATGTTTTACGGAACCCTTCTGGGGTTCCGTGGACCACCATTCGGGAACCGCTGATCTAGTGTATCGGGTAGTGTAGATGTGTATGACTTGGTGCCTAAAATGTTTTAGTTAAAACAGCAGTCCGCCGGCGGGTCGTCGTGCGAGTCCGCGTCGCCGCAAAGCCCGAGCAGCCCGCTTCAGAAGCCGCAGCCCCAACCTTTCTTGCAGGTATAACCACAGAATAATAATAAGTACTACGTACAGAAGTTTCACTTCGCGAAGGTATTTAAAAAATGTATGCTCTATGTCATTAACAATATGGTGTAATTTAGCCTGAGTCAAGCACCATTTTGTTGACAAACGTCAGTGATCGGCACTGCGCCGAAGCTATAGGGCTGACTTCGGTAAAATGATGTGTGACGTGAGGTGCCAAACTGCGGAAAATGGCGGAGGAAATACATGATTTAGCATGAATTATCATGAATAATATTAACTACTTATTTACCTCTCAGTGTCTTGAGGCAACTTAAAAAAGTACATTCTGTGTTTTTATTATTATTTAGGCAGTTCAATACTGCACAGTATTTAGTACACCATTTTCTTTATTTTCTTCCATCATACACAAAATACACATGAATACGCGTGCGTGAGTCAATGTTCGCTCGTATGTGAGGCCTTGTCGAATAGTATCCTGTAGGTGGGCCATCGTGCGTGTTTTGTTTTCGGTGTTAACTCGCGGAGATGAACAGGCCTGGTATAACTACTTCTAATTTATCCTGTCATCCGCTTTGCACTGGAGGGAAGTCGAACTTTCACCAAAGCGTGCCGATCGCCACCGGCGCGATCATAAGCCAATGACAAGTCACGCGACCCATGACAGTCCGCGCGACCTGTCATTTGCCTATGATCGCCCCGTGATCGCGCCAGCGATTGCGATCTGCACGCGTTGGTGTGGTTAAAACAGCTCATCAGCTAATTGTGATATTTCGGATGAGACTTTCGATTTTAAATGATTGTATTTTTTTTTTAGTTATTTTTCATTATGTGGCAACTCCATGATTTATCTTACAAAAGTCTTTCTTCTTCTTCTTTTTTATGATGTTGGCAATACACGTCGAGGTCGACTTGATTTGTGCCATTTTCAAGTATTTATGTGATTACGAGTTACAAAATGAGATCAAGTAATGATATAATGAAGGATGATAGATGATACCCCTTCCCACCCCTTGAGTCTCAGTAAAGTTGTGGTGCTTTACTTGAGGCCTCCTATGGACAACTTGACAGAACCAGAAGAATCACGATGCACTGTTTTGCTTCACTTGCCCACACTCATGCACGTTCACGAACACTTAATGGTTAATAATCCACCATTATTACACATTAATAGTCGCCCAAACACGAATTTGAGGAAACAAAACAAAACCGCTAACATGACGCTTCAGATACCCGCCAAGAAGCCCTACAAAAGTTTTTGTCTTTGTTCATCACCTTTTGTTTTTCCTTTCAGGCGACAGCTACGCGACCTTCCTTGGTGTCGTCGATCTCGTTGGCGGCTGAGGCGGGCGGCGCGCGCGTCATGCACAGCCTGGAGCGCCCGCACCAGCTGTCCAGGCACGCGCGGGAGCGCTACTCGGACAGGTGAGCCCGGACGCCGGACACTTGTGCTGGACACCGGACACTTGTGTCGGATACCAGACAGTAGACACATCTGTCGGACACCGGACACTTGTGTCGGACACCGGACACTTGTGCCGGTTGTCGGACACCGGACACTTGTGTCGGACACCGGACACTTGTGTCGAACACCAGACACTTGCCTAAGCACCTCGCCTCGGTAAATGAAGCGATTCTATTGTTTCTTTACAAACACATCCCTCGCTACGCATCCTCGCACATCTTTGATGGAAACGTAGCCTGACGGACGACGGCAATGATGAAGCCTCGCTGGCGAAGTTCGGACCGGGAGAGATCGCTATTTTGGGGTCCTATGTGTTAACCGTTAATGAGGGCTATCGTTTTAGCGCTCACCAGTTAGCGCCACTGTAGAGTAAGGTCCTGTCACTTGCTAGTAGCGAAGACAGTGGCACCAACTGGTGAGCGCGAAAGTGGTAGGAGAACTATCGCATTTGCACTCATCAAGATGGCGCCACTGTAGAGTAAGGTCCTGTCAATCGCCAGGGGTGCCAACTGTTAAGTATAAAAACGATAGCCCTCATTGTCAAGTGTGTTGTGGATACACGGCTTTATACTAAAAATAATATCCTTCTTTCCTTTCACCAGGCATTTAGATAAGGATCGACTAGCCGAATTGGAGCGCATGGACCGATATCCTGAGAAGCAAGCGGTGTACAGCGTGGATAAGCCCTTCCGCCAAACTAGCTTGGATCTGCGGCACAACGCGTCGTCCAACTGGCACCCGCCGAGGGAATTCACTAGGTAGGTAACCATAGCTGATAGACAAACACAAAACTTTAGAAAGAAACAGAGAGAGAGAGAGAGGGACATCGACACCTACTTTTTAGAAAATAGTTACTACATACGGGTGGTCTACATCGTTCGTTTCAGCCAAATGACGTCCACTGCTGGACAAAGGCCTCCCCCAAGGTTTTCCACAATGTACGGTCCTGCGCTGCCCGCATCCAGGCTCATCCCGCGACCTTTACCAGATCGTCGGTCCACCTAGTAGGAGGCCTGCCCACGCTACGTCTTCCAGCCCGTGGTCGCCACTCGAGAACTTTCCTGCCCCAACGGCTATCGTCTCTACGAGCTATGTGCCCCGCCCACTGCCACTTGATTTTAGCAATTCTGCGAGCTATGTCGGTTACTTTGGTTCTCCTGCGGATCTCCTCATTTTTGATTCTACATCAATTCAAACCTAATGGGATATACGATACTGCTTGAGCGGGGACGAAAGCTTCAGGGTCTATCTTTACAAATTTTAAGTAATACCAAATTATTCCCCTATTTAAAGTCATTGATTAAAAGATCTGCATATCATTTTACATAAGAGCGCTCAAAACTAAATTTCATCTCAGTTAAAGATTTTGTGACGTATTTGTCTAAGTGCTGAAACAATCATGAGCCTCAATCTATATTCTATACTCGAGTTTTGAGCGTCGTTCTGTAACACAGACCTTAGAGACTCGTAGAAGCGTTGGGTACTTTTCGTTGTATACTATGACTCATTTTGCATCAAGACCGCTCATCTGACGTCACTCTTACCACCCCTTACGTGACAGAAGGCAGCAAGCGGAGCCCGAACGCTACACGTCCAGCAAAACGTCACTATCGTCCGGCAGCAGCAAGCACCGGACGCCGCCGCATGAGCCGCACCACAACTTCATGCGGCTGTCCTCCGCCAACGAGCAGGATAGCGTCGCGGCCGGTGAGTGTCCCTCGTCCCTGTGACAGGCAGCGAGCGGAGCCCGACGCTACACGTCCAGTAAACAGAACCCGAACGCTATAAGTCTAGCAAGATAGCACAACTTAGGACGCCGCCGCATGAGCCGCACCACAACTTCATGCGGCTGTCCTCCGCCAACGAGCAGGATAGCGTCGCTGCCGGTGAGTGTCCCTCGTCCCTGTGACAGGAGGCAACGGGAGCCCGAAGCTACACGTCCAGTAAACGGAACCCGAACGCTACACGTCTAGCAAGATAGCACAGCTTAGGACGCCGCCGCACGAGCCGCACCACAACTTCATGTGGCTGTCCTCCGCCAACGAGCAGGACAGCGTCAGTGCAGCGGGAGCCCGACGCTACACGTTCAGTAAACAGAACACGAACGCTACACGTTTAGCAAGACGTCATCATCATTTCAGCCAAAGGACTGTTGGACAAAGACCTCCCCCATGAATTTCCATAACGACCGGTCTTGCGCTGCCCGCATCCAGATGCTTCCCGCGATTTTCACGAGATCTCCGGGTCAGTGAGTGAGAGGCAGAGGGACACATTACGTTGTCTACCGTACTTGGGATCTGTTCTGCCCCAACTGCCATCAGTTCTACGAACTTTATGCACGACTCCAATGAGGGCTATCGTTTTAGCGCTCACCAGTCAGCGCCACTGTAGAGTAAGGTCCTGTCACTTGCTAGTAGCGAAGACAGTGGCACCAACTGGTGAGCGCGAAAGTGGTAGGAGGACTATCGCATTTGCACTCATCAAGATGGCGCCACTGTAGAGTAAGGTCCTGTCAATCGCCAGGGGTGCCAACTGTTAAGTATAAAAACGATAGCCCTCATTGGTCCACTATTTTTTTATAAATAAAAATTCGCCTTTTTATTCTATTTATATTAAGCGTAATATAGCACAGTAAATTATTTGCTTATTTTTCGGGTTCAATTAAATAACTAAACCTTTTGTTGCTCCAGTTAACTACAAGATGAAATGCGTGAATTTGGAGCCGCCGCTTACGGAGCCCAACGTTCAGAAGCACAATCAGAGACTAGACAGGACTTCCACTCCCAAGGACCGCACCAAGTCGAGACGTGAGTATTATACATAATGTCATAGTAATTATGTTTTGTCAGTAAACCATCAAGACTCACGATTTATTGAAAACTAGCTGACCCGGCGAACTTTGTTCCGCCTTAATGGCAATAAATAAGCAGACTTTTTTTTAATTTCGAACGGGATAAAAAGTATCCTATGTCCTTCTCCTGGCTCTAAACTACCTCCCTGACAATTTTCAGTTAAATCGGTTCAGTCGTTCTTGAGTTATAAGTGGAGTAACTAACACGACTTTCTTTTATATATATAGATAAAAAAGGCTTTTCCAAGTTCTTTCTTGATACTAAAATTATACAGATCTCTAGACACAACATATCCTTCTTTGGATCAGTCAATTCATTGCATCAACTATGTACATATATGCATGCTAGGATACTATTCTTCTTTAAAACATATCGAAAAATTGTATTGTGTCTTCGTTTTCAGCAACGTGTTTATTGTGTTAGTTCATTGCGTGCTTAGTTACCCAATTTTATTGCACGAAAGATTAGACAGCAAAAATAATAAAAAAAGTCCAATTAATATAGGTGTTTTGTTCTTCCGGTAAACAAACAGTGTATAATGTACAAGTAATGATACTGGCGGCATTTCATAAACATGACATCAACAACGCTCATTTATAAAAGATATAAAGTTTCACATGCAAACAATGGGTGTTGTGCCATATTATCTTATTAGTCAACTCTTTACATACGCGGGTGTGTCATCTTTCTATTATCTTTTGGGCGAATTCCAGATAAAATTATCTCATCTAGTGTTAGCTTTTAATATTTTTGACGTCAACTTTTGAATGCTTAAAATATTTTCATTAATCGGTAGTGTAATCCAACGATTACAGTGTATAGACATTCTTGTACCCCATAAAAGTTCGTATAAGGGAAGTGCATAAATTATCAATTGCTTAGCATACAGTTACCGCTTTATTTTTACAGTTAGGTGTCCAAACCGGGACAGTTTATTGATACTTGTGCGGGTTTAATGTTATTGCACGATTGTCCGCCATGGATTTCTGTTACAAGAAGCTGATATCTGCGTACTTTAGTGCGAAATCAAGCCACCCGGTTAAGTGGAGTCCCAGTGGGTTGGCCGCGTTTTACAACCACTTGCACCGGTATAAGATATTTGGTTAGTGTATTGAGTTGTTTTTAGGTTATGAAAGCGCCGGCCTGATTACTGTGTCTATTGTGCTATGTTACAAACAATTGTTTTAGTGTAAACAAGTAAACACTGTAAGGATTTGTGAATAGAGTAATAAAAGTGACAGTTTGTTTAGTTGTGATGTCAGTGTCAGTGACGTTTAGTATGGAAATGTCGCTTTAAAACAGTTAAACTAGGGTGTAACTTTTAATTAATCCTTCAAGCTCCGCGAATCTAGACACAATCAATTGTTACGCGGTAGCCGGCTACCGTTTGGAGGCTGAGAGGTTAATAAAGGGGTTAGTGTTTACGATATATGAAGGTAGTTTTCCACTAGAGCGTAGAGTAGTGGAGCTGTGCGGATTCTCTTTCTGAGAGGTATTCTCTTTCCTGCTCCGCTCTCACGCTCAGTGCGTTGTATTGTTTGGAAACACCTCACAATACAGTACTTGATTGAAACTTGTTAATAAAAAAATCCTATTAGTTGCTTATAACACGTTTCGTCTCCTCTCTCGCCGCGTCTCTGCCTTGATTTAAAACTGGTCAGAAACACAATGCCAATTTTTTAAGTTCTTGCAGTTAGCATAATCTAAAACCATCTTGTATCCTTTTCAGGTCACAAAAAGCCGGTGGAGATGGAAGACCCGGCGGTGGACGGCGAGGAAGACGACGAGGACGGTGGCGGCTCGCCTCTGTACTGCAACTGGGACCTGCGAGGCATGCAGCACTTGCTGCCTCTACAGGACTATATCATACAGCAGGCCAAGCTGTCCAGTAAGGCTTAATTTTTTAAATATATATAAATTTGTCCGAAATCTAATTATGCAAATGCGTAAATGTTGTATGGATTGAAGTATTCGGTCCCTACAACATCTTTGTAACATTATAAAATGCATGAAAAAAAGCGAAAGGTCGGGATTGTGGTCGGGGGGTCGCCAAATATATTTTCATACTAGGGGGGGTCGTGTCACGAAAAAGGTTAAAAAACACTGTATTAGAGGATAGATATAGATACAACAAGGGCCTTATTACAAAAAGTTATGCCCCCTTTCACTATCAATCCCTAATTTTTAAGTGACCCCTACGATAACACATAAGAATTTTGTTTTCATAGGGGTCACTTTAAAATTAGGGATTGATGGTGAAAACGGGCATTAGACACCTTGTTTAAAGTGACATTTAGTATGGAAATGTCATTTTAAACAAGTGTTCAACGTGTTTTTTTTAATAAGACCAAGAGTTTCCACAGATACATAATTTTATGTAACGAAGACTATCTATGCTATTCAAAAAGTGGACTTGGCGAAAAATGATTGCCAAGGCAGGTTGTAAGACAGTGACCCTAAGGCCGTTTGTAGACATCCGTTTTTTCATCGGACGACGGACCGTCAAAAAACGGATATCCTTTATTTGTTGTCAATTTTCTTGCCGGACCTATGTCCGATGCATGTGCACACGTTCATTATAAACCATACGCCACCGCTTAATCCGGTGAAAAAATCGGGCTGTTGTCCGGTCCAAAAAACAGATGTTTACAAGCGGCCTAATAATAATTATTTTAATAAATATCGATTAGTACAACAAAGCCTCCTGAATGAAAAGCTCGTAAGCATTTCCATAAGATCCAATCCAATTCTTCCAACAGGTCGTAGTCGATACGGCGGCGAATCAGGCTCTGACAACGAATCCGGCTCCTCTCGGTCCCGCTCCGGGTCCGAATCTCGCTCGTTATCCGGACACGAGCCGGACAACGAGTCCTCGGACGGCGGCGCCCGGACGCCGGACGATGACGACGGCTCTGGAGTATACTTGCCACATTCGTACGCTCATCGGCCGGCTGACGTGGAGTATATGAACCATGGAGTCTCGTACTATAACACGTTCGTCGGCTTCGATCGGCAGCCCTCGCCTGGGATACATAGAGTGAGTTATTAGATGTAGCATCGATGTGAAACCTGCAGTTTCATATCCACTTCTACTGTCCTCTCATTATTCATCATACTCGTATATTTCATGCGACAGATAATGATGTATTATTTTTGTATTTTTACGTTAATCACGAATGGTGAATCTGCGTATAATTTTTTACTATGTTTTTGTTTGCAAAAGATACATTTAGCTCGATAGCACCATTAATCTTTGCGACGCGGACTAAAAAAAGAAAGATTTTTTTTTTATTTGGTCCAAAACATCATAATCAAAATCAAAATCAAAAATATTTATTCAGTTTAGACCACAAGTGGCACTTATGAACGTCAATAGAAAATAATAAAAAAGGAAAAAGGTAGCCCTTATAAAATAACTACTTAACATGTTTTGAACCAAAACGTCATCCGCTCAGCATTGTGTCCTGCTCTGAGGTAGACCCCAGACTAGACGCAATCTCCGGTCTACAATCTAATTTTACTTGTAAAAACCATTTGACCACAAAATGATGTGGGGAGTACATCTCGCATGCATCAGAATACATTTTGAACTTTGTCTATATCAACTTACGGGTCAATCAATTGACGACACTCTTATCCTGTTTTATCCCACCAGACGTCATCTCTCGGCGGCGGCGCAAGCGCCAGCGCGACAGCCGGCGCAAGCGCAGCGGCGGGAGCGACAGCGGGCGCGGGAGCGGCAGCGGCAGCGGGAGCGTTGTACAGTCCAGTGCGGTCTCATGCGCACGCGCACTTCGTCAGGCCCCCCCCAGAACAAGATATAGAGATATTCGCCAAGGATAATCTGAATTTCAATAAGGGAATCTTTAGGAGAAAGGTCAGTGAATTGAATTGATCGGACCAACTTTAGTACTAGCTTTATTGTGGATATGCTGGCACCAGCTTGTCAGCCGGCGCGAGCGCAGCGGCGACAGCGACAGCGGGCGCGGGAGCGGCAGCGGCAGCGGGAGCGTTATACCAGAGTAAATACAAATGAGTAGGTCTTCTTCATAGAAACGCACTGAGCGCGGTTTGTATGTGAGCGCGCCAATACTCGTATGCGGCGCGCACGCACACACTGACAAAATTCGGCGCAACCACGACTGGCTCCCCGCTAGCTAATCCCCGCTAAATTTTGTCAGTGTGTGCGTGCGCGCCGCATACGTGTTGGCGCGCTCACATACAAACCGCGCACGTGCGTTTCTATGAAGATGACCTACTCGTTTGTATTTACTCTGGTTATACAGTCCAGTGCGGTCGCACGCGCATGCGCACTTCGTCAGGCCTCCCCCAGAACAAGATATAGAGATATTTGCCAAGGACAACCTCAACTTCAATAAGGGAATCTTTAGGAGAAAGGTCAGTGAACTTTTCATGATAGGACTGACTTAAATACTAATATTATGCTGACGCCAGCGCGTTAATGGGAGTGGGCGCGCTATACAGTCCAGTGTGGTCCTATGCCCATGCGCAATTCGTCAGGCTTCCCCCAGAACAGGACATAGAGATATTCGCCAAGGATAATCTGAACTTCAATAAGGGGATCTTTAGGAGAAAGGTCAGTGTTTTCGTTATGATGGGATAGACTTTTAATGCTTATAATATTGTTATGGATATACTAACGCGAGTGTAATAGCGGGGGTGGCCGCGGGGGCGGGACCAGCGGTAGGTGCGGGAGCGTTGTATAGCCCAGTGCGGTCTCATGCGCACGCACACTTCGTCAGGTCTCCCCCAGAGCAAGATATAGAGATCTTTGCCAAGGATAACCTGAACTTCAATAAGGGAATCTTTAGGAGAACATTTCTTATGATGGGACATGCTTCAAAACTTACATTAATGTGGATCGTGATAATACATAATATACTGAGTAAGGTCCTATTAAAATAGGCATCGCGATTGCGACAGTGTGGCAATGATAAATTTCTGGATGGCTCGAAAAAAAAGTTTCTTTGTTGGAGTACATCGTGAAATGACACTACGATTCTTGAACCTATTGAGTAGCTGTTGATAACGTTGTTGCCGCGTTTTCTTCGCGCGGCTCTGCAGTAAATTTTGATGGCGTCTTAACTTCTAAGTGCTGTATGTGAACAGCGCCATCTATTAATACTTAGGCTTGTCCTTTCTTTATAGATTCTCTTACAAAATAGTGACTTTCAAATCATTCATCATATACTTAAACCATCTCTTTGTTCCAGGCTTCAGTCCGAGACATGCTATCGTGGACCTCGTCATCGATAAGTGCACCAATGGTCGGCGCCGACTGGGACAAGGCGCACAAAAAGGCTGCGATAGACTTGTTCCGACTCGTCCAGATATACATGGGCGACAGAAAAGCTCGCCCCGGGATGACCTTGAACTCCGTAGCACAGGACATCTTGCACGCGACGTTTGCTAATGAGAAGTAAGTTCGTTAAAATGCTGCGATAGACTTGTTCCCACTCGTCCAGATATACATGGGCGACAGAAAAGCTCGCCCCGGGATGACCTTGAACTCCGTAGCACAGGACATCTTGCACGCGACGTTTGCTAATGAGAAGTAAGTTCGTTAAAAGGCTGCGATAGACTTGTTCCGGCTTGTCCAGATATACATGAGCGACAGGAAGGTCCGTCCGGGGATGACCCTAAACTCCGTAGCACAGGACATCTTGCACGCTACGTTTGCTAATGAGAAGTAAGTTCGTTAAAAGGCTGCGATAGACTTGTTCCCACTCGTCAGATATACATGGGCGACAGAAAAGCTCGCCCCGGGATGACCTTGAACTCCGTAGCACAGGAAATCTTGCACGTGACGTTTGCTAATGAGAAGTAAGTTCGTTAAAAGGCTGCGATAGACTTGTTCCCACTCGTCCAGATATACATGGGCGACAGAAAAGCTCGCCCCGGGATGACCTTGAACTCCGTAGCACAGGACATCTTGCACGCGACGTTTGCTAATGAGAAGTAAGTTCGTTAAAAGGCTGCGATAGACTTTTTCCCATTCGTCCAGATATACATGGGCGCCAGGAAAGCCAGTCCAGGGATGACTTTGAACTCCGTGGTACAGGACATCTTGCACGCGACATCGGCCAATGAGAAGTAAGTTCGTTAAACGGCTGCGGTAGACCTGTTCAGACTCGTCCATAAACTGCCGTCCAAAGGTCACGGACGGCAGTATAAAATCAAAATTATCTTTATTTGTCTAGACTAATTAAATTAGTACTTGCAAATCGTCAAATGCTCTTAAGGAGCCTATACATGTCTCATTATTTTTTTGCCCTACCAGCGCTTAGAGACAAACATTTGGCAAGTGCTGAGATATATCTTCTATCTATATTTTTTCTCCATTTGATTCTATATCATTCCCTTCATTGTTTTCACTCCACACTGTCCAAATATGTAGTAACAATATTAACTAAAAAGAATCTGAATAAAACAAACGTTGAATTAGATTATTAGATAACAAACTATAACATGGAATATTACTTTCATAAACAAGCAGACAATAACCATAACGTCATTCCAGAAAGTGTAAATGAGGCTATTTAAATTAGGATCAAGTAGCGCATTTTCCTTGAATCCATTTTTGTTCGTAAAAAAGTGACGTCGTCGCATTTTCCTTGTTTCAAGGCGTAATTTTTTATTTAAAAACACCTAAAAGTGTCATTTTACTCTTTAGATCATGCCGGTTCCGGTTGAAGATAAGCTCACACATGCGTTCGTTTATGGTTCGCAAATTCGCGATCAGAATTTGTTATGCCGCTGCGCGTAGGGTTACCAGCATTTTGAATATAGAAATCCCGAACGGTACCCTTTAACAGGACGATTGCCTTAAAATTCGGGTATTTTTACAGTGCTGAAAGTCACTCGTATTTCGCCCGCCCATTTGTGCGCTAATAAAGATAAAAGATTGGACAAATATTATGACAGTATGGTATGGTATTTAAATGCCTGCTAAATCCGAGCTAATGTCAACCCTAGTCGTGTGTTCAGTTTGGTACATATTGGTAAGTAGAACTTGGTTCATTTCCGAATTTTAAGAAAAGAGTGATGATTTAGACCGATAAAAAAGTTCGAATATGGTTATCTCTGAAAATCATCTCAAGACGAATCGTGTATGTATTTCCCAATTTAGTACAAATCGTTAGGTTTTTTTAACTACGGGCTATTTAGCCTGCATTCTTGAGGGCGACCGCGTGAACCATTTTGCGTATTCTTAATAAAGCTAATAGTAATAATTATGAGTTACACGACCGGAACATACAGATTCTGTTACAATGTAATGATATTATTATAATACCATGTTGTCGGTAGGAAGAACAACTACTGTAGTTAAGGTAATGAAATGTAACTATTGTTTACGTAAGAATGACCACCGCTTAACAGCATGTAATAGCTTAAACCACAGATGCCTACACGAGATGGAAATCCCCATTTAAATACAACAAACACGTTAGCTTATGAAAAGTAGTATGACCAGGCCTGTCCAAAAGTCCAATGTACAGTCAGCGTCAGATAGATCGAAGCGTCTTAGAATCTTTGAATGCAGTTCTTTCTTTTCAAAAATAAAGGAATGTTTTATTTGAGTAAAATTTTCTATCTACAGTATTAAGAGTACTTTCCCTCCAGGTGTCATTACACTCGGTAAAGAAAGGTGCCACATTGTGTATCTGCATGCCGTAATCTGTCTGTACAATACGCCACGTGGAAAACTTAAGCTTTAACCACACCAACGCGTGGAGATCGCCATGGCCAGCGCAATTACGGCCCGATCATACGGAAATGACAGGTCGCGTTAACTGTCATGGGTCGCGCGACCTGTCATCGGCCTTCTGCACGCGTTTTGTGGTTGAAGCTTTACACAACTATCTCACCAACAGGCTACGAGACGAGCTCTACGTGCAGCTATGCAGGCAGACGACCGAGAATCCCTTACGAGATTCTTTACTCCGAGGCTGGGAGTTGCTAGCGGTTTGCCTGGCGTTCGTCCCGCCATCGCCTGCCTTTCAACCGGCTCTCAACAACTATGTGAACCGACACAGAGACCCGGCGTTTGCTGATGCCTTCCCTGAGGTAACTATGCCATAGGGTCTATTGTATTGGGAAGAATCGATGGGTTCAATAATTTTAAATGTACGGGAAAGATATTTCATGTGCAAATATTTTGTATTGATTTTATTTGTTGAATAAAAATAGAAATAGGCGTTTAATGCGATGTGGTTTTCGTTTAAAAATAAACACAAAGTCTTAGATGATTTGGAAAAACACATTTTAAAATGTTTGCTTTTTACCAACTTTTTCCCATGGGTACTATTTCATTTATGCAAAAATATTTAACAAATGTGGAATGTAGTTTACTACATTCACACATGGTCTATGATTTATCATAGACCATCAAAGAAAAGCGTGATAAGACTGTTTAGATCGTGTATTTAGGCCAAGAGCTTCCTCGTTGTGGATAAAAAAAAGAAAAAAAAAAAGAAAAAGATAATGACGTCATACATCTAACCCAAAGATATGGAATACGTTTTGAATTAGTCTTTTTTCAAGGTTGGAAAGTGGCCAATTCATGTGCAAGTGTCTCACTATGCGGGCGTGGCGTGCAAACGGCTGGAGAGGATCGGATTCGGCGGCAAGAAGCAACCCAGGAAACCTTCCACCGAAGATATAGACCAGGCTAGGGTGAGTCAAACTGTTTTGTAACCAAAGCACAAGGTAGAAATGAGTTCATAGTAGAGTATTTTTAGATACAGCACCTACATAATTTAGAATTGACCTGTTTGTTTCTAATGATCTAATCTTAGAATTATTAGGCACTATTTGTATTCAGTATGGTCAATAATATGCAGACATGTTTTGACTTCGTAATCAATCTGGGAAAACACATTTGCTTTTATTCGTTCATAGTAGGTAAAGAAAAGTTTCCAAAGATTTCGTTCGAGATATTTGATTCATAGAATGTAATGCATTTTTCAGCTTGTTCCCAACGAAAAAATCCCATCCAGTCACACCGTTACTCGATGGGACATCTCTTTAAAATGTTTTGTCCTATTGACTGAACTGTCAGTGAGCTGCCACACTGGCGGATCCGCTTGTAGGATTCAAAGCGGAGCGGCGACGCGGCGGACGCGCAGTGTGACTCGTTGGGATAAACCATTTTGAAGAGATGTCCCATCGAGTAACGGTGTGACTGGATGGGATTTTTTTTTGACTCGTTGGGAACAAGCGCATTTTTCTACTGTAATGACTTTTAAGGTGACAAAACCCAACGGTGGAATTAGGCTGCCGATTTAGGAGCGCTAGTGCGGTCCCCGTCGACCACTAGACTATTGTGGTAAACTCTCCCAGCGCAAGCATAATTTGTCATTCATTCACAGATTCAAATCTTCCGGCAATCGATGTTTGGAAACACCCTGAGCGAGGTGATGGCGTTACAAAAGGAACGGTTCCCGAACCGGCAGCTGCCGTGGGTGCAGGTGGCGCTGTCGCAGCAGGTATGCCTTATTTTTTTTATCTCAATAATTAAAGTAAAATTGGCGTATTATTGTAAAGCCTAGTCTGTGAGCACGTAGAATTTTGTCCAATGACCCCAAGCTACTGTCACGCTCGCACACTCACTGCGGGCGCCGGTCGCACAGTCGCGACAGCAATATAATTACGCGCGAGCGATAAGGATGGGTAGCTTGGTGTCATTGGACAAAATTCTACGTGCTCACAGACCAGACTATAACAATGGGGGCGTTTGGCCGAAAATAGAATTGTTAGCGCTAATAGGAAAAATTGTGTTCGTTTAGCGGTAAGTGCTATCACTGCTAAACATGTATGGAAAACGTCACTATTGAAGTTAGCAAACGTGTCCTCGCCGAAAACATGCAAAATTTTTCGGCGATCGCCGCTTATAATTTCTAACAAATTTATATTCAGCCAAACGCCCTCAATCAATCTAGACATAACATCGCGACGTCGTCGTCGTTTGGTGCTACTGCTATGGCAGTTACCTTATGGGCTTAATTTAAACAATTAAACATAAACAATAAAGAAGTTTGTGATTTTTAGGTGCTAGCGTTGAATGGCCGCGAGACTGAGGGCATTTTCCGCGTGTCGGCTGATGTGGATGAGGTCAACGCGCTCAAAGCGAAGATCGACAGCTGGGAGCTGCCTGATGCTTCAACGTTGACAGGTTTGTACATGGTTTTTAATAAGCTTGAAGTCTAAGCCTAGGCCCAGACTGCAAACTTTTTGTCGGCCGATAGTTTAGTCGGGCAGTTAATCAGTATGGACATGAATGAAAGTGCTCACATTGAATCGGTCGATTCTTCATACAAATTAGAATTGGGCCCAACTATCGGCCGAATAAAAGTCTGTAGTCTGCGGGACAGTGGGTATCTGCTTGCCTATTGGTGTTATCTATTGTTAATTGTTAATGTAGTATAAAACGAGATACATACTTCAAAGCCGTACGCAGATAGCCTGTATTCAAGTATCGACGTATATGGCCCTTTCTGCAAGCTCTTAGATATACACATGTGTCGACCACCCTTGCCTTTGTTTATTTATTTATTTAATATATTACATCTGTCTACAGCATTTTTGCGCACGGGTTATGCATAGCTTATTTTTATTGCTTTAATACCTAGAAATAAGAATAACAACAAAAAATTGTTCTGAATTTGCGTTTATTTCTAAAAAATAGAAAAATTCATATCAATGAATGTATGAAACATGAACATAGAGATGATTTAATTTGTTGCCAAATATATTTTTTTCTTTCTTTCTTTCATTCTTTCTAATTATTAAAACATACCAAGCATCCATTTAAGATTCATTCTCACAAGAGAAAATTTAAAATAGAGTCCATATATTTATTAAAAATGTAAAGTTCTAATTTAATGTCATGTTCCATACAAGATTTTTCTCATAAAAATCTAACCCTATCATGCTTTCAGTTTACTGGCCTTGGTAACGTCGTCTCTCAAATCCCACTATACACCGTGTTACTTTGCATTCTTGCCATATTCACTGAGATAAAAGTAGGGAACAATACCTATTATTTAAGATAAACAAGAGACTCCCATAAAGAAAGTACACTAAGATTTTAGTAAATTTGGTTTTTCAGTACAAATTGGAATAAACCAATTTTGTCTCGCACGTTCTACAGGTGCAAGTGGAATAAACCTAGTGGGCGTGGCCTAGTTCTTAATAATCTGTTGAATTATGGCTCTGGGTACCAGCCTTTTTATCCAGTCATAATAATTATTTTAAAATACTCTTCAGTTGATTTCAGATTTCCCTTTCTACTTTACGGGCTTAGGACCGTCAAAAATACGTAATAATTATTAGGGTTTTAATTAATTTATAACATTGTACCCTATTTTTACAAATTAATAAATTAAGTATGAAATGAAATCACCTTATTCACAATTAATTATTTATTAAAAATTTCCTACTTACAAAGTTTACATAGTGCGAAGCAAGTGTTCAAAGTGGCTTCCGTTCTGATCATCTGATCAAGGCACAGTCTAGCACTGCGAAGCGTAGGTTTTTCGCTTTAGTTTTCGCAACACATACAACGTTTTGTCTCACAGTTTCACTAAAACAATCCTTTCGTGTTACGCGTTTAACACTGTTTATCTCTTCTGCGCATACCAGTCGTTTCAAGTCACTCCAAAAATCCATTGTTGTCAGGTCCGAGGATCGTGGTGGCCAAGCTACTGGACCCCTTGTCCAATCCACTGTTCACCAAACGTATTATTCGCGCACTTGACGTCCTTATTGTGGGGGAGTACCATCCTGCTGGTAGTAGAGCATTTGGTGTAACGCTAAGGGTACGTCATCAAGCATTTCGTCTAAGACGTCTTGCAGACACTCAAAGCACCATTTTGATTAAATTATTCGTTGTTTGAATACGCTTCAGATATTTTTGTATTATTTATAACGTGATTTGTGATTGATGGATTTCTCAGTTTTTTACAAGTGTCAAAAAGACATTATAAAGACAATAGATTGCAATAGATATTTAAAAATACAATAAAAAGTAAAAAAGTCTCCATTGCCATCGCCAACAAGTGATGTGCATGCGTTACGATAATTAGTGGTGTGTTTAACAGATTGTCGATAAAATAAAATAATCAAGATTAAAAAAAAAATTTTTCGGGCATTATTTTTTTACGGATTTGTGTTCAGTATCAGTAATATAGTAACCTCTGTAAATATGGCAAGAATGCAAAGTAACACCCTGTATTTTAATGAAAGTGTGCCCCTTGTTCTTGCGAATAAGCCCCCATAATTATCTATAAATATATCCCAATGAGAATGAGACGTGCATCTTTAGAGACATTTTACTATGAAGATGGAAAATTCAAATCGCTATAACTCTTTAAAAAGCAAATATTTCCGATTTGTAATCGCACTTTTTTATATAAATTTGCTTATATAATCAGAATATAATAAGTAAAATCCATGCGCAAAAAAAAATTTTTTTTTGTTGACCGGTGTTATTTACGCTCTAACAACAGAATTTACATTCTTAAATCGTGTATAGTCGCGCGAGTGATAAGGATGGGTAGCTTGGGGTCATTGGACGAAACTCTACGTGCTCAGCGACCGGACTTTAGCCGATGTGTATTTCGAGGCTATTTTAATTTGTTCTTTATAAACGTTTACGATAAAGTCTTCTTTTCCTCAGATGCGCACGCGCCGGCCAGCCTGCTGAAACTCTGGTACCGCGAGCTATACGAGCCTTTGATTCCGGACGCTTTGTACGCGGCGTGCGTGGCGGCCGGCGGCGACGTGCAAGCCTGCAGTCGCGCGTTGCAACGCCTGCCGCCGCTGAACCGCCTGGTGAGTGCTGACTACACTACATAATAGTATATATTCCCATAATGAGGGCTATCGTTTTTATACTCAACAGTTGGCACCCCTGGCGATTGACAGGACCTTACTCTACAGTGGCGCCATCTTGATGAGTGCAAACGCGATAGTCCTCCTACCACTTTCGCGCTCACCAGTTGGCGCCACTGTCTTCGCTACTAGCAAGTGACAGGACCTTACTCTACAGTGGCGCCAACTGGTGAGCGCTAAAACGATAGCCCTTATTATAAGTACTAAGACAGTTATTAAGCTGTTTTTGAGGCTATTCCTTTCTAATAAAAACATAAGATAGGCCCCCTTAATTGATGTTTATTGTCCGTGGTGCATATCTTTTCATAAGGTTACTAAAACCTTTGTTTGTCACCTGTCATTCGCTTTGCAACGGAGGGAAGTCGAACCTTAACTTCGAACTCCTACGTTCTTCTGATTAATTTCGTTGCGGGTCCAATGACAGTTTAACTTTCCCCCGGGACAAACTTGACCTTCACTGGTTGGGTTTTTATTGGCGGTCAAGCTGTAGATCCTGGCTACACAGGAGTTGCAGCGATGGGAAAGAGAGGTGGGAATAGTCCCGTTCTAATAAAAACGAATTCTTATAAAATGTATTAAAAATTTACCAATAAAAAAGAAAGAGATTGCTACGATGCGACGCCTTTACTGTGCTTTGGCTCATTATGACATTTCTATACATTTATATTGTAACAGATATCGCGTTGTGCGCACTTTCCGCAACGGATAGCTTAGTCTAGCGACTAAATAGTGGCTGTGAGCCGATCATGTCTCACGCAGACCTAAAAACTATGAAAAATATCCATAAAATTACAGGACGATGGTGCCGCTCGATGGATCATCGACCTAAAGTAGAAGTTAGTAGGGGCGGCCATTAAATGAAAGCGAAAAATCATCATCTGTTGCGCTCTTTGAGGAGGAACTTAATAGAATTATGATAGTTTGCTCTAATACAATGTATTTGTTCGCAGGTACTAACGTATTTAATAAGCTTCCTGCAGCAGTTCACCGCGCCCGAAGTGGTGAGTCAAACCAAAATGGACTCGGCCAACTTGGCGATGGTGTTCGCGCCAAACTGCCTCCGCTGCACCTCCCAAGACCCGAGGGTCATCCTCGAGAACGCTCGTAAGGAGATGACCTTTCTAAAGACCCTCATCTCCAACCTCGATACCTCTCATGTCAGAGATCTTGTTTGACCGTTGAATCTCAGCTATTGCAACAACAACGTCGCAGAAAGGCTGACTGAGTTCTAGCAAGCCCACGCTTAATTTAGAGTCCCTCGTCGACAAACAAAGTCGTATCGAAACGCGAATTTACACTCGCTTTGCTTCAAAGCGGGCATTAAAGGCGAGATACCTTTCTATAGAAAACGGTCACATGTCGCTCTCTGCCTACAAAAAAATCTAGTCTCGTTTCCATTAAGTTTTCTATGGAGAACGAATTCGGCGGGCGCGACGTGCGACCCCTTTCTCACACACCCTCAAATTAAAATTGACATTCTTGTATATTTTTTGTATTTTTGTAAGCTATATGATAATTTTATTTGGTTGTATCCAAAGATATTTAAAGAGATGTGATTTTAATTATTATAAACTTGAGCTTTACAAAAGTGTACGTGCAATGTGTTTCGGCGGTATATGTTATTTGGATGATTGCGTGTTTGTTATTATTAGTTACTGTGTAAGAGTGGTTTAATTTAGCAGATGATATTATTTTTTCATAAGTGAATGGACGCGATACGTACTTCCACGACACTTCATTCCTTTATATTGATCGATCAGGTATATTATTTTTATACTCTGCTTTTGTTTAAGGAATAATGTGTTAGGTCACAATATAGGTTTGCATTTAAGTTAATGACATTTGAGATGGCTGCGAAGGAGTGTAGTGACAGTTGGACAGTTCGCAGTAGTACCTCATAAGGAACTGCGATTTATTCTGTATTTGAAGGAACTAATACGGTTTTTCGAACTCGTTCTTTAGTCTTTTTTACAGGACAGGAAAAAATGTTAAAAAATCAGTAGGTCTTTCAAAACACTGTTGCCAAGAGCATCTACTGCGAATAATTGAGAAAATAAAGCTTGTAAAGTCGTTGCTAGATTATGACAAGTATATTTACAATGTCGGTAGGATCTGGTTTAAAATGTGAAATAAGAATCTAAATAAAAAATCTCGTAAAGTCAGAACTAGTTCATGAAAAATATATGCTGATTAGTAAAGTAAATTTAAATCTTCCATAATGTTATATGTTTACGTTGTGAACAGAATTAGTTGTTAGAGGTACTATCATTCCGTGTTCAGACGTTCACAATAACTTTTCAAACTATACTTGATCGTTGGGATCAAAACTATATCGGCAGCGTCTTTGCTTGATATTTGGAATTTTGCCTGGTTTTTAACCTATTTTATCTGGAGTATACTGAATAGATTAGGTGAAAATATTGCCATTTTATATTGACTGTAGCTATTGACGTCATTGTATTAGGTGATTACCTATAAAACTGCCGTTTTGTATAGATAATATAATTGGAACGAGACCCAATTATTAGCACAAACATTAATGCGTTTAGCATGACTAATCCAAATTTTATTAAATGTTGTGTATGAGATAACAAATTTAATTACACGGGTGTTCACAGTGAACTAATTTCCAAAAAAATACGGTAATTTTATAGATAAGCACTCGTCTATAAATAGATAAAATGCATTATCAAAATTAATTTTAAATTGCTAAACGGCTTATGAAAGAATTTACGAAGGCAGCTTTTAAGTCGAATGAAAGTCGAGCCATTAAATCGAGGGAATTAAAGTTGCCATTATTGATAAAATTACCCTTTCGATCGTCGATTAAGATTAACGTTTTATTGTCTATCAAGTTAAGTGCTATTAGTAGGTTAATCTATTGTTCTATCACAAACTATCGTGCTATACATTTTTTGAGTTAATATACGACGTTGGTTTACGAAATTGTAAAGGTATCGTGCTACGAAACGTTCATGGAATTAAAGCAAATGACACACGAGTTTGTTTTATGATCAAGTGAAATTAGGGATTTTATATACGTGTATGCTAATGGTGACGCCAAACATGTATTTACTAACAACTCCTTTGAAGCGTTCCAATAGGATATCCTATTTCCAAAGACACGTGCGTACGCGCAGCCTTGATGGTATCTAATAACGAATCTATGTACGCTTCTCGCCTCCTACATTTAGGTCCTTATTCTGAAATGACTCAAAACTAGATTCGAACTCAAGAAAAGATCTGCTCCTGTGACTGGTTTCAATATTAAGACTATTTTCTTGAGAGTGTAGATTGATATTTGAGTGTCATCTATGACTAAGATAGACAAGTTACATTATTTCAGTTCGCACAAAATATCACACTAGTTGCAATATGCAATTCACTACGACGGCCTTCAAAAACAAATCCTTCACTCTAATAAAACATATTTTAACTTGAATTATATCACTAAAGTTACTATTATAGAATAGGTAAAATAAACAGCTTTAAAAGTTAGACAAGCTTTGAATCGAGATCTAGTGAAATAAAATATTTAAAGTAAATTCTATCGGCACGTTCACGATTTGTTGCTACGTTATAAACACGTGAAACAATATTGAAGTTGCTAAAATAGTGAGTAAATGAACATAGTTACTGTCATAGTCATTGTTGGACGCTGTGTGATGCAGCATTTGGCTACTTGACACCAGCAATCAATTGACAAAATTATTCAGCCACAGGTTTTGTATAGCGATAGTCGGTTGTTCGTTAACTCAATTTAAAATTTTACAGTAATTGTAAAGTATTTCGAGTTCTAATAAAATGTGTAAGTTGTGTTTAGGAATGATTGAATGGTGTCAACTACCCATTTGTATGATATGTATGATAACGATATTTGCCTATTTGTTTGTAATAATTACCAATAATAAATGCCAATATGAATGAATATTTATAATGAAGACGACAGCCTCTCGTGTAGAGTTAGTGAAATGTTTTTCGTTAGACTCTTAATTCCATGCTCTGCTGTGAAAGAAAAAGCAATATTTTTAAAGATGAATGTATATTACCCTGCTTTATCTCAGACCACGTTAATCGTTATCAATGAATCGACCACCAGTAGGCCGAGGATGTGCGCCACGATAAACTTTTATCGAGGCATTTTATCGATTTTACGCGATAAGCCCATACATTTGTCGTCTAGAATCATCGATAAGATTTTATCATGGCGCGCATCCTAGCCCGGCTGGATATGTATATAGTTTGCTACATGTGATATGCAGAGTTTAGTATATTTTGACTATATCACGTAATAAACATATTCTGATTATATCTTGAAATATACCTATTCCCACGTAATATTTTAATCCCCTTTTCCTATTATATAACATCTCACTAGCCTATCGTGTCTCAAGTATTCAGTGTAATTTTATTTACTGCCTAAATTGTCACAAAACAGTTTTGTCTGTATTTCAATAGTAATATAAAATAATTAATGTATTCCTAGCATTTGCGTATAGCTGATTGCATGTTTCCTAATAGAGTTTATTTTGAATAAATGGTGCATTATTAATTATATTGTATAAGCAGTAATTTGAAATAGTATGCATAATTTTAAAATAAGATTTGTGAGACCTTTCTTTCTAAATAAAGCTTCCGTTAATGAATGTTTTGGGTGTTGGGGTGGCTTACACCTTGTGAACTCGCAACTTAGTGTGATCTAATAAAACGTTTTGTCTATGGTGCAAAATGTGGCGAAAAAAGCTTTTGCGGTCTATGGTGTGAGTCGCCTCATATCCCGTAGTAGTAGTGTGGTAATGATATGATTTAATTATTACTTCTGACTTTATTTGATATTCGCACTTTATTGCATTAATTTAATTTGAATTTGAATTTTGTGTTCAGAGTAAACAGGAATTATTATTTATTCAATGTTCCCATTTGGTACAGTCAACGACAAACAAGTCAACAAAAGATGACAACACAACCTTTCATAGAATTAATTTAAACAGGATACAGTACCCGGCAATAAATATTGCACATCGACCTTTGGAAAGAGACAATCGGTTAATTTCGGCCCGTAGAGCGTTATCTCTGTCTCACACTACCTATACGATTGACAAAACGTCATTGACAAGACATTATTCAATGAAAATATTGTCCTTAGTTAATATATTGTGAACCACTTTTCTTTCACGACTATAAAGAGTTTAGCAATTTAATTCACAAAATCAATTGCACACATTTAAAATAAAGTTTTTTCACACTTTGACAAAACGTCATTGTCAGTCGTGCGACAGAGATAACGCCCTACAAAACCGAAATTAGCCGATTTCTCTTTCTTAAGGTCGATGTGCAATATTTATCGCCGGGTATTGTAGGTAATATTGAATCCGCGTATCGCGTTAAAACCTGTTTAAATTAATTCAGTTATGCGAAAGTTTAAAATTAATTACAACCTATAGATTGTAAAGACGTGTTGTGAAGATTTTGCTACTTTGGGTGTCACAAACTATTTGACTACTAACAAATACTTTTCTGATTGTTGAATTTGCAATATTATTTAATTCTGATAGAATTATACTTTAATTAATTTCGAGATAATACAAATCCAATAGACGCTAAAAATATAAAACTATCAGTTACCGCAATATTCATGCCGACGTTACCGCGCGTTTTACTTTAATCAATTTGTGCCATACAACGATTTATGAATTTGCTGCTCTTTAAATTTTAGTTATTTTTAAGTTATTAATAGACAGAAATGGTCACGACCAAACTATGAATCAATTATTAAATAATCATTCTTATATCCATGCTCTCTTTTCCTAGCATACTTAGGTCGCAAAGCACAATTTGTTTTGTGTGTACATTTATTGACTATTTATCCAAATGTAAAGCATGCACCTACGTTATATTATGTAATACTGCAAATTATTCAATACTACTATACAGTAGTATACCGAAGTGCTTGTAATTCCAGATCGTGTAAAGTTGTATAGTGCTTATAAATAAATATAAAATTATTTCATCAACATCAAAGTCCTTTTGTATATAATATGGCTATTTTTCTTTGTTATTCATGACAATATAATGCATATGATGTTCATAATGTAGGATATCATTGTAAATGTGGATGTTCAGGAGAAATAAAACTAATTATCCGGTGGATAACTGCGAATACCACAATTTTGTTTCATTTATTTAAATGACACCTTTATGACGGTTTTAAATAAATTGTAGACCCTTTAGTCGGAGTTGTAACTTGACGGGACTTCTGTGTGGACTTCTAACAAAAGTAGGCATTTGAAATGGGTTTGATAAAAAAAATCGAGATGTATATAAAAAATACTAAGTATTTTCATAAATTTAACAACAATTTGCTGGAAGCCGTTCATTCCACAATTTTAATAAAAAAAATATTTGGGGCATCTATTTACGAATTTGAAACGAAGAACGGAAGAACTGAATTAAGATTCACATTATTAGGGTTCGGGTTCTTTATGTTCTGGTATTTAATATTCTACTACAGCGCCTACATCACTTTCCGTGAAGACCAGAGTATCCTAAGAACGTTATATGACACGAAGCTGAAACAGTACGGAGATCACTACGAAAGAGTTTCAACAATTATATTTGCTGTTTATGTAATGTGGAAACTGCCTTTCAGTTTAAATAGATCTCCTAAGTTTGTTCAACAGATCGCACATATCGACAAAGCAATATCTAGCTTAGGAGAAGTAGTAGATTATAGAGACGATGCTTTTGCAGCTTATTACTCGGCAATTTTTCAAATGGCAGTATTTTTTGCTCGCACTTTATGTATATGGGTGACGATAGGTGATTTCGACATGGAGGTCCCTTACGAAAGCATATATCAAATGGTTTTCGCCGATTCGACAGCTCTTGTTATATCTGGTCAGTTTTGTTATTTTACAACAGTTCTGAAAAGAAGATACACTATAACAAACAGAGTTTTGGATGAAATCAGGATGCAGAAGTCTTGGGAGTACATTCTGTTTGTGAGAGACAAGCCAATGAAAACTGAGAGGTCTCTTGTGTTGCAAGATAAGTACCTTTGCCAGAAAATTCAAACGTGTGCAAAGATATACAGTATGCTGTACAAAGCAATACAACAATTTAACGGCATTTTCGGGTTAATCATATTGGTGATATTGTATGTCGGTAACGTTAATGTGGTTCTCTACTTATTCTATTTTATGGAAGCGACCGCTTCTGGTCTTTTCCACGATTTGCAGAGATACATGTACTTTCTGGTGGGTGTATTCTGGCGCTCTGCCTATGCGGTCGGGATAGGATTCATTATTGTATATTACACTCAAAAAACAGTTCAAGAGGTGAGTACATAATATATTGTGTTATACAGATTTTCCTAAGCAATAACTGTGATAGGAAATAATTAAATTTTATGTCGGTACATCACATACTATCAAAGTTTGAGCTAACTATGTAAACCTAGGTTTCTACAAGAAAAAATACAATAGGAATATTGTTAACTTAAAAAAGGTAACATTTATTTTCTTTTTTTACAGGCTGCTGAGGCCACTTACATAACACATGAAATAGTTAACAGCAATCTGAGTCCTACAATAACAAAAGAGGTGAGTAAGGTTCTTTGGTTAAAAGCAATATTTAAATAATACTCGAGTAAAACCGGTGTCTTTTAAACTGAGTCCACCTGTAACATCAAAATGGGACCCAAACTAGACCAAGCTTGAAACATGAAAATTGCACCAAATACTATAATGGTGTGCGTCAGAATGGACGGGCACTACCCATATTTTACATCGAAACAAATATTGAAAGTTGCTTCCCAGTTGCTACTATACTTAGGTACGAGCAAAAGTATGGAATCACCCCTTTGTGTTCCAAGCGATCTTACGAACTGAATGACTATGTATTGTACGTATCTATGGTTATATGGTATCAATTTTAAGTTTATAATATCTCCTTTAAAATGGTACCATTTTTATTGATATTTTATTAGTCATTTAGTTCTTATGATCGCTCGGAATAAATAGGGTGATTCCATATTTTTGATCGCGAGTGTAGTTGCTACTAATCGTTAGATAGTTGCTACCCTCGATTTAAAGAAATCACACACCATCTATGAGAAAATTTCAATCTAGATCTAGAATAAGAATTCGACCAGCAGCTGGGAGAATTCCTATTTTTGGTTTTCACTCTAGCAAGTCATCTAAAAAGGCTCGAGTTTAAATAAAGTCAACCTGCACATTGCTGTAATCAAAACCAATAGAGGTAAACTGCTTAAAGTAAACTGCTTAAAGAGGTAAACCCAGAGTAAAGCTGCTGAAGCTGAACTGGTGACAAAGTAATTAAACACCACAGTAAGTAGTTGTTTTGTATTGCCGTTCATATTATCTTACTATTTAAACCAAGCAACTACACTGTGAAACTCAAAAGTTCAGTCAAGTAGGTATACGTAGGTACAGTCAGCGTCAAAAAGATCGTGACACCCAAAGTGGTCTAAAAGTTGATAACACAACCTTATTTTAATTGTAACAAAGACGTGTTGTGAACTTATTGGCTTCTTTGGGTGTCACGAACTATTTGGCGCTGACTGTAGGTTTTATTCTGTTATCTTCTAGGCAATGCAGTTATCGCTGCAAATGCTGCATCAAGTGCCCATCTTCACAGTTCGCGGGCTTTTCAAATTGGACTACGAGCTGATGCATCATGTAGGTTCTAACAATTTATTTTTAACTAGCGGCCGCCCGCGACTTCGTACGCGTGGATCCCGTTTTACCCCCTTAGGGGTAAAGTTTCGTAAAATCCTTTCTTAGCGGATGCCTACGTCATAACATCTACCTGCATGCCAAACAGCCCGATCCGTTCAGTGGTTTGGGCTGTGCGTTGATAGATCACGATGTCAGTCAGTCAGTTACCTTTGAGTTATATTTGTAGATAAGTAAGTAGGTAGTCTTAATATTTAGAGGTACAGACCTCTAGAACATTAAGCTAAATATTGGAGTCACTATGTACCATCGGTAACAGTGTTACTATCCATTGCCTGTCATGTCGTCTCGTTCTATCGCAAAGAATCACCATTTGATGAGAGAGAGAGCAAAAACGGAAATGGATAGTTAATTGATGTGCTATTGGCTGTAACCTACTTGATTTAAGTTACATTGCACATTTAAAACAATTTTAGGGATCCAGAATTGAAAAGGACAAAACCCGTCTCCTTGTTAGCATTAGCATTATGTATTTTAAAAGAAAAAAAGAAAATTTAATTCCTATTTTTTTTCCAGGGAATCCGCTCCGTAGTGACCTTTCTTGTGATACTATTGCAATTTGTAATGGACACATAATATAATCAGAATTACATTTTGCTACCGTATATGGCGCAGCTCTTTGGCGTGATGTCTTAATTTATACTTCCTCATGTCTGCTGGTGTCATTCTATTCACTGTTCTATATGTATCACAATATGTAAGCTACATAGCTAGCACTAAATTGTAACTAATAATAAAGTTTGTTTCACAAGTGTTATACATTGTTTTTGTCTTCTGTCTTTTTCACTCTAAACCACTAAACTGATTTAGTTGGTTACAGAGATAGTTTGAGAATTTTGAGATCCACCCATGGAAAGCATAGAATACCTATTTTTTGTCCCGGAAACGCGCGATTAAGTATTTTTGTGACAGATAGTAATATCGCTGTAATCTATAAAAACATGATAAGACCTAATGTCTACAGTCTAGACTATCCTTCAGTCGATTGCAAAATGCATGACCGTACGAATTTCGCAATCACCTACAAGCGACATTGAACGATGACGAATTAGATATAATTATTCCTTTCTACATTCGAATAAGTTATTTGTTGGCAACATACATCATGTTACGGATAAGGATTAAAATTCCTATATAAGTATTCTTTGTCCGAAATAAATGCTTATTAAATGCCTAATCTATGTAAGATATTAAACTTTCGCGTTCCATTTCAACTAAAATAGAGAATCACGGGTCTAATCTCAACGCTACATTTTTATATAATGATACCTAATCTAAATTCAGAATAAATTCCAGATTTTATGAATATTCCTACTAGAAAAGTTTTTCTAATTACCTACCTATAACAAAAGTTTAGATCTGAAAAATTCTCCCGTTGGATACCTATTAGTAGGTATGTCTCTCTCTTTTTCGGGGTAAATTTTCTACTGCTTCGAAAGAAAGTAGAGTTAAAAGGTTTTTTATTTCGTTTTTGATCTTATAACCCCCGTTTTTCTTTTACTAAGGAAATGAATGACATCTAGATATAAAATAAATAATAAATCTTTGGACAATTTCACACAGCGCCAGCTAGCCTCAAAGTAAGCAACTCAATGCTTGTGTTATGGGTGCTAGCTTAACGGATATACTACTTATATACTTTTTTTTTATTAAATACATACATATTATACATATTTACACCCAGACCCGTCACAGAAATTAAAATTCATCATTTCAATTTCTGCCCGGCCGGGAATCGAACCCGGGACCTCTCGGCATAGTAGTCCGTTCTGAACCACTACACCAAACGGCCGACAGATATATGGAAAGAAGGAAAACCCTACAAAATAGATTACAAAATTATACGTTTCATATTATTAAAAGCAACTTCTGGTCTTAACGTGGTGTTCAAGTCTTTATAATAGCCCCTAATTGCTGCTAGGTACGTAGGTTATGTAGGTATTGATAAGGATAAACTATGTGTTAAATGCACCAACGCAAAGTTCCTGTGTAATTGTCGAAGAAGGAACAAATTAACTAAACCAGAAGCGTACTTAAAATTATACGTTCGTAGAAGTCATGTAGTTGATTAATTGCTACTATATTTGTAAAGTTTAATTAAAGTTGAATAATTTATAGAGCATAGTTTAATAACAAGATGATAAATTAGTGCACTTGATTTAAACTGATTATTTCTAAACCATACAAGATATCAAAAAACTAGTTATTGATCCTGAAAGTGCTTCATGAGCTCTATCAATCGGTATCAGTATTAGGTTACAGAATAAACTGGGTCTATCTGAAAATTCAATGTTTCCAGCTTCCATACTAAATGTACAGTCCCTACTTAGGTTTATATACTGCAATATAGACATGGCAGTTACCTAACTTCCGAGGTTCGCGACAATGTCAAAAACATTGTTATAATAATACCTAGTGCATAATATTTTCGCTTACAAAATCTGTTTATTAACCTTGTTCATAATAACCACCTTCACAGCCTATTTGCCTGCAAATATTTTGTATATATGACAAATGTTTGTCATTGTTTACATTACGAGTACAAAGAACAGCTTAACAAGCTTTTATGCTTACCTACTTACTTAACGTAAGTTTTTGCTAACTTACTTATTTCGTTAATAACGATTAAACCAATAAATTGACTTAAAACCTTTTCACCCTTATGGAAAACTAACTTGTTGTAACTTATTATAATATTTAGCAGATATAAAACATAATTACTTAATGTAGTAGGTATAGGATAACGGGATACATAACAAACGGTTACATTCTGGAAACGAAATGTAAAGTCAATGAACATACTTATCCAGATAAACACTATATCTAATTATTTAGATATGTACGTATTCTGTAAAAGCAGTTGGACTGAACACGCGTATTGAGGTAGGTCGAAGTCGGTTCTTGCCTCGAGAAAAATAAATTATAAGTAGGGAAATGCTATTGAGTATGCTCTTATGATAATGATGATGGGCTAATTGTACAAACAAGTGACATTATTTTAAATAGGCACCATGTCTTTTATACAACAAGTGAGTGTTAATAAAAAATTACGATCTATTTACTGGTCTAGTTAACTATTGTGACGCGGGTGTGACGTGAAACAGCCATGCTCGATAGTTCATTGTGTCAGTAGTGAACTAAAGTAAATAGTGGCATTAAAGCAATTCTGAGCTATTAGCATCTAATTTCATTAGAAACCTATGCATAATAAGAAATACCTACCTAGTTCACAGAGAAAAATCTAAAAACAAGGCTGAGTTGTACCATCTTATTTTAATCACTAGCGGCCGCCCGCGACTTCGTACGCGTGAACCCGTTTTTCCCGCTAATTCCCGTTCCCGTGGGAATTTCGGGAATTCCTTTCTTAGTGCACCTCTACGGTACCTAAGCTACGTCCCTTCCAAATTTCAAGTGCCTACGTTTAGCCGTTTAGGCTGTGCGTTGATCTGTCAGTCAGTCAGTCAGTTTCGCCTTTTATATATTTAGATAACAATAACATTATCCGGTGCTTTCTGTGTGGAATTTGACAGATTTTTGACGTTTGGCAAAATTAAAGTAGGATGGTGCAACTCAGCATAAAATACTTATGTTATCTAAATGAAAAGATGTCACAACACCATTTATGAAGACAACAAAACGTTGAATGTTTACCACAAAGTTAACTATTACTAAAAAACTTTAATCACCTAAGCAATTTTATTTTTGTTACTATACTAATTACCATTTGTAAATTTTTCAATTTGTCATCTGTTTGTTTCCACATCATAATTGAAATTGGTTCCTAACGATGCTGTTTTTGTTCCATAGGGGGTAACAAATTAGCGTCAAGTCCTTGCCCAGCTATCAGATAGTCCGGGTTTCACGTTCTGCACTCGTTGACCCCAATTGTGATTCGCGTTGTTAAGGAAATGTACTGTAATTACATGTCATTATAATAGTAAATATGTCTCTGGTTGTTGTCTGTAATGATGATATGATAATTAAATAATGTGAGTAGGTACCTACTTACATACGAGCTTTAGTGCTTCAAAAGCATCAAAGCTATAATATGACCTAGTATAGGTATAATAGAAGAAACATTTCAGGAATTTTCAGAGACAAGTTTTAGTACAGGAGATAAAATATACACTCGTATCGTATTATCTCTCACTCATCAGTGCCAAGCAGCTCTAGGGTAGAGCGTCAGGAGTAGGATGGTATTGGAGTTTGACTCTATATCAGGGGTGGCCAACTTGATTAGACATAAGATCTACTGTTTACCAACGAAACCCGGGGCGATCTATCACTTACATAATATATTTCTTGAAATCTTAAATGAAACAGCATAATTATTATAATACACAATCATGTAGTATTTTTTGCCTTGCCACGATCGACTGGACTAATATTCGCGATCAGTTGGCCACCCCTGCTCTATATCTAGATGATCTTTTATGCAGAACAGTAGATGGTTAGATGGAGCTTGCTCTACTTACTTAACTATTAATTCGTTCGTTTCAGCCGAAAGACGTCCACTGCCGGACAAAGGCCGCATTGGAGGATTTCCACTTAACTATTACTTAGTTTTAAATACCGTCTTATTATCACTCTCTATTACCTCCAACACTACGCCACGTTTATGAAGAACTACCCACAGACTTTAAGGGTTAGATACCTTTGCTGTTCTCGAATCACATGTAATGATACAAAGGATTTGATTATTTTAACAGAAACATGATAATATGAACAAAACCGGAGTTAGGGTAATTGAGCCGGTTTTCCGTCCAGCTCCTGTTTTCGTCCATTTGACCGACTTGCCACAAACAAATACGGAAAATTTGAATACAAACCTAACTTTCCGTGCAAGTTTGCACTTGTTACAATCTATAATATCTAAGTAACAGTTCTGCCTGCATGAAAATGTAATTTGACAAGTAATAACTCCAAAAAAATCTACGGAAGTTGCTGCTGCACACAGGTAACTAAATGGAAAACGTCGTCAAGTTAGAAAAAAAACGTGCTGGTAGGGAACTTTCATGGTATGTTTAATTACTGTTTTAGCTACTTTACGTAATGTTTTTGGCACGTATGTCTAATTATTAGCATAATAAACACTATTTTAAGGGCTTATTAAAGTTTTTGTATAGAAATCTTAGATAATTAAGTGGACTAATACTGGCACAACAATTTTGCAAGATTTTGGTTTTCGTCCACGTGGACGGAAACCCTGACACCTAGATAATATTTTAAATAATCATTTTACTTCAATGGACCTACAAAATACAATGTTTTTTCTTCCAATATGATCTTTATTGCTATTACATTAAACATTTTAGTTTACGTCCACTTTTTAACAGTGATAAACCCATAAAAACCGTTAAAAAGATGTGGACGAAAACAAAAAACAGCTTTAAACGTTGTTGTGTTTTCGTCCATGACGTCATGAGCAAGCACTGGGGTGGACGAAAACCAAAATTAGCTATTCCTGTAGATTAGTTTTCGTCCATTTATCCTTCGACCTATTGCAATATTCGCCTAAATTTAGGTAAGAAACTTATTTAAATCTTTTTGATATCATTTGAAAGCTAACAAAATTACCTTTCAAATGATATACCACAATCCATAGTTACTGTATTGTAGAATTGGTTTTAAGTTAATAATTCAACTGCACCCCTTTTTCTACACAGTGGTCGAAAACTAGCGTACACTAAGACGAAAACTGATTTTTTTGGACGAAAACTAGTGAAATCGCCTCTTTTGCATAAAATATTTTTTATAAAAAAACCCGTGGCATTTACTTATTGTCATACTAGCTTTCCGCCCGCGGCTTCGCCCGCGTGGAATTTTGTCTGTCACAGAAAACCTTTATCGCGCGCGTCCCTGTTTCAAAAACCGGGATAAAAACTATCCTATGTTCTTTCCCGGGACTCAAACTATCTCTATGCCAAATTTCATCAAAATCGGTTGCGAGGTTTAAGCGGGAAAGCGTAACAGACAGACAGACAGACAGACAGACAGAGTTACTTTCGCATTTATAATATTAGTTGGGATAATATTAACGTAAAGTAGACTATATAAGGACTAAAATGACATATGATACATATGAGTAAGGGTATTTTAAGATATTCATTTCGCATCACAAAGTTGGCAACTCCGATAATTGGACGAAAACTAGCGCACTTACCCTACCAAGCCGGTATGATCAAAGGGTGACGGAACCATCGTCTCTGGCATAGATTGTTGTAAAAACTGATTTATGAGTGAACCGGTTATATTAATTTGATTACAGTAGCCTTTTAATAAAATTCATTATAAAATATTAGCTTACCTTGGGGGGCTTACGTCAAAATTCATGTTTTGTCGTCATGCGGCATTGAAGTAATATTAGTTATAACTCAATGTCATGCGGTGTCCTCACTCATGGTTCTGCTGAATCTTACTAGGTACGTATTTTCAATACTCATTACGTTTATGGCATTGATTTATTTTGCATATGTATGCAAATGGTCTAACTAATCGTAAAAATGTTTAAAAAGGTCAAATATTACCTAACTACATGACTATAATAATATCTTATCGTGGATTTTTCCTTTGAATTTTGATCATGGCTGAGTGTGAGTTTTTTTCAAACGCGCTCACTAGTGAACGCGTCAAAAATGACATTACATGTATGACGGATTGTACAGCGCCCCTAGCGGGAAACTTTCAAAGACTAAAATTTTCATACTTAGCCTCAGCCCACCGTACGGTACTCGATAGACTTAAACGCGCCTGTANACAACTGCAAGCAAGATTTGATTAATGATAATGACAACGCCACTCTTGTAGCAGAGTTTTGGGCTGACACTAAATAGGATTGTTGTCGACATTTAATTATTAATTTATTTATAGTCTTAGATTAATAAAGCTTTATTAATGTAAGTTATATACTTACGAGCAAAAGTATGGAATCACCCTCTTGTGTTTTGTTCCCAACGATCTGAAGAACTCAATGACTATCTATGCATCTATGGTATCAAGTTAAAGTTTGTAATGTAACCTTTAAACTGGTACCATTTTTAATTTAATCTTCATAGTCGTTTAGCTACAAAGATTACTCAAAACGAATGGGGTGATTCCATACTTTTGCTCGGGAGTGTAGTTAAGTTTTGTAATTTGTAGTTACTTAATAATGTGAGCCAAATAAATGTATTTTATTGTTTCATTCTTCTCTGTATACTAGAGATGAAACGGATATCCGGTAACTATCCGGTAGGCCGGATATCCGGCCTAAATTTACTATCCGGCCGGATACCGAATAGTAACTCACTATCCGGCCGGATACCGAATATTAAAAAAGTACGACTTTTTCCTATTAATAAAATGAAATACATTAATCTTTGAAGTAAATATCGATGAAATGGCTTATAATAATGACGGCTTTTATTTAAGGTCCAAAAAGTTACAAAAAGCCTTTCAAAAACCTAATTTCTTTTTCTGGGCTAATCACTCTAATGACGAATACATACCTAAATAGTAAACATCTGTTAATGTCGAAATATTGCCATATAAAAAAGGCTACCATTTTTTCACTGATAGTCTGGTGACATGATGCATGCAGTTCAGTCAGATTACGCAGCAAGTAAACTAATTTAATTTTCGCTATTCAGTCACACACTCGCTATAGCAACCGAAATCACCCGAATTGATCTGCCCCCAAGACTAGTGGCAAAATGTGACATTCTATTCGGAGGACTGATTCAATTTTCAAAAAGTGTTACTAGTCTAGTCTACTAATAGACCCACTGATCGCGTTCGAAGCACCTGTGCGGCGCTAAACTTGTCGGCGGATATCCGGCTATCCGGCCTAGCAGCTGGCCGGATATCCGGTATCCGGCCAAACAACTATCCGTTTCATCTCTAATGTATACTATCAAATCAGAAATTTTATTTGCTTAAAACATGGTGGTAGGTACAATGGAACAATATAAATTTTTAGATATGCATAATATAAAGGTACATATTAGTAGGATACTTACTTGGTCAGCAAGCAATGACCACAGATAGTACAAGCGTACTGTTTTGAACTATGTTCTGTATTATTTATACCGTCAAAACCTAAACAATCAGCTTTTTCGTTAACAACTTCCACTTCATAATATATAGGCTTATCTTCTTCAATTTCTCTCTTGACTTCAGCCACTTCTATACTGACTCCGTCTGAATCGCTTATTGCGTTTATATTTATAACGCGTGACTTAGTTAATGGTGTGAGTAAGAAAGCCTTGTCTATCGCTGCAATATGCTGCTCGGTTAACTGAAAAGATAGTAACATTTTAAACTTCATAATATTATGTAGGGTAAACCAGAGAGTGATTGGCCACTGGTAGTGATTGCCCGCTTTAAGAATAATATTGTCAGGTGCTGACTTTGAATCACTCTAGTTAGATTTGAATTTACTAAGTAGATGGCTCCGAGATCAATGTACAGTAGATTTAAAATTTACAATAGGAAACACTAAAAAAATACAGTTATGGCGGATTTTGTCAAGTAGGATGAAAATGTTACATTTTAAACTTAATAACATTATGTATTTTAAAAAAACATTTACATATTTTACAGGCTGGACTTTTGTAATGCCACTTGGAGGGGAGAGTAAGTCTTAATATTGTGGATAGATTTTTTTTCTCAAAGAAAATATTCCTTTATTTCTGAAAAGAAATAGAACTGCATTCAAAGATTTTCAAAAATTTGCTAGCCACGCCCAGGAATCAAACCAACTAAAATCTGTCAAGAAATTACATCTGTGGTGATCCGGCTCGAAGGACCAGGAAAATGTGGTGGACTGCAGTGGACTGTATGCGTTTATGTGTGTTCGAGAGCGCTGACCGGACGATGATGACTGCCGTTGAGAGCTTGCCCTTATTATATTAGGCGTAGTAGGTGCTACTTGCAGGAATAAAACCACTATTTCACTTGCTGAGAGTTCTCGCGTTTTTTATTCGCTTCCTTTTCTCAGTTCTTGCTTCTTCAGATCACTTGTTGCTTGGAGCACTTGTTCTCTGAACTGAGCATGCCAGCTGGAGCGGTCCATTCTGTATTTATGGGGAGCGGCTATCTCCATCCCGCTTTCACACGCTATTTCTATCCCTGTCTTCGAGAAATCCACAGTTTTTGCTAATTTTCTCCCACTGGCAGGTAGTTTTACAATGGTTTCTACAGATGAGTAATTATCTACATTATACAAAAAGTTTCATCTCAAAATTCCCAAAATTGAGGAAGTTATTGACAAAAAACCTCAAACGGCTCTCTTTACGGTATTGTCTCGCGCAACGGACCATCCGTGCAAGACAAGGACAAAACATATTGCTATCTCATGCTATAGAATGTTCGAAGTGAGAGGTCCGATATTTTTCCTTCTTGTTTCTTCTCGTTTCGCTACGGTATTGCCTTTTTGGCGAAAATTTCATGTTCATTTTCTTAATTACAAAACAGATTAATTAGCTAATTTGAACTATTCGACATGATGCTGCTAACATTAATCTTGATTCTTCTTGACGTCGCTAACAACATCCGATATTTTTATTACATCGATTGTTAGGGTTAAGTATAGGTAAGGATAAAATCTCTCTAACAAACTTGATAAATCAAATGAAAGGATCTTAAATTATTTTAATTATGTACAGAAAATTTTATGGTATGGTAGTGAATTTTCGAAATAATTTCGAAAATCTTTGAATGCAGTTGTTTTATAAATATAACTGGCGTCACATTTAGTTTTTTTTCATTGTGGAAGTTTCTTCACCCAGATGAACAAAGTGGAATTATTAAAATATACCTACCTGTATACCACTGCTACATAGTCGTTGAAGAACTCTGTCAGTTTTAACGGCACTTTCAATAAATTTGTGACACTTGCTCAATAAATGGTAGCAGACGTAACACACCACGTGCGGCCTTCCGTCTTTTGTTTTAAGCTGAAAATTAATCAAAGTCAAAAATATTTATTCAGTTTAGACCACAAGTGGCACTTATGAACGTCAAAATATTATTATAGAAAATAATAAAAAAAGAAAAGAGCCCTTATCACTTTACATGACGTCTCCTTATATTTTGGGCCCTACCAGCACTTCCAGACAAACATAATATTATGGCAAGTGCTGAGAATGTTTTAATTATTGCAGTTTATTTATTGTAATTACAAACATATAGGGCTAAAAGTGCTACAGACATAATCCTAGTATGTGTAGGTAATAGATGACTAATTTATTATACAAGGTCCTGTCATAGTATTGTTTGCTAAGTCATGTGAAGATAAGTGTTTGTTCTCTTTGAATCAGAAATAAATAATAAACAAATATCCTTGGACAATTTTTACACTGCATTTATGTAGTCCCAAACTAAGCAAAGCTTGTACTATGGGTAGATACCAGAAAAAGTATAATAAACTTACATAAACTATTTTTTTTAATACAAANCAAAGACTAAAATTTTCATACTTAGCCTCAGCCCACCGTACGGTACTCGATAGACTTAAACGCGCCTGTATCACGGTAATAATATCATACAGTATTGTAACTTCATATAAACGGACGAAACGCGAGCTTTCCTTCGAAATTCAAATCTCAGTATGCGCTCGACATGCAAAAGTCGGGGGTGTCGCGAATGTGCCACAGTAATAAACAATGACAATGTGTTGTTTTTAAACAGTAAGCGCTCTTTTTTTATAAAAATAATTACAAGTCACCTATTTATACAGGGTGTTAGGTAAATGGGTTTATAAGCCGACACTAGCACATGTTAACATATGCATAATATATGGTATGGTGAAGTCAGTGATATTATCATTTTTTTTTAATTTTCATACAAAATAAAATTTATAAAATCAAATTTTTATGAAAATTAAAATTATTAATGATGATATCAATTTTCTGATTTCACTATACCATTTATATGGACACGTTAACATGGGCTAGTGTCTGCTTATAAACCCATTTACCTAACATCCTGTTTAATGAATCAAGCATTTTGTACGCCTCAGTCGAGGTGCATTCATTTTACGTTTATTTGTTACTAAATCTTAACACAAATATATTTTTTAGTTAAATCTACTAATGACAAGACAACCATGCATTTTTATCTTATTTCATTCACAAAGTATTTTGTCAAAATAAAAATAAAAATTACAATCACAAAATACATTCACCAAACTAGATAGAAATTCTAAGTAGGCAGATGTAGTGATAGGGTCTGCAGGTGGGCAGCCCTATCGCATGTTGTCATAGCGTGACGTACCGCGCGGCTGTTGACATTTATTTCAAAAATATGGTCGAGATGGAATACTGTATAGATAGTATTACCGTGCCTGTATCCCTCGATTTCAGGTAATTGTATGTATAAAAAGGTTTTATAATCAATCTTTAGCAGTTTTACTTTTTATGGTTGTAATAATTCTCCTCGAGAATAAGGCTATCGTCGTTCGTCTTGGCAGAGCTTAAATTCCGCACTATACTCAGATTTTTGTGTTAACAGCTGTCCCCGTAGGGCTCTAGGCCGTGGCCCAGAGGCACTTCTATTTGCACTGGCAAATTGTCTTATGCCCGTTTTCACCATCAATCCCTAATTTTTAAGTGACCCCCATGGTAACATGTAACAGAAATTTTGTTTTCATAGGGTCACTTAAAAAATAGGGATTGATGGTGAAAACGGGCATTAGTATAATGATTAACAGTTGGCCACATGCGACATAATACGATCACATTATCTAATTCTTTCTGTTGTCGAGATATTTGCATCGGAACAGTTTACCCTCGGCACTTTCAGCCCCGATCTTCCGTACTTTACATATTGCATCATTGTTGTTGTTTTAAAATGTTGGATGTGTGTACAAAATAAAGGGAAACATTAATTTACTAAACTTTATTTTGTGTATTTTTTTTGTAAATATGTTTCCTTAATACTAAGTAAAGTACCTACCTAAAGCCAAAATTAAAGTACGTACCTACTTTATTTTCTTGGCTTGAGTTTTGGTGATCTAATCAGAAAGAAGGTCGTCTGTAGGAGAACTAAAGGAATAGTGGTGGGACACATAAGTAAGTACAGCTAGTTTTTTTTTACCCAGGAACATGGCCTATCCATACCTACCGCCTGGGCTCGAACCCATTAAAAGCCTGGGGTTTTCCCTCTGCCGCATAGTGGTCGGCGCCTTATGTACAGCTAGTAGCACAGAGGGCCGTAACGGCCCCAACTGTTGGGGCAGAACGTGAAGACGTTCATTATCCTAACCAATGGTCTCAGATCGACTGAGCTTATAAGTTTATGGGAAGCTGATAAATTCTGACACTGGGATTGTTGAAACAATTAGGTACGTCGAGGTAAGAAAAGGCAATAAGAGTAAAAAAACAAAAAAGTTCTTTCAAAAAACACCGCCTGTAAGAGTAGGCGCACACCGTTGATTTTTAGTTGGCCGATAGTTGTGCCCGATTTCAAATTGTATGAAGAATCGGCCAAATCGAATCGGCGTAGAGTGCGCACTCCCATACATGCCCATACTGATCAACAGCCCGACTAAACTATCGGCCGACGAAAAATCAACGGTGTGCGCCTACTCTAAGTGTACAATAATTTAAACCATGGAATAAAATGATGAACGTGTTGCTTAGCCATTAGCCACTTTAATGGGATCCAGCTGATAAATCGTTCAATCGATTACAGCCCCATAGCCAGTTCAGTCACGTTCAGTTCTAAATTCAAAGTAGTCTAGCCGTGTCGTCAGCATCAGTCAGCATTCAGGCGTTCGGCAACCTGTCCGTTACATAACGCCCTTGCCCTTGTTGTCATAATAAAAAAGTTGTTTGTTTTTTTATTCGTGCCAGTGTCAACAAAAAGACCGGTTTATTCGAACTGACCGAACCGTCTTCTTTTGAAACCAGTAAGTAAGAGCACGGTAATACTATCTATACAGTATTCCAACTCGGCCATATTTTGAAATAAATGTCAACAGTCGCGCGGTACGTCACAGTATGACAACATGCGATAGGGCTGCCCACCTACAGTACCCAGTTTAATTACATCTGCCTACTTAGAATTTCTATATAGTTTTGTGATTGTATTTTTTTATTTAGTTAGACAAACAAAATACTTTGGGAATGGAATAGGCTAAAAATGTGTGTTGTTTTGTGATTAGTAGATTTAATTTAGTAAAAATAATTTCGAAACTTTAATAATCATAATGATCTGTTACTTTAATTTCGGGCGGGCGAAGTCGTGGACAAAAGCTGGTTTGATACAATATAATTTTCATTTCAAATCAAACTGACTGAAAATGACAATTTTACTAGTTTTTGACCAATTTGACCGTAAATGACGGTCAGTCAAATTCAATCAGTTTTGTCATTTTTAACACTTGGCCACCGACGTCCATTCGGCACATTCGCGACACCCCCGACTTTTGCATACCGAGCGCATACTGAGATTTGAATTTCGAAAGAAAGTTCTCGTTTCGTCAGTTTATATGAAGTTACAATACTGTATGATATTATTACCGTGGTAAGAGAGAAGCGATCCTTCTAAAATATGCACAAAGTAGTTTCATCGATATTCATTTATGCTTTACTATTATTAGGCACAGTCGACAGCGCATTAGACTCTACATTTTTGTTCCAAAATAGCACATATTATTACAATAAATAAGACGTTACAGTGTTTATTTTTAGTTAAACACTGTTATTGTTATTGTACATTTACATATTACAGGGCAGATATGTACCATCCTAGAGTGCATCTCACTTAACACCAGGTGCGATTGCGGTCAATACCTGCCTGCCTGTATCTCTAGGCTAAGTTTTATTAAGTAATAAAATTCTTATTCTATCTTATTGTGCCGTAGCACGTACGTATAATGATCTTCTCACAAAATCGTAAGGCATGTGCATACAAATTTTACATGAATCTCTGCAATAACAATACAAACCTACTACAAAAAAAAAAACATATTTTTTTAAACCCTTTACGTTTAATTTAACACAACAAAAACGAGGAAAAATTCGTAAAATTAATTATCGTATGGGTCAACGAGTTAAACGTATGAAATCATCTGTAAGCAATACGAGATGTATAGAAGAAAGGGCATACTCGTCTACAAAAAAATGACTTTTAGGCTGGCTTGCACCATTTTACTTTAACATTAACAAACCTCAAAAATCTGTCAAACTCCTTACAAAAAATACCGGTTATCATTTTAGTTACCGTTAAAGTTGGTGCAATTCAGCATTAAACCTCTTTTTTTTTAGGTAGAAGGATTTGATATAGGTACGCGTAAAGTTACAGCATGTTTTTACTATAGTTCGTGACGGATATTAGTTATTTGGTGTCCATCCCCATTCGTCGCACGCGCATGCTTCACGCATGCGTTCTTTAGGGTTGTCAGTCAGTAGTTTGTGTATTGCTAATTAAAGGCTTATTTTTTCCATAAAACTGCTTTTCCACAAAATGTGGTCTATGAAATAAAGTCGATTATTTTTTGTTTCACAAACTGGACCCCTTTTACTTCTAGTTCTAAGTTTCGTAGATATCCTGCCAGTAGGTATTATTAGGTGGTAGGTGTAGATCGTCACCACAGAGTTACCTATCTAATTCTTAAAATAAACATTGTTTTGGGCAGCTTACTGTGCTTTTAGCCATATGAGTAAGAAAATTAGTGCTTATCATTATTATTTACACATAAATATTTCTGCATAAAACAGCTGGTAGGTGGGTGCATGTTGGTGTCACCTTGTTTTGAACAACAGATTACGTATCAGAATGCTATCGTAGTGCTATCGTTGACGTCCTTTCAAGTTTATTTTGGAAGTGGATTGATAAAAAGTTTTCGTATTTGTGATGTCTCTTTGTTTTAGGTATTTTGCTAAGTACTGTGTAAAATACACGTGATATTGGCGGAATAGTAAGCCTTGTGGCGAAACTACACTAGTTCATCGCCATTAATAAAAGAAGAAGATAAAACGTTTGGAAAGAATACGTACTGGACAGCCCTACATAGGTAGTTGTGACGTCAGTAACACATCGTTTAGGCGCATTTTAACCGACGTGACCAACATGTTGGAAACTGGATTAACTGGATAAACCATAACTGACCACTGACCATTCCAAGTGACTATTATTCGTGATTTTATTTAACTCTACTACGTATACCTGCGATTCCCCATAAATTGTTTAACTATCGTTTCTTTTAGGGCTATAGGCGCTTAACTCAGTCAGAGCCTGAATTCTTCTTCTTCTTCTTTTATTGATGGCGATGAACTTGTGCTTTTTCGCCACTGTTCCGCCAATGTCACGTGCGCAGCTTTTACACAGTGATAGAGTCAAATAAAATAAAATAATTAAGTATAGGAGTTGTACCTGAGGAGTGACATTGACATGATTATGACGTGACAGTCATGCTGACGTTTGACTGTCGCAAAATCACACCTTCAATAGGGATGATGACTGGGTAATGAAATCGAAATTCTATTTAGTCCGTCAGACAGATACGAGTAATTAGAAAATATTACACTGATATTTTTATTTTTTTCCTTAATCGAATAATTACAGTATTATATTGAGTTGAAATGTCGCATGACATCACTTTTGAGTAAAAATTCTACTCAAGCGTGACGTATCGCGCCCATACCGCGCCATTTCAACTCGATGTAGTAGCTCTGTTATTATTTAATTATGAAAGAAAATAAAAAATATGAGTCTAATATTTTCTAATTATCTGTCTAACGGACAAATAACTGAAATTTAGTCATCTAGCCTATTATTTGGATCTATCTGTAAGCTAAGATTTTAAACTTTCGCGTTCCATTTCAACTAAAATAGTAAGACACGGGTCTTAACGCGACGTTTATTAATGAGTTACATTATGTACTCGCGGCACATATTATCATGCAGCATCGCAGCCGAATCGTCAAACGTCGCGTTAAGACCCGTGTCTTACAATTTTATCTGTAAGCTCACTTGCATTTTAAAATAATTAACAAAACATTTATTCCACATTTTTTTTTTAAATAACTTATTTTTTTAACCACTAAGCTTTAGAGGCGTCAATTGACTCTACGTCAAGCTTTGTGCCCCATTAATTACCAAGATGTTAAGTAATAAATATTAATAGTTTATGATGTTCGGTACTAAATAAAAAAAAATATCTTAGCTCTATTGACGTCAAACCATTTTTTGCAGTAGATATTGAAAAACGAGTTGTTCAACGATAGCTGTTAATGAATTTATTATTTTGTTTTCAATTTATAATATGCTTGCCGCGTAGATTTCGGCTTGTTGCAGAAAGTAATTAACACAATCAAATAGATACAGGGGCGTGTAAGTAAACAACAGTAAGTTATTTGTCAGGACCATTTTTGTAGAAGTATAAAATCTTTGGAGCAACGATCCACAAGGGGGGCGTGTAGGGTCCGCCATGTAGGCGGGCTGTCGCCGGTGGTGCCGCGGATGTCTAAGGCTACGGCCAGATACTCGCGACACCCCCACTCGGGCGATGACGGAATGACGCGGAGGTTTTAGTGGGTATGCCCCGTCCTTTTCAGGACGGAGCACCGCCCTTTTCAGGAGTCCCACACACCACCCTGTCCCCCGGCAGTGGTGACGGTGCGCAAAGCATTTCCTCCGCGACAAAAAAAAAGGGTTCAACCGGCTCCGTGACAGTGACCTCGATGAGCCAATAGAGTTCTGCAATGTCTCTAGCATTCGTCTGCATTCATTGTGAATTAATTCCAGATCAAGACGCATTAACAAAACACTCTTGTTTTCTATATTTGTATTTTTTTACTTCAGAATTTTAAAAGTTCCACCTATTTTTAACACGCTTTTATTAGGTCGTCGTGTATGTAACTACTTATGTAATGGAATCTGAATTACACGCACTTCTAATTCTTTTATCATCATGAAACTTGTCAATTATATGTAGATTAGATGACAATATAATATTATGGTACCATTGAGCTGGTCTGATGATGGGACTGGAAGGTGGCCATAGGAACTCCTAAATGAAACGGCGGAATCGCATCGAGTTTGGGTTCGTTGGATTTGTCTTTTCGAGCACTTTAGTTATAAATTATGTCCAGGGTCCTGATGATGCAGTCGGGAGATGGCCATAGGAACTCTAAACAAAGAGTGTGTTTTTAGTTTTTTAAACTATTAATTTTTCATTTTCAGATTCAGGCTTCATATTACACTTGCAACCGGTCTATATCTATAGGAAGTGGCTGTGTCATACACCATGAGTCCGGTGTTAGTCCGGGTAAATACCTGCTTCCTCGTACTCCGGAGGAATAACCACTACCATGAACTACGCGACCCTGCTCGTTTGCCGTTGACAACTGGTGCGTGAACCCTCCTCAAGGAAATATATAGCGGTACGAGTAAAACATACCGGCACACACGCTGCGCTAGCGGCAGCTTAACATGCGTTTTGCCGAGATTACTTGATAGTAGATCGGCGCGATTTGAATTCGGAACGATTTGAAAAAAATACACTTTTATTTTTTTTGTTTTTGGAGTTCGAAAAAGTTTTTAACTAATAAAAATGTTTCTGTGGGTGGTTCTTATCACGTTGGTGCTATGGACAGTGGTGTTCAGGTACAGAAGACAAAGGATGTACAAACTGGCGGGAAAGATCCCGGGACCCAGCACAGAACTCCCCGTCATAGGAATTGCACACACCTTAGCCGGAGATACAGAGGGTAAATATTAGATAGATTTATCTAGTTAATATAAATAAATAATAGTTAAATAGGTAAACATACAAAAAATATTATTTGCTATGTCCAAAAAGGGTGTGAATATTCGTTCTTGTTACATAATATTAGGAGAAGTACGTAATTACTAAGTACATTTTTAACAAAATAAAATAAATGTTTATTGTGCTATTGAACTAAATACATTAATTTTCTTTCTTTCAAACAATAATTAATAGTTACAATCGGCAACAACACATACGATTCTGTTTTTTACTGTAAAGATAAAATCGTAAACAATTTCATTGTTATTTCATTGGCTATACTATCAGTCTAAATCTTATAACTAACATTTTCAATGTATCGCTGTTGGTTTCTATAAAATAAATAAATAAATAAGTAAAGGAAGAGAGTTTAGATTAATATAGAAAGTTTTAAAAAAATACCTAGCACTATAATAATAATATTATTTAATTTTTTAACCGATATAACTATGTCAAATAAATCACAATTTATAATTACTAGTTATATCATACACACCTCATTGATATACCAAACATAATAGACAATTATATTGTTGTTTAATCGATCGGTAAAGAACCGTAATGCGTTCTGAGAAATGTCTCAATCTCATGTATAAATAGGTTTGTGAAAACATGTGTAAATAAGCCAATAATACCTATTATTATGACTTATAAAAAATGATTTTCCACTGGGAAAAATCACAATGGGAATTGAACCTGGACCTGTATTCTTTTCAGACATTATGTCGTGGCTACAACGATATAGCTACGCAGCTATGGAGCACGATGGAATCTTGAAAGCCTGGCTCAATCATATACTGTATTTTAGTAAGTACTTCTAAGCTCACAAACTTTAAGGCCGTTTGTTACACCTGTACCTCTATTACGAAAAACTTTCGAGTTCGTTTCGTTTGCGTATTCAAAGAGCCATCGAAAAATTTTGTATGAAAAATTAAACAGCGCCCATATTATAGCCGCCCTAGGGGGCGCTGTTTAATTTTTCATACAAAATTTTTCGATGGCACTTTGAATACGCAAACGAAACGAACTCGAAAGTTTTTCGTAATAGAGGTACTGTTTTTTCACCGGACGAAAAACGGATATCCTTTGTTTGGTGTCAATTTTCTCGCCAGACCTATTTATTTTATTTTTTTATTTATTTATTGTGCACACCTTCATTAAAATACACCACCGGTAAATCACGCGAAAAAATTTAGCCGTAGTCCAGTCTATGAAACGGATGTTTACAAGCTGCCAAGGGCTTGGTAGGGTAAAATGATTATGAGACATGTAGTAGAGGCTCCTTAAGAGCTAAATATATGACGATTTGTAAGTACTATTTAAATAGACTATACAAATAAAGCAATTTTGACTTTGGGTTGCACCATCTTAGATTAACTTTAACAAACTTCAAATTCCATACAAAAACACCGGTCGGTATAACCACTATAAGTAAATGATTTTAAAAACAAACCTCACAGAAGTGAACGTTTCTGTTATAATTCACAATATTTAATTTTGCCTATGTTCAGCAGTGGACGTCCTATGGCTGAAATGATGATGATGATGATGAATTTTATAAAACTAATTTTAACTTGAACATTGCTGAAAGTATCCCTCTGATTCGGTAATTCAGTTGCTATTTTCATTATTGATATGTCTTCCTGAAAAAAAAAGTTATAAGTTAAATAACTATTGAAATGAGTAATACTATATTTAATAATTTGTATTTATAAATACGAATGAATGTATGTATTTACAAATTAAAATATGACTATGACGTGTGATAATGTTCATATTGTACGATGTAGTACAGCTGTTAATAGGATAGTACCTACCTTACGTAGTTGCAATCTTTTATTACGTTGAAAACAATTATGCATTTAAGATGACTTATGTGATTGCTCTAATGGATATAATTAATACTACTGCCGTCACGGCTTATACTGAGCAGATGCCATTTTGGTGCGTGTACTCTGTTTTTAGTGTTTAAGTTGTTATTTATTTGTAACGCTTTTAATACTCGCATCAAATAAATACTTTCTTTCTTTCTTTCTTTCTTTCTTTCTTTGGAAAACACGCTAGCTCTAGAAATGGAATAAAAAATTAATTCCAGGAAATTGCACAAATTGCTAATCTATTGCAACTGGAAGTACTGGAACCCTGTTGAATGTCGGGCGATAAAACTTCAAAATACAAAAACCACCATCTCATCATCACCACCACCATCTATTAAAGTTATAATTATCAAAGATTCAGTTATGCAATTGATAAATAATATGTTTTGAGGTATATAAACTTTCAAGTATTATGTTACTACTTACTCATTAGTGCTCAAAAAAGTTTCGTTAGTCAATAAATAATAGGTAATCTGAACATGATAAATAGTGGTGTATAATAATTAACTACACCCATAAGGTGGACAGACGACCTCATAAAAGTACTCGTAGCAGGAAGGCGCTGGATGCAGGCCGCTACTATGGAAATCATTGGGGGAGGCCTATGTTCAGCAGTGGACGTCCTGTGGCTGAAATGATGATGATGAGTAATTATTTTTTAACTCCGAAACATCGTAGGTTAAATAAGTACAGTCAGCGCCAAATAGTTTGTGACACCCAAAGTAGCCAAACAGTTCGCAACGGGTTAGTAGTAGTTTCGCACGATTTTTCTTCGCACGCATGTGCGAAACGTCCCCTTTCAATAATATTTTTTTTTATTAGGCGTTTCGCCTGATTGTATTAAAAGTATTAAAATCGCGTGCGAATCGACTCTTTTTTAACTAGTAGTATGCGATGACTAGTTCTCAAAGGGGTCGATTCGCACCTGTTTTTAATACTTTTGATAAATCCGGGCGAAACGCCTACTAACAAAAAAATATTATTGAAAGGGGACGCTTCGCACATTCGTGCGAAGAAAAATCGTGCGAAACTACTACTAACCCTTCGCAACACGTCTTTGTTACAATTCGAATAAGGTTGTGTTGTTAACTTATTGATCACTTTAGATGTCACGTACAATTTGACACTGACTGTAAGATGTAAAAAAAATAAAAATTACTAAATAGTAACAATTACTTATTCTGTGATAGTAATACCAAATGTTTTCTACAGTTGTGATAAATCCCGTCGACATGGAAGTGATACTGAAGTCTTGCCTGGAGAAAGATGATCTGCATAGATTCATAAGAAACGTTATCGGATATGGCGGCATTTTTGCGCCAGGTAAGTTGCTTATTATTATAATAAAAAATATATTGCCTCAGATTAATTGTTTCGGTTTAAAATTATTTACTCAATACTCGTATGTATATTTTTAGTTAATCTCAAGCTGCAGTTGTGAATTCGTTGTTAATCAAGGCAACTTAAAATTTGAAAATTTTGTTTTGCTCCCATGCAATAAAGTTTGTTATGAATATTAATGTATGTAATAACTTCATTATTTTAAATAAGCATCGGCAACATTTGCACAAATAATATATTGTAGCCATAAAGTTGACGACATAATTATATTAGTATTTACATAACAAGGGACGGAGACGGAAATGACACCAGTTTATTTTCATAAATATTAGTTTTACTTAAATAAATCATTCTTACAAAATGGTTTCCGTAATAACACACAAGGAAAATGTAAAGATACACAGTGACCAGTGTCAGTGTCTTGCACAACGCTCTAAAATACAAAACATTCCAAGAAAACAAGATTAACTAACGAATTTGACCATTGCAAGGCTATGGCCTTATGAAAAAGCTTTGGTAAACACAGACTCCGAGGTTTGTATCACCGCTATATGTATAAACACAATAACTAGTTTGTGAGTGTTGTGACGTGTCCATTTCCAATGTAATGCTGCGTTTACACTGCGCGGAAATTAGCCAAGTCAAGCCAAAAAAACAGTGGGGTGGGGATGAATTATGAATGAATTTCATCCCCACTCCTCTGTTTTTTTGACTTGACTCGGCTAATTTTCGCATAGTGTAAAAGCAGCATAAAGCTTTAAGCCTAGGCGCAGACCACCGACTTTTAGTTGGCCGATAGTTGGTAACGGGCGATTCTTCATACAAATTAGAATCGGGAACAACTAACTATCGGCCAACTAAAAATCGGTGGTCTGCGCCTAGGCTAAGGGATATTATAGCGGAATAGATTCAGTAAACTTGAAATAGGTATTATTTAATAAAAGTGAATGTAACAACTGATAATCGTGAATATCACGTGGTGATATGTTAACCGCGTGCATTCTAATATTGTCTAATTAGGTATGTTAATTCCAACCTAACCTTTACCTTTAAATTGACATTAGTTGTTAAACCATGGGTTAAGATAAAGATTTTGGTCGCTAGTAGAAATTACTACGACGTAGGTATGGTTGACTTGTCTTGAGGTTGAAAAGTCTGTCATGTATATTTAATTATCAATATGTTTATGCTTGTTTATAACTACAATACCTTTATATGATGATAAGACTATCATTTTTTAATTAATAATTTGGGTTTGACATGTCGTATTTAGAAAGTTAATCAAACTGAAACAGAGCTTCAAAATTCGTCATTAGTTCTTTATTGAACGAACCCGCATGCATTTTTTGGCATCGTCGTTAGTCTTCACTCATAAAGGTGTCTTATTATGGTATTAAGTCTATACTCAGTTTACGCGTATCCGGAACGCCTAGTCCATGTATGGACCACTCCATACATAACATGGACTGGTCCATACATGGACTAGGCGTTCCGGATACGCGTAAACTGAGTACGCGTACCAGGGTATGCGCAATCCGTACGCACTTTGATAAGTATGTACAAAACTTGCTTTCTATAATCATGTTTTCTCTCTCTACCCAGTATCCATCTGGAGAAGACGCCGGAAGATCCTGGTCCCAGCTTTCAGCCCGAAGATAGTGGAGAGCTTCGTGGAGGTGTTTTCAGAACAGAGCCAGAAACTGACGAAGCAGTTATCAGATTACGTCAGCACAGGCAGCTTCAGCATTTGGCCATTCGTCAGCGCGTATACCCTGGACTCAGTCTGTGGTGAGTGTATGGACAAATTATCTCGTCGCTTGCCTCTCTAACTGACGTAACTGACATTTAGCAAAAATTTCAGGCGATTAGACAGATCGATTCGTCTTGCGAAATTGATTAAGATGGTGTAGAAAAAAATAAGAGTCTCAGTTTTGAAAAAAATGTCAGATACGTCAGTTAGAGAGGCAAGCGACGATCTGAGGAGACAATAGTCGAACGGTGAAAGTGTCGAGCTGACTAGAGATCGCAGGGACGCTGGCTGGCTTGAACCATATCGCCGCTGTACTATTGTGGTAAACCTACTCGTAACACAAGCTTAATTAGCTTAGCAAGAGGGGTTAACGGTTAGTAATTTGAAGAATACAAATTACTGAATAAAATACTGTATAAAAATCATATACCTACGTCAGTCAGAGTAAGTAAGTAGCTTACTTACTCTGACTGACGTATTCCGGGACGGGAACCTTTGAAAATATTACTTAAAAGTGATACTGACTTGACTCTGTTTGTTCTTCGGTGTATTTTCATGTGGCAGGAAAATAAACGTTTTGTATTCTATCTATACTAAATCCAAACTTGATACAAATAATGGGGACATTAATAAATATTACGACGAATGAAGGCGTATCTTATTTAAAAACATTCATTAAGCTCTGACTTGTTACTCTCAGAATCAGCAATGGGAGTCAAAATCAACGCCCAAGGGGATCCGAATACGCCTTTCCTACTTTCAATGAGCCGGATCCTCAACTTGGCTTGCGAGAGGATATTCCACCTTTGGCTGCAACCAGACTGGTTGTATAAGCTGTTCACGTGGAAGTATAACGAGCATCAGAAATGCCTGAACCACATGCACGGATTCACCGATGATGTCATCCAGAAGAAGCGAGAGGAGCTCCGCAATGAACAGACGAATAAAACTGAAGCTGATAACGCATATGGTAAGTGACACAGCTGAAGTTTTATGAGAAAAGAGGAATGTTATTGATACATAGTACAACCCGGTCAAGTTTACTGCGCACCTGGTGATCGTGACGTCACATGGACTCTCTGGTACGGATTGGGCGAACGTGAGGAGGGGTGCGGGTGGGTGCGAGGGAGAGTCGTATTCCAGCGAGGTGCGCATTTAACTCGATTGGGGCTCGGGTAGTACTCTTACTTTTATCATAAGTATCATAACACATGAATTTTTTTCGTCTGGGTATTAGTAATAATTGATCAATATCCGATTCTTTCATAAAAATGGTGAAACCGTAACGGAAGGATATTTAGAAACTAACGAAGTATGCTTTTAATTATTTCAGATTTAAGCAATTACAAAAACAAATCGTTCCTAGATCATCTTATACATTTATCTGGTGGAGAAAATGGATACACAAATGTTGAGCTGAGGGAAGAAGTCCTGACTCTAACCATAGCGGGTACAGACACATCGGCTGTGGCCATCGGGTTCACCTTGGCTTTGTTGGCGAAGTATCCCGAAGTGCAAGAAAAGGTCTACCAAGAGTAAGTGAGTCTTTATTTACTTTCTCAAACTCTCAATCAATTTGGCTCCATAGCTGATGACGGCAGAATAGTCACCATTATAAATCTAAGAATGAAGGAAAAGGAATGATAAGCAATAGGTGTATTCTCTACATTAATGACTAAGGAAGAGTGTAGCAATATCTAAAACGTTCTTGAGACAACCTTAACTTTAAGTACCTAGTTTTTGACTTGATTATTATTGGTAGATTGACTTATTATTGGTAGTTCAATAAACTCAGTATAATTTGCAAAAAAATAACTGTTCTAAAGGTAATTGGGACGCAATAAAATTCGCATATCCAATCAAAACATCCGAATACTCGTACATTAGCATACGTAACTAGGTACAAAATTTTCGATCGTAAATTCATAATCGATGTCGTTTATGACGTAATTCACTCAAGTCCGGTTTTGATGTTGATCTTCAATCACATCAATCTGGGTCGGGGAAGTCGTCTGACGTAACGTGACCGCTCGCAAGGCTGCGTGTTCAATGGGCATGCGCAGACGGCACATCAAGGTAAACATTCAGGCATTAATGCTGTTGATATAGGAGCTATTTTGCCATAGAAATGTGGTCTGATGTGTGAGTCGACTGTGCAGCAATTGACATTGGATAATTATAGTAAATAAAATAAACTAAGGTTAATACATGCAGGCTTGAATCAACCAGATTCTCCAAAAAGTTCTTTATTTGCTCCTGCAGTGGACACTAATGAGATGATGATGGCCAAAAAATTAAGATAATAAGGTGTCGGGCCTTTTAAACCGCAGCTCACGTATGTGTATGTGGCTGATCATTAGGTTCGGACCTCAGTTTAACAACACATATTACAGTTAAAGAAAAAAAAATTAAGATAAGTGCAAAACAGCTTAGATACCTTGACGCTTTGATCTTCTTTTGTTCGGTAGTTTAGACAAATGACGTCCACTGCTGGACAAAGGCTTCCCCAAAGGTCTTCCACGACAACCGGTCCTGAGCTGCCAGCATCCAGGTACCTCGCGCGATCCTTATCAGATTATCGACCCTACTTAGGAGGGCCCTGCCCACACTACTTTTTCTTCAGTATTTGGGTCCGAAGTCTTTTTAGCTATCAATGACGTCACATTTCTCCAGGTTGTACGATGTCTTCGAAGACTCGGATCGTCCCCTAGTGAAAGAAGATTTATTGAAACTCAAGTATTTGGAGAGGGTGGTGAAGGAGTCGCTACGTCTGTTCCCTCCAGTGCCTTTCATCATCAGAAAGGTGTTAGAAGAAATCACATTACGTAAGTATTGGATAATTTTTATTTTAGAAATCTTGAGTTTACGGTGATCTTAGGAACTACCAAAATTTATTTCTGAAAATTCACAAATGCTTCATATTTTGTCGTATGACCCTTAAGCTGGGTCTAGACGGGTGTAATGTGTAATGTATTCTACGAGCATTAACATGTAAAGTGCTGCCTATACTATTTTCATTACATTACACAATACATTCCATTACGCGTTACACCTGTCTGGACTCGGCTTTAAAGCCAAACCACAGCCAAACGCAGAGAAATCTGACGTCATTTGGTTGAATGAAATGAATGTAATTTTCCGACTTGATCTCAATTCAACTGTTCTTGACCACTGACCGTTATACCTCAATGAATACAATAAGGCACACGTGTTGCTAAGTGGTCTGACGTTTGAAGGTGATATGTGTATAATACGTATTATCTGTGATAATACAAAGGCAGGCATGAATAAATCAAATCTAATGCATAAATCATATTAGTTTTTGATTAACCTTAACAAATCAGTGCAAAACTACAATCCTATCATGACCTTAGACAGAGAAGGTGACATTCAAACTATTAAATATTTTGAAACTATTGCTTAACATCGATACGATTTCTCAAGGAAAAAAGATAATGTTTTAGAAACATCTAATTCTAAATTGAATAAAAAAAAGTGAATCAAAATTGCTGCGTTTTTATTTTTAGATAAATAATGTGGATTTGAAGAGTTCAACAAAACTAAAAGTCAGAATCTTAGCCTAGGCACAGACCATCGATTTTTTGTGGGCCGATAGTTTAGTCGGGCAGTTAATCCGTATGGGCATGTATGGAAGTGTGCACATTACACCGATTTTGTATCGGCCGATTCTTTATACAAATTAAAATAGGCCCTAACTAATCGGCCAACTAAAAATCGGTGGTCTACGCCTAGGTTTAGAATTATGTTTACGTATTTCACAGCCTCTGGCCGCGTCTTGCCCGCTGGTTCTGGTGTGGTGTGCGCCATCTGGGGGGTGCACCGGGACCCCAAGTACTGGGGCCCAGACGCAGACAGCTTCGACCCCGACCGGTTCCTGCCGGAGAGGTTCAACCTCAAGCACTCGTGCAGCTACATGCCGTTTAGCCAGGGCCCGAGGAATTGTCTTGGTAAGTTTCAGATTCAACTGTCGACGGAATTCGACAATCAAGCCGAAAACGACAACAATCATCGACAACGGAATCCATTCCGTCATGTGATTGGTCAGTTGTAAAATCTACTATAATATTAGTTACTATACGGCCGCCCGTGGATCCCGTTTTACCCCCTTAGGGGTGGAGTTTCGTAATATCTGTTCTTAGTGAGCACCTACGTTCTAAAAGGAACCCCTATGCAAGATTTAGACTCCTAGCACTTGTAGTTTCTGAGATTTCGTGATGAGTGAGTGAGTCAGTCAGTCAATCAGTGACCTTTCGCTTTTATAGAGAGATCTATTCTTGAATTATAATTGAATTCTGAAGTTTCGTTTAGTCTTCGTCGAAAGAAGTCACCATTTCAGCCATAGGACGTCCACTGCTGAACATACGCCTCCCCCAATGACTTCCACAATGACCGGTGTGCAGGCGGTTGGCATGCATCCAGCGCCTTCCTGCTACCTTTATGAGCTCTCTAATTTACCAGAATTAGAACAGAAGATTTTTTTTATTAAGTATTAATCGATTTAAAGCTACCCTTAATCACGCTAAAAACAATCGTTTTTAAAGGTTTTTCGGTTTATTCACAGGTTATCAATACGCGTTGATGTCCGTAAAGACAGCTCTATCAGCTGTACTCAGGAAGTACAAAGTGGTGGGACCAAAGGAAAAGACGTCACAACCCCACGTTCGAGTGAAGCTGGACGTCATGATGAAGGCCGTCGACGGCTACCAGGTGGCCCTGGAGAGGAGGCAGCCAGTCACCAATAAAGTTAATTAGTGTGTTACGTTAGTATTAAGGATGCCAAGTATACAATAAATGATTGGTCAAATCAATTTTGACGCTAAGTTTGCTTGATATGAGCATATTAGCGTAAATATTACATAGTATTGTTACAGCAGGCTCGGGTGCGCGTCGTGATAAAATCTTAACGATGATTTTTTAGACGACAAATGATAAAATGCCTCGATAAAATCATCATGACGCACATCCTAGACCTACTAGTATTGCGTTGCAGAGAGCAACTTATCTTAGTATCAAGTGACGTAGGGCCTCTTACGGTCCCCTCTCGTACTACGGTATACGGCACATCACACTAGCGTGTGTGATTGGCCAGCGTTTCACATTTTTTTGTGAACTTTATATGTAAATCGACGTAGTATTAAGGTACACACGGACACACTGTTAACTATCCAAGTATCTATGTCCGTTTTTGTTCTCGCTCTAATCAAATGGTGATTCTTTGCGATAGAATGAGATGTCATGACTGGCAATGGGCAGTTAACAGTGTTGCCGATAGTACCACAGAATAATAATAAGTACTACATAGTACATTAACAGTAAACTGCTGTGCTGTCTTCTGTACAAACATGTTTCTTGTGTAAAAATAAGTTTTGTTTTCCCGGTTCGGCATTAACGTGTGTAAAAAAAAAAAAAAAACCGACTCCAAAAAACCTACACTAAAACGTCGAAAAATAATTACTAATTACCTACTTATTTATTAGGACGAATTATTAATATTTATGTAGATATACCATGATTGATACTTCTGGAGTCGGTGCCAAGATTATGAAACATGTAAAGTTTGCCTGCACCGACTCCAAAAGTATCAATCATGGTATACCTACATAAATATTAATAATTCGTCCTAATAAATAAGTAGGTAATTAGTAATTATTTTTCGACGTTTTAGTGTAGGTTTTTTGGAGGTCGGTTTTATTTTTTTTTATAAAATTTTACTTATTTCTTGCTTTTTAGTTAACTAATTATTACTTTGATGTTACCACTAAAGGTAGGCAGTACACTGAGACCAATAAAAAATTGGTTCATAATCGGCGGAGATATTGCGTATAAAAAAGTTCATCCCCAATTTTCCACCCTTGGGGGTTGTTTTTTTTATTATTAAATTTAAATGGGACCACCCTTGAGGTATTACCTATACGTCGAAAAAAGATTTGTTCAAATCGGTTCATAATTGGCGGAGTTATCGCGTAACAAACAGAGAAAAAAAAAAACATACGGGTCGAATTGAGAACCTCCTCCTTTTTTGAAGTCGGTTGAAAACAGATGCAAATTATGGTTCAATTGATGGTAACTGGTTCAAATTCAGTTAGTTTGATAATTTCTTAGTACAAAACTTTGTTCGCGAGTACTTTGTGAAGATTTTAAGTTTTAGTCCGCGCTAATTGACTATGTAAGTATTATATTACAATTTACAATTAATTCATGAGTAACAATAGTATTATTATTAGTAGATACTATTGCATATTTTTTAATTCTTTACTTTGTTAAAAATCAGATTGGGTTTGGTGGATCAACTACTTCTGTAATTAAAAATAAAGCTTTAAAATATGTTTAAGACGTCTAGGAATAATATAATCATTTTTGTCTTATCACTGTAAAGTCACAATATTTTTTTATTATGTTTATAATAAAAAAAAAATGTTGTTTTTTTTTTAAGAAAGTGGGGCTATAGTATGTTTTAAGTAATTAAGCTAATTTCATATTTATTTGATTGGCTTTGGTGATAGATTGGCGCTAAATAAATGAGACTGTACGTAATTGTTGTTTCTTTTTAAATAGGTACACACGGCCATACTGTTAACTATCCATTTCAGTTTTTGCTCTCGCTCTAATCAAATGGTGATTCTTTGCTATCGCAAAGATTTCTATCGAACGAGACGACATGACAGGCAATGGATAGTTAACACTGTGGCCGATGGTACTTAGTTAAGTTACATTGTGTAATCAAAATCTTATCTATTTTTTTTAAGTAAATAAACAATATCATTCATGGTGTTCATAATATTTTCTTAAAGGTTTTAAACCTTTGTTTTTCACCTGTCATCCGCTTTGCAATAGAGGGAAGTCGAACCTTAATTTCGAACTCCTCTTATGATGTTCTTCTGATTAAGTTCGTTGCGGGTCCAATGACAGTTTAACTTTCCCCCGGGACAAACTTGACCTTCATTGGTTGGGTTGTAGCTCCTGCTTGTCAAGCTGTAGATCCTGGCTACACATGAGTTGTAGTGGTGGGAACGAGAGGTGGGAATTATTCATGGTGTATTTCTTTATCCCTTGTAATCCTAAAAACCTGCGCTTCTAGACAAAGTTACGTTTCGATAGATTAGTTTTTGTAATAGCTAAACTAATGGACAATGCATCACTCACTATCAAGCTAAATGACCCTCGTCGACGTATCATCGAACTCCTAATCGTTACGGAGTTACCTACCAGTACATTTATATGAGACTAGCTTTCCGCCCGCGGCTTCGCCCGCGTGGAATTTTGTCTGTCACAGAAAAACTTTATCGCGCGCGTCCCTGTTTCAAAAACCGGGATAAAAACTATCCTATGTTCTTTCCCGGGACTCAAACTATCTCTATGCCAAATTTCATCAAAATCGGTTGCGAGGTTTAAGCGGGAAAGCGTAACAGACAGACAGACAGACAGACAGACAGACAGACAGACAGAGTTACTTTCGCATTTATAATATTAGTTGGGATAGTTGGGATGTGATGACGACCTATCTATAGTATAGAGTATATACTAATATGTATTAAAAAACTGAAGAATTTGTTTGTTTTCTTGAACGCGCTAATCTCAGGAACTAGTGATCAGATTTGAAAAAACATTTTTGTGTTGGATAGCCCATTTATTGAGGAAGGCTTTAGGCTATATCACATCAGTTGTATAGGGATAGGACAGCTAAGTATAGGCATAGCTGGGCACCGTTAATCAAATAGTTAACTTCGTTAATCGTTAAACCGTTACTAAAAAAATTAACTTCGTTAAACGGTAAAACGTTACATTTTGAAAGATTTAAAGCAAGTTAACGTTAATCGTTAAAATAAAACGAAAATTATAATTGTAGGTATGCAAGGGTCAAATAATGTCGAAAGCTTGAATCGCGCATGGAATTTATTCCTCTTTTATGTTTGAGCTACAAGCTGTCGAAATTATTTGAACCTTGCATAAGTACAATTAAGCTAATGTATTATTATAAAATGTATTCTCTAACAACAAGTTAAATAGGTTAATTAAGTAGGTACAATTATTTTATTCGTGTTAGTACAACTGCATTTCAGAATAAAAGCTTGTTTTTAAACCAAAGTGCTCGAAAAGACAAATCCAACGAACCCAAACTCGATAAATTTCCACCGTTTCGTTTAGGAATTCCTATTGCCACCTTCTGAATCCATCATCAGACCATCAATGGTACCATAACATTGCATTGTCATCGTAGATAGAACTGGTCTTAAATTCAGTTGCAAGATTTGTCCCACACATACTAACAAGTGAAGTCAATATAAAGCAGTGGACGTAGTGCGACTTTATATCGATCGTCATCTGCTAGCGAGTGCGTAAAAAATGACATGCATTAAATGTATGATGATTGTACAGCGTCCCTAGCAGATACTTTCAAGAACTAAAATCTTAAACTTTATAGATCTTTTTGACGCACTCGTTAGCGACAACGGTAAATGCAAACTCGCACTAAGCACACAAAAAAAAACTTTCTCAGTTAAATTACTCCAAAACTATTAANATTGTACAGCGTCCCTAGCAGATACTTTCAAGAACTAAAATCTTAAACTTTATAGATCTTTTTGACGCACTCGTTAGCGACAACGGTAAATGCAAACTCGCACTAAGCACACAAAAAAAAACTTTCTCAGTTAAATTACTCCAAAACTATTAAATTTCGGATTTTTTTAGGGGGGGCGGGGGGGTTGAAAAATAGCCAAAATTGTCTCACGTAATTTATGGACGCCCCCTAATCCACAATTTTGGAAAAGTTCCATAATTGACAGAGTAATTGATTAAGTGTTGTACCCATGTACACTGTAATCGGAATAGGTTGTGTGATTCTTTCAGGCAGTGCATTTTCGCATGTCGCGTGCGCTATGGAAACCGCTGGGAAGGGGTCTCTTTGTTCAACAATTACGTCGAAACTAATAAACGTAGACTAATAGATTTACATTCGTTGTGTAGAATAGCTCAAATACTAAAAATACAATGCAAATATTAAAACATACCGTAACTACCTGGTTTTTCTTGTGTTGGAAAATAACTGAAAAGGAAGTGAAAAAAGTTGGGTTTTTGTCTAATTAAATCCATTCTTACTCCCATAAAATGTATGAAACTTGTGTCTGTTTTCTACTTCTACTAATAGATAATTTTATTGGCTATCGCATGATATAAAATATTTGCCTATTAATGTTAAGCTACCCACGCTTTCACTTGTTTTTTAAAGAAGAGGTGTAAACTAAAAATTAAAAACTTAAATCGATGTAATTTTTCGAGAAATGGGTCAGGCCCCAAATTTGAAGTATTTTCATCGATAAAATTATCCATAGATTACGCCCTTAAAGTTTGATCACTACATGCCCGGACACACTGTATCCTAATCCTATCCTAACTTATATATATATATAATATTATAAATGCGAAAGTAACTCTGTCTGTCTGTCTGTCTGTCTGTCTGTCTGTTACGCTTTCCCGCTTAAACCTCGCAACCGATTTTGATGAAATTTGGCATAGANTCGTTCGTTCGTTCGTTCGTTTCAGCCAAATGACGTCCACTGCTGGACAAAGGCCTCCTCCAAGGTTTTCCACAATGCACGGTCCTGCGCTGCCCGCATCCAGGCTCTTCCCGCGACCTTTACGAGATCGTCGGTCCACCTAGTAGGAGGCCTGCCCACGCTACGTCTTCCAGCCCGTGGTCGCCACTCGAGAACTTTTCTGCCCCAACGGCCATCGTCTCTACGAGCTATGTGCCCCGCCCACTGCCACTTGGTTTTAGCAATTCTGCGAGCTATGTCGGTCACTTTGGTTCTCCTGCGGATCTCCTCATTTCTGATTCGATCACGCAGGGAAACTCCAAGCATGGCCCGCTCCATCGCCCTTTGGGTGACCTTGAGCCTTCTTATGAGGCCCATAGTAAGCGACCACGTTTCAGATCCATAAATCAACACTGGCAGCACACACTGCTCGAAGACTTTTGTCTTGAGACACTGCGGTATTTCGGACGTGAGTATATTGCGTAGCTTCCCGAACGCTGCCCAGCCGAGTTGGATTCGACGATTGAGCTCTTTCTCGAAGTTGGCCCTACCTAACTGGACTGTTTGTCCCAGGTATACATCATTGTCAACAACATTGTTAACATCATAAAATGTATTAATTAGTAAAGGACATCATTAATTATATCATTGACAAATATTTTTATTTAATTTTTCCCTGCGTGATCGAATCTGAAAAAATGAGGAGATCCAAAGTGACTGACATAGCCCGCAGAATCGCTAAAATCAAGTGGCAATGGGCGGGGCACATAGCTCGTAGAGCTGATGGCCGCTGGGGCAGGAAAGTACTTGAGTGGCGACCACGAGCCGGAAGACGTAGCGTGGGCAGGCCTCCCACTAGGTAGACCGACGATCTGGTGAGGGTCGCGGGAGGCGTCTGGATGCGAGCGGCGCAGGACCGGTCTTTGTGGAAATCGTTGGGGGAGGCCTTCGTCCAGCAGTGGACGTCTTTCGGCTGAAACGAACGAACGAATTTTTATAAGTTATGGATAGAATCATAATTAATTCATTGTAAGTGGAGTTTTTAGGTTGAAAGTAATTTAAGAAGGTAGATTAAGTACTATTTTTTATATATTTTAACCAATATAGGTATCGCTAGTTTAAAAAAATTAATATGCATGCAATTAAGTAATACTGAGAAGTATTATACACACGTGTAAAGACAATGTTGTTTTTAATAGATTCGCAGAGAACTTTAATGCGTTCCAAGAGATTTCTTAATCCCATGTTATCTTATCTTTATGTATCAAGTATTAATCCACTCAGACGAAGGCCACTTAGAGCGGGTGCCCAAATAGCATCTGCACGAATAGCACCTAGCCTAGTCCACGAAGAGCACCTATCGATATTTTGTTCTCCTGTTCGTGGATAAATTTTTTAAAATAAATTTGAATCCACCATTCAATAGGTGCTCTAACTCTTCGTGAACTAGGTCAGCTGCTTTGCTAATCCCGCGAGTGCTATTTTGGCGGGTGCTCTAAGTGGACTACCTCGATTAGAAAAACACGACTCTTATAGAGACGGGAAACAGGATCGACTGAACCCACTTTATTCTTTTCAGACATAATGTTATGGCTACAACGATATAGCTACGTGGCTTTGGAAAGTGGTGGATTGATGAGAGGCTGGCTCAGCCATATACTATATTTTAGTAAGTACACTAGTAGCATTAATAGTTTATGGTAGATCCTGGCTACACAGTGTCATATTTAATGTTTTCTACAGTTGTGACAGACCCTGTTGATTTGGAAGTGATACTGAAGTCTTGTCTGGAAAAAGATGACCTGCACAGGTTCATACGAAAACTTACCGGAAATGGCGGCATATACGCACCAGGTAAGTAGGTAGGTAAATATTATTAAAGCTTTGTTCAAGGATATTTATTTATTGTTAAAGCTTGAAACAGCCTTCGTGCTATGCGAGTGACTCACTCAAAACGGCATGATTAAAAGTGTAGCACTTTGTGACGTCACCCGGAACTTCAACGCATCATAATAATTAAATTATTATTGACGGGATTGCTACCATGTACCTTATTCGTAATTACTTGTTTAATAAACAAAAAAAATACGTGTTCAATATTTTTTGATAATGTAATTGATGGGCTAAAAGTCTTTTTTTAGTAAACTAGCCTATTGTAAAGGTAATAGAAAATCAAAATTGTTTCGAACTCTCAGTTGGTGGAGAGCGTAGACCTTTTCTTGGGAATCTGAAAGGGAGAGGGCGCCAAAATATAATTTTTGCCCCGGTTAGGAAAATATCGTAGATCCTTGGCTGGTTTAGTAACATTAGTTACCTAGTTGTTGCCTATTTGTAAATATCGTATAGTTAGAATAAATGAACATACGAGATATTTACTAACTACTTTCACAGAATATTAGTACTCTACTACTGCTTACAATTTAACCAAACTTGAAGCTTTACGCTACTGTACCGGTTACTGTATCGTGAATACACAATTTAATACAAGTTAGGAATGTGCATTAAAATAATACTTAGTTATGTTTGATTATATAAATTCAAACCTATGCAGTATCCATCTGGAGAAGACGTCGGAAGATCACGGTGCCGGCTTTCAGTCCGAAGATAGTGGAGAGCTTCGTGGAGGTGTTTTCGGAGCAGAGCGAGAAACTGACGAAGCAGTTGTCAGATTACGTCAGCACAGGCAGCTTCAGTATCTGGCCATTCGTCAGCGCGTATACCCTGGACTCAGTCTGTGGTGAGTGTACTCACTTAGTGTCCGTGACTACCATTCGGCATGGAGCACACTGAAAACCAGCATCGAGGCATATGCTGAGTGGGGTCCCATTGCGATGGGCATCGCTGTGCGACAGGGTGGCACTGCTCAGTTTACTTTCTCTTCCATTGTATGTTTTATGTCACCTCTATCTTATTTGCTTTTTTTATTTACTTGCCTCTTTTGTCTTTTGTGATGTCCATGGCAATAAATGTTTCTTTCTTTCCTTACGCAATACTAAGGATTGGAATTTGAATATTGAAATGAAGTTGTGCGTTCTACAGTACTTATTATTATTCTGTGGTACTACTGGTACTACTTACCGCCGATTAGAATTGAACTGGCTTATGCAAAAGAGCCTCAATCACTTTCATTAGCCTATTTCAGCTACGATCAACATAATTTATCTATTAAAAATCCGAATCATTCGATTGTATCCATGACCTATGTTAATAATAATGTACTATTAAATATTTTACCTATTTTAATTTTATGTCTAAAAAACTTGTTTAAAATACTTAAACTTGTTTCTCTCAGAATCAGCAATGGGAGTCAAAATCAATGCCCAAGGGAATCCCAACACGCCTTTCTTACTTTCATTGAACCGCTTTCTCAACTTGGCCTGTGAGAGGATATTCCATCTTTGGCTGCAACCAGACTGGCTTTATAAGTCGTTCACGAAGAAGTACAATGAGCATCAGGAAAGTGTGAGCCACATGCACGAATTCACTGATGATGTCATCCAAAAGAAGCGAGATGAGCTCCGCAATGAACTGGAGACGAACACGGAGGCTGATCAAACCTATGGTAAGATTGGTAGAATAGGTTCGCTATTTCGTCGCTTCGAATTTTAGACGTTTCGAATAACTTCGAACCAACTCATGAATGATAACATGCTGTTATGGACAGATTGTCAAAAATTGTTTCATAATTCACTGTTTTTATTGTAAGATATTCCATTTCTTGTAATAACATCATCATCATCATCATAATTAGGTAATTTAGACTCCAATTTACACGTACGTAGGTACATACGATATTCACGGGAAGTTTTCATCTTGGAAGCAAAGTCTGCCGAATTAACACGAATCACTTAATTATCACCAACCTGTCCTTTTAAATTCCGAATACTTATTGATCGGTCTAATGTTAGTTTCTACGAAACGAAGTAGTTACTATCTGTTTTAAATAATTTCAGATTTAGGCAAATACCAAAACAAATCGTTCCTCGATCATCTCATAAACATCTCTGGAGGAGAAAGTGGCTTCACAAATATTGAGCTGAGAGAAGAAATCATGACTCTAGCCATAGCGGGGACAGACACCTCAGCTGTGGCCATCGGGTTCACCTTGACTTTGATGGCCAAGTATCCCGAAGTACAAGAAAAGGTCTACCAAGAGTAAGTTGAAACTTTATATTGAGATGATTAAGATTTAACTCTTGAAATATCAGCGAATCGAGACACAATAGATCAATTGTTATCAAGGTCTCATGCGGTCGCTTAGGTTAGGTTCTATGAGTTAAAAGGACACGAAATCTCCTTATTCTTCCTCCGTATTTAAATGCTAGTTATCATTATAATCGTATTTCTTTGGAAATGGATGACATCACACTTCTGCCCAGGTTGTACGATGTCTTCGAAGGCTCCGATCGTCCACTAGTGAAAGAAGATTTATTGAAACTCAAGTATTTGGAGAGGGTGGTGAAGGAGTCGCTGCGGTTGTTCCCTCCAGTGCCTTTCATCATCAGAAAGGTGATAGAAGAAATCAAATTACGTAAGTATTTTATATCGAGTTCATTTTGTACAGTTCTTGGGTAATTGTCCTGCTATTTGTAGCAGTCCAAAGGATGAAAAGAGAATTAAAATATCTTATAGGAAAATGATGCTTAAGATTAGCAGGTCAGGTGCCATGTGCTTTAGAGGAGTCTTCCAGCGACTTTTCTCTTGGAAAAATATTTAAAAATGTTGTGGACCAAGTTAAAAGTGGGCCAAGTCGCTGGAAGACTCTTTAGAGGTGGAGTAGGTACGAAGCTCTGACTGAAGTTTCTTGTTTAACAGCCTCCGGCCGTATCCTGCCGGCTGGTTCTGGTGTGGTGTGCTCCATCTGGGGGGTGCACCGGGACCCCAAGTACTGGGGTCCAGACGCAGAGAGTTTCGATCCCGACCGGTTCCTGCCAGAGAGGTTCAACCTCAAGCACTCGTGCAGCTACATGCCGTTCAGTCAGGGCCCGAGGAATTGTCTTGGTAAGTTGACATTGAAACCTCCGTCAATCTCAGAAGATCTCCTAACACTGCCTTCTCCCAGTTTCCATGGTATGGGATACTTGACTATGGCAGCTGGGGATTAGTTGGGACTGTCAATGTTGCTATCCTCCGGTAATGATCGCATAATATTTGACCAGTCTCTGTCTACAGTGTAGGTAGATAGTGAATTTCTATGTCGACTACTTTATACTCAACATAATACTCGTGTACATAGGGTAGTATGGACTTTTGAGTATTGAAGTGATCATGCTGTCTCTACTGTAAAATCCTCCTTTATTGTCGAGAGGTTTTTCTTAAGATTTACATAACTTCAAGTTGTCTTGAATTATGATTAAATAATTTAATAGTTTTGTACGATTCACAGGTTATCAATACGCAATGATGTCAGTGAAGACAGCTGTGTCAGCTATCCTTAGGAAGTACAAAGTGGTGGGACCAAAGGAAAAGACGTCTCAACCCCATGTTCGAGTGAAGCTGGACGTCATGATGAAGGCCGTCGACGGCTACCAGGTGGCCCTGGAGAGGAGGCAGCCAGTCACCAATAAAGTTCATTAGTTTGCTATATAATATTTTAAACTATTATGTTGCATTGCCCGCGACTAGGGTTGCCAGGCGTCCGGATAAAGCCGGATATAGTTAGGCTTTTTGATTGCGTGTCCGGCTAAAATAACCGATGTCCGGCCTGTCCGGCTTTTTTTATTTGGCTGCCGCGCCAGGCGAAAGATGATGATAGTACTCACTCGTGAGCTCACTAATTGCACCCTCCCCCCGTCGCATGTCCGGCTTTTAGGGTAAAATGTCCGGCCAAATGAAGCACATAGTTCGGCTTGTATTTTTAGACCTGGCAACCCTACCCGCGACCATGACTCGTGCAACCGAGCCGAAACGTCGGGAGGGTAAATATTTTATTTACCGTTAAAATATGTAGATATTGTTGCAATAAATCCCGTGAAGTGATAATTTTAAGTTCATTAGTATCATTCATATGCTAGATAGAATAGTTATAGATTAATGTAGATTTTTAAGTTTGGATATTACGTGTAAAGTATAGTTTTAAGGTCTTGTTATTTATAATTATTTTGTAGATCATAAAATTTTGAAAAAGCCATCCAAGTGGCCACATAGCAAGATGTCTTGAAAACCATAGAAAGAGATAAATATTGCGAATAAAATCAATTATTGTGCGTGTTGTGTTATGATTAGTGAACGCCTTACATTTTTGTGTAAGCCTAATATTTTTTTTGTTGATGTGCAAAGTTTTATTTGGTTTTATCTTAGCGCTATCATCTTGTGAGGGCAAAGACCACCTTTCTGCATATTTGTAACTGGCAAAAGTGAAATTGCGAAATAATTAGAAAATAAATAAATGCGCACTTATCACCTTACAGATCACTTTTGACTATTAGAATCCTATTTTTTTCTGATGAATTCCAGTTAATATAATACTTAATCTACCCGTGAAAAGCCAGGGCGGGCCGGTATATCTAATACTAGCATCCGCCCGCGGCTTCGCCCGCGTGGAAATTTGTCTGTCACAGAAAAACATTATCGCGCGCGTCCCTGCTTCAAAAACCGGGGTAAAAACTATCCTATGTCCTTTCTCGGGACTCAAACTATCTCTATGCCTTTCATCAAAATCGGTTCAGTGGTTAAGGCATGAAAGCAAGACTGGCAAGACACAGACAGACAGAGTTGCTTTCGCATTTATATTATTAGTATAGATAGTATAGATTTAAGAATAAAAATTCGTAAAAGGTTTATATTATGTTATACTCGTATGTGCATGTGAGTACATTATGCTAAACCTAGATATTTTCAGTCTACAATCACGCACCCCTTCTTTCAAATATTAACTAATCCCTTTAATTTTTTTTATGCATAACATGGCAGGTAGGTATTTGACCACAACCGCACCTGATGTTAAGTGGGATGCAGTCTAAGATGGTACATATCTGCCCTGCAAGTGCCTACTACTAATTACTACTGTGGTTACTACCTACTTTTCCCTTGACATGTATAGAGCCTTATTTAGTCATAGGAATATTCACCCTTGATCTGATAAGTCGTATATTAGAGAAATCTCGAAGGTTGAATGACTGAATTTAGTGTTTCTAATAATCGTTGTTTACTATAAAGTTTAACTGTCCCCAGTCACGGCCAGCCAGTGCCAAGTTCGATAACTTATCTAATATTGACATTACCATAGTGGGTCAATGTTACTAAAAACCTATTACTTTTACGTATATTTACATAACTATTTGGGAATCGGTGACGGCTCTTGTGAATGGGTGATGTAACATTATGTAATACATAATAATGTTAGTGACTATTGCCAGGCCTGGCTCACTCCGCGCGGTACATCCGATAATTACCTACAGCGAAGCGCCCCGCCGGCGGGTATTATATCAGTCGAGTGTCACGCGCGCGCCCGTCAGGACGCTGGCGTGCGTTGTAGTACCTAATTCTATGATCGAAGTATTATTACAAAATTGACATAAAGAGAAAGAAATATTATTGTGCGGCGTTCGGGTGTTTAAATTCGAAAAGAAATCTACCGGATTTATCTCTTTTTTCGCTTCCCAAAGATNAAAAAAGTATATAAGTAGTATATCCGTTAAGCTAGCACCCATAACACAAGCATTAAGTTGCTTACTTTGGGGCTAGCAGGCGCTGTGTGAAATTGTCCAAAGATTTATTTATTATTTATTTATTATTATTATTTATTTATTGTGTAAAATTATCTTCATATTCCTAATGAATTATTTATAAGAGAATGCTGCTGCATGGGAGACACAAGACAGTAGGCAAATTAGAAAATTTATTTATTTTTTTTATTTTCACCAACTTCAACCTTTATAAAAATACTAGCTTTCCGCCCGCGGCTTCGCCCGCGTGGAATTTTGTCTGTCACAGAAAAACTTTATCGCGCGCGTCCCTGTTTCAAAAACCGGGATAAAAACTATCCTATGTTCTTTCCCGGGACTCAAACTATATCTATGCCAAATTTCATCAAAATCGGTTGCGAGGTTTAAGCGGGAAAGCGTAACAGACAGACAGACTTTTTCGCTTCCCAAAGATGCTGAAAGGTATGTTGGCCATGTAGGTAATCAATAATTCTTAGGATAGTATAGGAACCTAACCTACCATGACTACTGCTCAGAATGCGTTCGTTCGTTTCAGCAAATTAATGACGTTCACTGCTGGACAAAGGCCTCTCCCAAGGTTTTCCATAATGAATGCGTACTTACCTACATACGTACCTCATTACAAATAATTATATTAATTATTTTTTTACTAGACACTATTAGACAGCAACCCTAACAGCGTAAGAAGAGTTCAGAGGCACGCGATAGAAAGAGACAAAACTTGTAGGTGAATAAAATTGTAGGTACGTAGTGCTGTGCGAGCTGAATTCCGCTGTATTGCGTCGTAGCAAGACTCGCATTTATTTAAATCGTCTTGCGGAGTAATCCTTCTGTACCTGTACTATTACTTATTCTGTGCTATTGCTTTTTTTAATAATAAAAAAATACCCTTATTAAATTTCACGCCTCTTTAACCCTGAAATATGTAGAGCTTATAACACATATTTATTTTTAAATATACCTAGATGCGTACAATACACACAGACTAGGTAGGTACACGTAAAAAATTGTCCTACAGTCAGCGTCACATAGTTCGTGACGTTCAAATTGGCCAAAAAGTCTATAACACTACCTACTACTAGTTTATAACAAAAAGTTTATAATAAAAATCTTTTTGGCTATTTTGGGTGTCACGAACTATATGACGCTGAATGTACCAAGATCTTTTATTGCGGATTTGCGGTTCGCATAAAGGTTCGGCCAAACCAACGCGATCACACGCGATCGGCCGGCGTGCAGCGATGACGACCAGACTTAAGGTTCAGCCAAACCAACGCGATCAGCCGGCGTGCAGCGATGGCGATCAGACTTAAAAGCATTGATCGCTATCGCTGCACGCTGGCTGATCGCGTTGGTTTGGCTGAACCTTTAAATGCATTGATCGCCATCGCTGCACGCCGGCTGATCGCGTTGGTTTGGCCGAACCTTTATGCGAGCAACCTACTAGGCCTTGATGCTGTTAAAAGTAATTAATTTATTGGATTTCTCACCTATAGTGTTAAGATTTATTCTACTGAAGTCAATCAAATTGTGTTTAATGTTATACGAGTACCTACTCGTAGAGAGGAGAAGAATAAGGGTTAACTTATGGACAACTTTCCAAGCGAATCCACCTTTTAAAAATCTCGTTCGCTTTTTGATAAAGGCTAAATGCAATATTTCGCATGAGACAACCATGGTAAACAAAACAAAGTAAACGAAGAGAATTTCTAAACTACAAGTTAGCAAATAGTTACATGCTGAGCATGCTCTTGAAATTTCTGAATAATCTTTTCAATGTCATCATTTGAAACAGGAAGGTATTTTATTCCAATGCTGAAAATTTATCTACTGCATGGTTATGTTTTTCGTAAATTCCAATGTTGATAAACTATAACCAGAACAATGTTGTTCTTTAAAATACAGGGTGACCTTATACTTTGCTCTATCGTGCGTTCTGCAGAACTATTTGCACTGATTAATATTCTATTACAAGTTTAAAGTTTAAATTCAAGAGCTTAAGGTTAAAGATTGCGTGTTTAAATGTTCTTGCAACTTTTGCATTTGCTAATGATATAGCATCAACTTTTGTACTGGTTGGTTACATACATAACTTACTGAATATTAATTAAAATGCAGTAATAAATAACTAATATGATGATAATAGGTAAAGATTAGAAAAAAATCAGGCGAATCGATGAAAATTCAGGCGACGAGTTAGAAGGTGACTATGGACGTCACACATCAAGGTAATGTAGGTACTTCTTCTTCTCCTCTATGGCTATCATGGCTATTGTGTTTCCATGTTTGCCAATGTCACATGAGCATAGCCATTACACGGTATATGAAATTATGAACCTTGGTAGGTACAGTCAGCGTCACCTGTCAAATCTAATCTACTTTAAGATCTCACATTTTTAAATAACAGCAATTGTTATAGGTATCCAATAAATCAAAGAAATAGAGTTTAATACTTGTTCAAGATGTTACTTTGTTCCTATAAATACACATTAAAATTTTGATTTTGCATAGAACTTAGCTGTCATTTAGATCTCTATTCTTTTTGCGGCGAAACCCACAACCAATCATAATTTTTGTATTGAACTTGGCTCTCCTTTTTTACATTTATGTTTTTGGTGGGATAAAAATTACTACCAGTTGAGCTGGTTTGTGCAGACTAGTCTATGTTATTTTCGAAAAGTCACCCCAATAAAATACGAGTACCTATTTAGACTTAGTTCTTATTCAAGAATGCAAAATATAAGTTGGTTTATTTTTAAAATACCAAACATTCTAGCTGTCGTAAAATTAAATTGAACAATAAAATAAAATCTGTTTATGGTGGCAAGGCGTAGTTATTTTAACCAAGCACGTACAGTAAAAGTGAAATAAAGTGTGAACAAAAAAAATAATGATTGTATAATAATAAGTTATGTAATCATTATAATATTTTAAGTGTATTTAAAAAAGGGGGCACTGATGCGATGGGGCAGGGCAGTAAGCTTTTGGGGTGGAGGCCAGGTACCGAAAAACGCAGCGGTGGGCGAGCCCTACATTCAGCAGTGGACTGTGGTTGAAATGATGATGATGATTTAAGTTGATTTTCGGGTTGTGTATCCCACGTGGTACAGAAAGATACTTTATAATGATTAAAAAAAAAGATTAACATTTATCATGACATCAGTGAATACAGCGTGGTAGTTTCATGAAACGGTTTTTCATCCACGTTATTAGTAAACATTTTTTGTGACTATTATTTACAGAAAAATAATTCAGGAACATGTTTGTATGGCTGTTGTTAGTCACAGCATTGCTGGCTCTGGCTGTATACAGGTTCAGAAGAAGGAATATGTATCGGCTAGCCTCACTGCTACCAGGTTCTGATCATGAGCTTCCTTTGGTGGGAATTGCTTTTGATCTTGCTGGGAATACTGAAAGTAAGATATAAAAAGCTACTTAGTAATTTGACATTATAATTAATAACGAGAAAGATTCACGTCACGTGTTATGGGTTTTTAGTGACGTACTGGTACCTATCATAAGCCTTTGCGCACACTACGACTAGTTATCCCCTTGAACTTGAGTGATCTCAAAATTTGATTATTCTTTAGGCTGTCCGGGTTCAGATAGTAAACTTCTTTTATTGGTCTTCTTTTAACTTTATGCCTAGGACTCAGCAATCTCCTCTATCTTTACGAAAGAAAACACTTCTTGTCCCCACTATATTCTATAGAAATAGGTATGATGGTTGGCAAAATGGCAATGTATTGATAGGTAGTGGGTTTGTTACCATTTACAGATGTTATGCAACAACTCATAACTTACAGTTACATAGCGATGAGAAACGGTGGACTGATGAGGGCGTGGTGTGGACCTATTTTATTTATCGGTAAAAGTTATTATTTTGTTCTTTAGAAGTGTGTACAGATACAGGCTATAATAAAGCATAGTGTTAGAATTATATTTAGGACTATATTAATATGATGGCATGGAATGATGGCTTGTAGTGATTAATCGAAGTAGTTATTATGTTTTGCAGTTATGGTTGATCCGGTAGATTTGGAGTTCGTAATGAAGCACTGCTTGGAGAAGGGTAATTTACATAAGTTTTCAAGAAACGTCATTGGCAACGGTGGGATCTTTGCACCAGGTACTACATGCGAAAAATAAGGCCACAATTAAATCATAGAATAAAAAAAATATGAAAAGTTAAACTTATTTTTTTAGTTTCAATTTGGCGAAGGCGTCGAAAAATCTTAGTGCCGACCTTCAGCCCTAAAATAGTTGAGACTTTCGTGGAAGTGTTTTCGAAGCAAAGCGAGAAACTGGCTAACATCCTGGCCAGTTCTGCTAACATTGGTGAGGTCAGAATGTGGACTTTTCTTAGCACATACACACTGGACTCTGTGTGCGGTAGGTACTTTTATGGAGTAACAATGAAAAGTCCTTTGTTGAAAGCAAGTCATTGTACTGGGGGTTCAGAGGAATCCTAAATTTTCTTCTTACCGTGTGAGCCGAGTCTTTATGAGTCACTACAGAAGTCTGACTTGGTTGAAAAGGAATGACTAGACAGATTAAATAAAATCGGCATTTCCTTATGAATCCCAACTCTGTTGAGACAGATAGATTTAATTAATAGACTCTGGAGTTGACCCCTTAACTAGAGAGTTCATTTAGGACTCTACATTTTTAAGGTGGTCATGATAAATAAAAGAATATAATAAAACAACGAAATTAATAAGTATTTCTTCAATGTATTTTCGAAGTCCATTATAAATGCTCTATTATTTATCGCGTGTGTGCCTGACTATTTGGTCATGTAATGCAAAATTATATCAGAAGATAGTTTGGTCTAGGTTTATGTTGTAGGAACGCATGATTTTTTACACGCAAGCATAAACTTGTATTAGGTACCGGTATATTTGCTATGGCAATTTAACTTTGTACCAAGCCCCAACCAAGTCATCGTAGACTATGCTTTGCTCTGTTTAGGGAGGCCCTACATTTATTTTAAGAATATTAGTTAATTTGTTTTGTACAAATTACTAATAGTCCCGTTATCCCCTCGTGTCTACACCACAATAGACGAGCGTCAAGGCGGGATTCGAACCTGAATTTCTCGGATGTCGAATCAGCCAGTCCGACCCCTTCACCGTTCGGCTATCGTGGCTTCAAATTGGTGTCATGGTTGTAGCAACCATTACCATTTAATTTGCTACTTTTTATGGACTGGATTGATTCGTGGATTATTAAAATGAACTATCAGCAGAATACATTATTAATACAATAATTGCGTAAGCAGTGGCTTATCAGTGTAGTGTCCAAAATTATGCTTTTTGAGACGTGGTTTATATAACTTAAACTGTTTTATTTGTATGATTATAGAGACCACAATGGGAGTGAAAATAAATTCACTAGAGAACCCCGACACTCCGTTTCTCGTTGCGATGACCAACATGCTGCATTTAGTATGCGAACGATTCTTCCACATTTGGCTGCAGCCGAACTGGATGTACAGACTTTTCCCTCAACATAAGAAGCATGATTATTATTTGAAAAGTGTGCATAATTTTGCTGACGAGGTAATAAGTACTGTTAGGGCTCGTTCCCGCGGTAATCCAGTTTTCTCCATACAGTAATGTAGGATCTTGCAAACTGAGGAGGTTGAGGATTCCGGGTGAAGCTCGCTTCCACCTTCGGCCTGATCATCACTTACCATCAGGTGAGATACAGGGTTAGGCATTAACTGGCCCATCGGAAATCTGGTCCGCGGACCAGTTATAGCTTTTTAAAATACGGATACAGGCAATGAAAAGATACAAGAGCTTCTTCGTAGTGGATAAAAAATCTGGACTATCGTGTGAACACACATAATATTAAGCGTGTTTGAAATTCGTATACAAATTCGGTTTTTTGGGACACTACAAACGGTATGTTCGTGTGAACGTTCATTAAAACACGTAGCTATACTACTAAACGGGATCCTGCAAAAAACTGAATGTTTCTGTGTGAACAAGCCCTTATTGGTGCACCATTTGACTATACTATCGCCCGTATTCACATACGATGTTTGCTAAGTGAAGTAGCAAATCGAAAGCACAGCGTTGAATAGAGCTCTGTTATTGGTTCGTGTGTCACCCTGTGCGTCCACGCGCACTGTGAGACCTCATAGTAATGTTTGTGAATACAGCATAAGCTGACTTAGGTATGCTATTAACGAATTAACAGATTTGTTTTGATACAATATTATTTTCAGGTGATAAAAAAGAAAAGGGAAGAAGTAAAAAATAATACTCAGAACGAAACGGAAACCAAAAGTGAATTTGGTAAACGAGAAAATCGTACAGTTTCTAAAGTTTTTCTAATTTATTGAATTACACATTTTATTATATATTTTCATAAAAGTTTATGTTTTTCAGATTTAAGTAATTATCAAACAAAAACGTTCCTCGATCATTTAATAAAACTTTCTGGTGGTGACGAAGGGTACACGAACGTAGAACTGAGGGAGGAGATACTGATGTTGGCGGTAGCTGGCACTGACACTTCTGCGGTGGCTGTCGGGTTCACTATGAAGCTGCTAGCGAAGTACCCTCACATACAAGAGCAGGTTTATCAGGAGTATGTGCTTTAATTGAATTTAAACTAGCTTCTTCCGCTGGAATAAACAGGTTTCGTCAGCTGGAATAAGCCTTAAGCTTCAACCACACCAAAGCGTGCAGATCGCCATCGCCGGCGCGATCAAAGGCCAATGACAGTTCACGTGACCTGTCATTTCCTTATATGATCGCGCCAGCTATGGTGATCTGCACGCGTTGGTGTGGTTGAAGCATTAGTTATTCCTTATGAAAGATCCGTCAAAATCGGCTCAGGAAACAGAAAAAAAAAAGATAAAGATAGATTTACCAATTTTCACGTAAGTAAACGTCTTGTGTAAGCTGTTATTTTAGCTCGTGATTTTAAAAGCTAACGGTGGAATTTTCAATGGAATCGAACTAGTTAAATATCTAAATAAGTAGTGCCGTGTCGATTTACAAAGCAGACAAATATTTTTGAGATTTTATACAATGTTATTGAACTTTAACTATGAGATTTTCTTTCACGAGAATACAAATTCATTTGTGTACTTTGTAGTCACTGCTCATCATAAATTGAAATTAGGTAAGTACCTAATAATTTTTGCATGGAATTTTAACCTGTTTCATTCGTATCTTTTTAAATTTTGCAATCTAGTAATAAAAATAAAAATCTAGTTTGCCTTCAGCTAATAGGTAATAGATAATGCCTAATACCATTTTATTATGCATATAAATTATTGCACTTTACATGTTTTTAAGGTTGCACGAAATATTTGGCAATTCAGATCGTCGTTTAGTAAAAGAGGACTTGCCAAGGCTGAAATGTATGGATAGAGTGGTGAGGGAAACCATGAGACTGTTCCCACCGGTGCCCCTGATCGCACGACAGGTCGTAGAGGACATAAAGTTACGTAAGTGTTTATGTTACATCTAGTTTCTGGGTGTTTTAGAATGGGCTTTTACTGGTATACTGGATATGTAGAGTTTCTGACTCATTTCCAAGATTCGTTATAAAACCAAAGATCGCGACAGGTACATCCAGAACACGAGTTTGGAATAAAACTATTAAGTATTTGCTCGGGATACTATGTGACTGTAAGGTACCTCCCTGTGTTTCAACCTGGGCACTGGCCAGCGTGCATTGAGCGCTAGAGTTTACTAGGTACACCAAACATCTTATTTAACAAACGTCAGAAATCTGTCTAACTCCATACGAGAAACACCGGTTATCGTTAAAGTTGCGGTCAAATTTAGGTAGTGCAACTCATCCTTAATATAGAACACGTATGAAAAGAGTGTTGCGAATGCATTTTTTGTCGAGTTGTATACTTGTATTTATACAGCTTTTTATGCTTATACAGCCTCAGGTCACATACTTCCCGCTGGGGGTACAATATCAATCTCCATCTGGGGGGCACACCGGGACCCCAAGTACTGGGGTCCGAACGCCGAAGAGTTCGACCCGGATAGGTTCCTACCTGAAAGGTTCAACCTGACTCACCCGTGCAGTTTTATGCCGTTTAGTCAAGGACCAAGAAACTGTGTAGGTACGTTCATTCGCGTTCGTTTGAGCCAAATAACGTCCACTGCTGGACAAATACCTCCTCCAAGGTCTCAGGTATGTAATACCTATTCAGTATAGTAATTAATTTAGTAATTGCATGTCAATAGATACTTTTTAGGATCATCCAGATGTTATCAAGTGTATCAAGTAGTCTGTGGGCTGAGTGTGAGTTTATATCAAACACTAGGCACTCTGACGACTTAGCTTTTCTGATATAGTTCCAAAATACTGAACTGTCCTATCGATGACATTGACAGTGGGGCGCCACCGTCAATACCGAATCGCTGGTTCCGATTTTTGCCATGTTGGAAACTTAAATAGTTGAACGATGGTAGCGCCCCCCTGTCATTGAGTTTGGTGGGACAGTTCAGCGTGGGTCATCTATATCATATTGTTGAGGGTAATCATCATCAAGTCATTTATTCTCCAATGCAGGAGCAAGACTCTCTCTAATTTACCAAAGAGAAATGGAGAATTTGACCTATACTCGCCACGCCGCGCTGCTGGCCCGAAGAATTGTCGTGGCCGTTGTCCTTTAGGGAAGAGTGGGGTGATATTAGAGCTATAAGTTAGTAGTACCCAATCATCTGTGCTTTTTGAGATTTTAACATTTATTTTATTTGCGTCACAGGTTACCAATACGCGATGATGTCGATCAAGACTGTATTATCAGCTGTTCTCAGAAGATACAAGCTCGTAGGGGAACCTGAGGAAACCAAAATTCCCCATATTCGTGTCAAGGTGGATCTAATGCTGAAAGATGTTGATGGCTTTAAGGTGTGCCTGGAGCAAAGGAAGCTAGTAACTCAATAATATAGGATTAATTTTCTCAGTTTTTTATGTAATAGATGATGTCTGATGATGCAGTATTGGGCCTTACCTATACGACATTGTAATTATACCTTTAAATACTTCTGATTAGTTTAATTCGCAAAATACTTAAAACAATTTGATATTCCACTTTTAATCTTTTCTTCCTAAAAAACTTAAAAATGTATGCGTAACTTTTATCCACATTCATAATCTCTCTACAGTTGATGTAAAACTCCTTTCATTACGACTGTAAAAAGTTTCTATTTTTATTTTTTCTTCTAAAAGTGTAATTAAAAACTTTTTCTGTCAAAAATTGACAATGTTAGCAATTATAATTATAATAGTTAAATATTTACCTGTGATTAGCCGGCTCCGTCTATATTCTTTGCGTCTTGGTCACGATTGTACAGTGGTATTTCTTCATAAACTGCACATCAAAGACCGTTCTTTGTGCGAGTGTGGCCTGGATGAGGTGAGAGCACACCGGATCATATTATCTTCTTCGCTTGTAAACATTTTCCTCTTTCCCTATTAGATATCCTCCCCTATAAAGAATAATAAAAATTAAATAATTTAGGTAGTAATAAAGAAAGGAAGGATAACATTTTTTTTATCATAATGACAATAATTGGTAAGTATATGTATAATTAGCTCACTTAATAATTTTTGGTTGTTTAACTTTGACTTCACTTGATGAGCGCACCTGGTAACCAGACTTTTAGGTAATTAAAGCGGTTTCAGCAAAAACAAGACAAGCTTAAACGTTTTTTCGTCAGACTATTTCAGTAAAACATGCTATGTCAATCAAAAGTTTGGTTTATTTTTGCAAAACCTTCGTTTTAAAGCTTTCTTTTAATGAGAATGAGGCTAGCTGTGTATTGTGCAATAATAACTAGTTTGAATGCAGAGCTATTACAATCAATTTCCACCAAAGCAAACTAGTATCATTACTGGGAGGTTAAGGCCCGCCATACCCGAACAGCTTGAAGTAGTTAAAATCGAGTTCCACGACTTTATGCTGCGACTGCACAGCCAACTACAGTACTCTACGTATACACATTAGAGGTGGGCGCCGATAAAAAATTGGCCGGCGGCGGCGCGCCGACTTTTTGACCTCGGCGGCGGCGGCGTCGGCGGCGTGACCTTGTTTGACCTTTGTTCATTAGGTTTTTTTTTTAAATCAGCTTTTTTAGTATCTGTCGTCAAGACTAATCAGGTGATTTGCAGTTGGTTGGAGTTTGAGCCACTAAAGCAGTGGTTTACCCTAGTAAATTAGCTCTCTTGATCATAGATACTTTGATAATTGGATAGCGGGTTTGGCTGAGATCAGGTTCTCGTGTATTTCCTAAAGGCGAGCGTACCAATGTGCCGATAAAAGTACTTTTGAGCTCTTTGGAGGTACATAGTTAATGTTGGATTAGCTGACTGTCAGTGGAATGTTATATTCAGTTCTGTTTTATTTATATTTATGGTTTTTCCATGTCATCCTACGGTCCAGGATTTTAATGAAGGTTGATTGCAGCAATGTGTCGAGGTCTAGATTGGCCGGAGGATAAGTTTCACGTTTTAAATGATAATATGGTGAGACTTCGGGGCTTAATTACATGCGCCACTTGGTCAGCCAAGCAGCTGACATTGCAACAGCTAGTCACTTTAAGATCACAGTTACATTTGAGGAATGCCGCAGCTTTCTGGTGTCTGGGCTACTTTACTAGTAGATGTTATAGAGTATCGGAACAAGTACAGAGTCCTGGGGTACTCCAGCTCTGCAGCTAAAAAGAGAAGATTTTGTCTTCCCCAAATCGTCGGTCCACCTCGTGGGAGGCCTGCCGACGCTACGTCTTCCGGCTCGTGGTCGCCACTCAAAAACTTTACTGCCCCAGCGGCCATCAGCTCTACGAGATATGTGCCCCGTCCACTGCCACTTGATTTTAGCGATTCTGTGGGCTATGTCAGTCACTTTGTCCTCCTGCGTCTTTCGTCCTTAATTAGCGTAGTAGGAATCAGCAGCAGAATGTCCAGCAGTGGACGTCATTTGGCTGAAACGAGAGGAATCAATCTTCTACTTTGAACTTGAGAAGGGTAAGCGGAAACATGGCGGTCAACTCCTCAGTTAGTCAAGTACAAAGATATCCAGAAGCAGCATACGAAAAGATGCAAAATGAGCCCTCTCAAATCACAATGGGAAGGTTTGGCAGCACAGCAACTAGAATGGCGGGAGATTGTGTTGTATAGAGGCGAGTCCGCGAATTCAACGAGCAGCGCATAACTGAACTCGACGCAAAACGCGATGATGTAAATCCCGTCCATTTGCCGTTATTCACTATAATTATGTTGGCGGCGGGTAATTTATTACTCCCAATGTGTGAGGAGTTTGCCGCGAAGATCGGCTACGTAAGCCATCTTCGGGCGCACCAGCGCTGTTAAGACAGCTAAGTCGAAGTGGTCACCATGACAGAAATCGGTCGGATGAATCATCATCATCAGTAGGAATCAAAGGCAGGCATAGCTGCAAGTCTCGGATCAAGTCCAATGTCAAGCATCTAATTTTTTTGATTGAATTGTGGATTTTTTGGATTATCCGTGTCAATGGGTTTAAATAAACCGGCTTGTCATGTAGCAAAGGTCTGAGATTTTTCTTGTCAGTTCGCACTCATGTATTACCGGACCTAATAAGCGGAGAACACTTTGAGGGAGGTACTTTGTTGCCTTCCAGAGGTTGTGGTTCCCATTTGCACTCCAAGACATATTTGCCAATCTCTGTGTGAGTGATTCGCTTAAAGTATAGTCCAATAGTGTGGGTTATCTGCCAGACGAAGGCGGGGTTTTCTTTCTTGACAGCAAGAGAGACCGCGGCGCCTCTCGCGATCAATTATTTACTAGACCAAGCAGTAACTTGAATAATGTACTTGATTAACTGTTAATATAGTTAGTATTAAGTTATTCAATCAATTATTAGTATATCAACGGCATTAAGTTCGCCTTGTGTACCATTAAAGACATTTAAAGAATAAATATTATAGTTAGTTCTTCTGTTATATGGTTTACTGATGGGTCAAAAATGGGCCCTAACGTAGGCTTTGGCGTGTATGGAGAGCAGCCGAAGCTTAGGCTATCTCAAAGCCTGTGTAAATTTGCCTCTATCTTTCAGAAGTTTACGCCATTATTGAATGTGCGGAAGCTAACCTGCGAAAAAATTATGCCAACCACATAATTTACATTAACTCAGACAGTCAGGCCGCGCTGGCCTTAAACTCCAACTTAATCACCTCAAAGTTGGTAGAAAACTGCATGAGTCGACTGAATACCCTAGGAAAACGTAACAGAGTAACGCTAAGATGGGTTCCAGGTCACGCGGGAATCGTGGACAATGAAAATGCCGACGAACTGGCCAGAGCGGGAGCGGAGGGAACACAATGTGGCATTCCCAAAAGTCTCGCTCGAATGACCCTGGAGAACATCTATTTAAAAAAATCCTTTAAGGCATGGTCAGACACGCTAGAATTAACTCATTCCAAAGCTCTTATAAAAGCCTATGACCGAAAATGCTCTAAGCAGATCATAGGACTGAGTAGGATCACAATGCGCATCTTAGTTCGAGCCTTCACTGGACACAGCAGCTTAAACAAGCACTTGTCCACTATGGGACTGTCCAAATCAAGAACGTGCAGGATGTGCCAAGAGGCAGATGAAACGCCACTACACATTTTCACGGACTGCGGACCTTTGATGCGCAAGCGGAGCTTACACCTGGGCAAACACATCCTAAGCCCACAAGATGCAAAACATATCGCCCCCAAATGCAATTCCTAATGGATGCAGGACTCGGAGGCAAACTGTAAGGAAAATAGCGGCGATCACAATAGATCGGTACCGGTCGCAGTGATACTAGGACTTTATTGAACTAGAATAGCCGCTCAACTCAATAAAAAATAGTTCTTCTGCGTTTGAAACACAAATTAGTACAGTATAGGAGAGGAATAAATTTCAAATAGTTTGTACAATATCAGTATCGGCGCGCCGACAGCTGGTTGTCGGCGGCGGCGGCGTGAAAAAATTCGCGGCGGCGGCGGCGCGCCGGCGTGGCGCCCACCTCTAATACACATACACGGAACCGCTTCAGCATTTGTGAATGCTTCGGGAGGTCAAGCAGTACCCTCATCAGGCATAAATTGACTGATCGAGCTGTTGACTGCTCTCGCGCAGTAACATCCGCTTTTCATTCCACGTCGCGCACGCTTGACCTATTGAGCTGTTGAAACTAAGTCCTCCAGTATGGATGACCTACACTGAACTGTCCCACCAAACTCATTGACAGAGGGGCGCCACCATCGTTCAACTATAATAGCTTCCAACATGGCAAAAATCGGAAGCAGCGATCCGGTATTGACGGTGGCGCCCCGCTGTCAATGTCACGGGTGAGACAGTTCAGTGTATTGGGTCTATAGTTATGTTATCAATGGCAGCTTCAAGCTGTTGATATTGATCACTGGCTAACTGCTCAAGCTGCCCGTGTATGGCGAGCCTAATATCTAGATATCAAACCATCGTAACTTTCTTACTTTAGTAATGCTGACTTCTAAAGAAATTAAGGTTGATAAAAATATTAGGGTTGACAAACTTGGAGGGCGGTTGCTACATGAGGGTGGTGTTGGTTAATTCATAAGTAATTGGATACGTGTTTTACGTTTATGAAACTTTACTTGTTACTGTCGGCCGTTTGGTGTAGTGGTACAGAACGGACTACTATGCCGAGAGGTCCCGGGTTCGATTCCCGGCCGGGCAGAAATTGAAATGATGAATTTTAATTTCTGTGACGGGTCTGGGTGTGACTATGTATAATATTTATGTATTTAAAAAAAAAAAAAGTATATAAGTAGTATATCCGTTAAGCTAGCACCCATAACACAAGCATTAAGTTGCTTACTTTGGGGCTAGCAGGCGCTGTGTGAAATTGTCCAAAGATTTATTTATTATTTATTTATTATTATTATTTATTTATTGTGTAAAATTATCTTCATATTCCTAATGAATTATTTATAAGAGAATGCTGCTGCATGGGAGACACAAGACAGTAGGCAAATTAGAAAATTTATTTATTTTTTTTATTTTCACCAACTTCAACCTTTATAAAAATACTAGCTTTCCGCCCGCGGCTTCGCCCGCGTGGAATTTTGTCTGTCACAGAAAAACTTTATCGCGCGCGTCCCTGTTTCAAAAACCGGGATAAAAACTATCCTATGTTCTTTCCCGGGACTCAAACTATCTCTATGCCAAATTTCATCAAAATCGGTTGCGAGGTTTAAGCGGGAAAGCGTAACAGACAGACAGACAGACAGACAGACAGACAGACAGACAGACAGAGTTACTTTCGCATTTATAATATTAGTTAGGATTAGTTAGGATAGCTAACAACCTGCATTTTTAACTATGAGAAAACATAATCATAACAAAAATCGGCCCACCTACGTTTTACAGGAAAACTCGTCTCTACTGACACAATCATGGTGCCCCAACAATATTGGTGTTATTTGAAAGCCCAATAAATATCCATAAAGAAAAACACATTTAATTTCTTAATAAACGATTAACATTACAATAAATGTGACTTGAAAAAAGACCTAACTTTGGGCTCACCTCTGGGATCAATTAGACCAATTTTTATAGTTATAAAACCAAAGAATGATCTCACGTGTCCTCTTTAACAGATGGATAGCGATTAATCTCAACTTAACAGTATTAAAACCATAAAAGTTGGCTCAATCATAACTACCTATTTTTTGAAGAAGTGACTCTGGATCCCTCTAAAGACACAGTTTTGGGGTAAAAACCTTTCCTTTAATGAAATGAACTTTAGAACTAAGCTTTCAAATGGTGCCAACTTTTGTGGGCATTGGGAATGCATACGTTTGAAAGTGCTTGTCGCGGGAGGGTCGATTTTCGTCGATTCGACAAACAACAGTGATCTGATTAGATAGACCAGTTTTAAGCAAAAAATAAACTTTTTAGTTATTGAATATTACAAGTTCACAAAACAGTTTTTTTATTTAAAATCTGTAAAAATAGCTCTGCGATATTAATAAAATTACGAAGCGCTATTCTTTCTATTTTTAAAATTGCTAACTCACCCTTATTACACAATTGTAGAAAGGAGGGGTGGGTGTCTTCGGGTTTAATGATGACAATGATAATATGAAAAAACGTGTTTCGTAAAAAAATTTCTTCAAAATATTTCTGAATAAAAAAGACCAGACCTTACAATTCATCTCTCATACTTTCCGGTGAAAGTGCTGTGATGATCAATGATGGCCCTGAAAAAGAATCTCCACGCATTTAGTTGCGTGCACAGTTAGTTACAAATGAAGTAGATCAGCTCTGGCCTTTGCATCATCCAAAAAGTTTACATAATTACTTACCTTCTACAAAAATCTTAGCTACTTACCAAGTAGCAGGTCGAAGCGCCGCGTCTTCCTTAAAATTAACAACGCGCGCACCGCAGTTGCTGGCACTAAACAAGCGAAGTTCAAAAACCTAGTTAATCGCAGACAGGCAATAATATCGAAACCATACTGCCGCAGAGGTCTTTGATTCCAGTGTTCGGAGGTGCACCACCAAGCGTGCTCCGATCTTAGCATTTTGACTCAAAAAGTTAATATGAGAGAAAGACCCAAATCTACTGTGAGTGATATGACAAATATTTTTTTATTTTCGACCTTCATTCATTTACTTCAGCGGTTTTCTCCGATTCGTTTTAGATACTTAGAAACTTTCGACTAAGCAGTTTTGCTCATAGAGAAAACCAAACGAATATTTCTTCAGCGGATTTTATCAAAACGCCTAAACAAATAGAGAAGCTGTTTATTCGTGATCAATAAAAATACTCCCTTTTTCGATTCACTCCCTAAGGGACATGGCGACGACGTTGCAAAGGGATGTTTTTACGATAATAGGATAAGTTTATCACGCTCTGCACGCAACCTGAAACTGGGTTACAGGAAACGTGGAACAACACCAATTTAAAGTTTCTAGTGCCTTTAATTTAAAAGATTATAAAATTTCGACCGACCTTGTGTAGTTTACAGTTCTGTTACTTTTGTGACGAATCGCCAGACTGCTTTTTCTTTTGCATCGTCTTTGGAGAGTGATTGTGATTATTTACTTGGAAGTTTTAATGATCCAATATTGTTAAATAGAGCTTTAATAATTGTTGATAATTAAAATTGAAATCAAACACTGTCTAGTGTCACTAATTCTCGCCAAAAAGGTTTAATATATTGAAAAAAAAAATGATTGATTACCCTGAAGTGGTGGGAAAGCATGTAGTCTTACAAAATGTTGAAAGACATCCACCTGTTAATTTACCGTATGGGAAAATTGTACGAAAGAAAGTTAGTATATGTTCAATTATGCATTTTGATTTTTGACTGAAAATCGGTTATTTTGATATCCACAGATCGCCTTGTTACATCCAACCTGTAATCTTGAAGCTTTCTTTATAAATCCACTTATTTTTTGTTTCTAAATTTGCATTTTCATTGCAATATTTTAATTTACGACCGGTACAATACACTCGGTAAAATACGGTTTCGTCATTAGCCTCAGAATGCATTATCGTGGTTACATAGCTTTTTACAAAGCTCGGGCGCGTCACGAACGGCCCTCTATAAATCACCCGTTGCCGGAGTTACCCCGAGCTTTTGGCGGAAGCTCGCGCAGTTTAGGGCGGGCGGGCGACAGACGCACTCACTTTTGTTACTACGTTTCAAGTTTACCGCGAAGTTTTCGAACTAATGCATGTGTTCAACACATGTTTCGACACACGTCAAAAGTAGAATTTGCATTTAAAAGCTCCGTTTTAGTGGACGTTAAAAAGCTCAGAGATGAGTGCCTTATGATATTAGGACCAGGTTAGCTCATTAGCAATGTTTGGTAGCGATCAACAATTTTCGTATTGAATTTGAAATGTTTTGTAGAAACAGCGAAGAAGAATGGACGGGTCTTTGGAGAACGATGAGCCGTTCATATTTCGTCTCAACGATAACGGTTCTGGACCAAGCCTTCTCGTCAAGGTAATGTATACGTAGATTCTAAGATTAGTAATTAGTTAAAGTAGTAGTAGTAGTAGCTTAGTTTCATTATTTTGTTTTTTATCATTAACTTTTAATTCTCATAAAAATTGTTATCTTGGTTAGAATTATTATGGAATAATACATGTTTAGCCAGAAAATCGAAGTCAGCCATCAAAACAGACGCTGCACTGGTTATAAGAATGATTGTAAAATCCGTCGGGTTTATTTGGCAAGATTATAAAATTTTCTATGGGCTGAACTTTTAAGTGTAAATAATAAGGCAAAGTTATTCGTTATGGGAAAATAATGTCGGTTTGTCCAAACGATAGGGTCATTAAATTTTCGGTTAACATTAAAAATTAAAATCTTCAGTTGATTAGTCAGACGCTCCGGGACTTCCTAGTATTTGATGATAAACATAGGTGAGCACTCAGACAGTACAATCAATTTTGGATGCTCACTTCAAATATTTATTTATGGCGAGTGCTCGTTGACATGATGTTTCCCAATGATTTATTACATGAGAATGATTATTATTAGTCCAGTCAATGAATGCTTTAACGACGGTGTAGAGAGAAATCCCTGGAACACAATTTCTGACCTCGGGACTTTATTTAGACTAGTTACGAGGTGAACATAGTAAAAGTCCCCACCCTTAGCCCTCGAGCCGGCGGGATACCTAAAGAACCGTTTGAGGTATATTTATGAAATTTTAAGCTGATGTTTATCTTGCAAGTCTCAACACATGAGCCAAATTTGAAGTGTTAATGCACAGTACTTTTTGAGTGATGAGGAGTCAAAAGTGGATCCAATTGGTTCGTCTAAATATACGCACGGTGCAGTCCTCTCCCTGGAACTAGGCTTAACATGCTCCCGCATGTCTAGAATATTAGCTCAATGTTGATTTAGTCGATTTTCTCCTGACGGAAACACGTAAGACAAAAAAAAAATTTCCAATATTACAGACCTTCTAGAGCAGATGCCGCTAAAACTATACAAGATACAGAAAAACTTGACTATCTCACCTGTAGCAAATTTAATAAGCTTTTTTTGGTTCATAGTAGCCATGTCATTAGGACGCATAGTTTCCGAGGATTAAGCGAAAAACCGAAAAGTGGTACCTTTAAACCCCCCTCTCCCCGCCGGCTCAAGGGCTAAGGGCGGGGACTTTTGCTATGTTCACCTCCTAACTAGTCTAAATAAAGTCCCGAAGTCAAAAATTGTGTTCCACTGATATCCATCTACATATAATGCTTTATTGACTGGACTATATTCTCAAATCTTATATTTTCTTCTTTTTGTCATCATCATTTTAGCCACAAGACGTTCCCTGCTGAACATATGCCTCCTCCAATGATTTCCAGATCAAGTTCGGTTCGTTTTTCTCTCTAAAGGTCTTCGACCTTTCAGAGTTGAAACTCCGGTACGACCGTTAATTTGGTATTGTTTTTTAAATCTCATAGGTATGTGCGGAACGAGGCTGGAGAATGTACCATGGGTACAGCACCGGCGAGGACCGGTGGAACCTTTGGTGGCGGACCGGCGCGTTCCCAGCTGCGTGCTACAAGGCTCTTGGCGATTGGCAGGTGTTGTGTTATAATACTTCATTTTAGGTGTCAGCTAAGTCAAACTGTTTTGTCGTATACACTCGTATAGACACATTCAGGACTCGTACCAGTGGGAACGGGAGGTTGGACTAGTCCCGCACCTTATCACCTACTTTTACGTCATAAGTTGACAGTTGATTGGGTACGGGCCTAAAGTTGTATGCACACAGTTTCAGTCCTGTTGTCCCCCTGGTTGGCCTCCCTGGGAGGGATAACAGGATTTTGAAGTCCTGTTGTTCCCCCTGGCTAGGGTGTGACTGCATCCATGGAACAGAAATACATGAGTGAGATGCTATTCGTTTTTTTCAACCATATGCCTTCCACTGCTGGACAAAGACCTTCTCCTAAAGATTTCCACAACTCTTAGTTATAATAAAATTATAGTCCAAATCGCTTGATATTAGTTTTGAAATAAGACCAGAGAGCCACAAATATCGTAGTCTGTATAATCACTGCAAATAAAATCCGAACTATAATAACATTTTTTTTACAGTTCATGAACCACATACCAAAAGGAGGTTCGATATGCCGAAAGGATGGCTTGTCAAGATTGCTGCGCTGCATGAGAAAAATCTATGGATCCATTTATGACTTCAGGTATGTAGTCCTATATCCTTGGTGTCAAACTTTTCTCGTTTTGAGTTATTATTTCCGTTTGTTATTGCACTATTGTCGCAAAACGAAAGGTTAAAATTCGCCAGCCAATATTATACAATTTATACAGCTTTCATTCACGGATTCTAGTTTCCATCGAATAGCTGCATTCTCTATAATTCGATTTGGCTGGATTCCTCGGTATTGTGTTCCTTTTGTCAGCCGCAATCGATTCACAGGATGTTTCGTGATTGAACACATTGACGCAGGCCTCCGTCAGAATGGCTGGGGTGACGGGCGTTACTATAGATTTTGAGTACACCAAAAATCAATTACATATGAAATTGCAGCTGGCAGTTGAATGGGACATAATAAAAATACATTTCTACGATACCCACTGCCTATAAATTTCTATTCCTATGTGCATTTCATTCTGTCATTGATGTTTTTATAACGCATCTTGTAATACACTTTATTACTATGTTAAAATCAAAATTAAAACTATGTATTTTCATATAGTATCTTTAACATGATGTTTCCTTTACACTATCTCACCTCTTCAAATAGTCTTGCAATAAACTTTTTTATATTCCGAATCCAATCAGTTTTTAAACCGTAATTAATCAAAATTGATTCAGAAACAGACGTACGTAATAATAGATACTTATTCCTATTTTTATTTAAACATAAAAACTATAATGCTGTCTTCAATAAAATTGGCGTGCAGACAGGCCTACATTATGACAGGCTTAAATATAGATATCCTAATTTGTTTTACCTTGTCTGTCCCAAAAATAGACAAGTCTGAGCTTATGCAAATGCTACTTAGTTATTTGGAGTAATAAATGAATGTTTCTACCCTTTCGTTGTTGAAGGTCGTCTGTGGCTCTACATTTTCTGCCCATCAATCAATTTAAGTAACATTTTCAGATGTAATCGTTTGTTTTCGTTCGCTGACGGCAATGCCGATACGAAAAAAGATTATTTCCGTATTATTACATTGTTCGAAACGGAATATAAATCGTTTTTACAATTTAAACCGATAAAAAGCGGTAAAAATATATTTGGGACACGCGAGCCGAGCTCTCGGTTGTAAATTGTAATTTTATCCTGATGGAAATTAACAACGAGGGAATCTCGTGTTACACAAACAGATTAAAATGCAATTGATTTAAAGCTATCGTAAAACAATTTTGCGGTATTTTGGTAGCGGATCGAGCGTTATTTAAAAATTGTTGGATGAAAAATTGCGAGTTACGTAGAGCTTTTACAGTGTAAAAAGTTATTTTCATTCTAATAAAGCTACTGACTGAATGCAATCTAAAAAGTATTACTAGTATTCAGTCAGTCTATAATATGTAGGGTACCTACTTGCATACTGTTGCAACATATCCGTTGATTCACTACTTGTAAGATGCCACAGAATACTCAGAGCGTGTCCGTAGGTACATTTCGTTTCGTCCGTTTACAAGGATATTATACCTACCTACTATGTATCTTGTAGCCATTATAATCAAGATCTTGTAAAGGGGTAAAGCCGACTCGTAACTGTGGCATAAATGGATACACCATACACAGACCTGCGGAAAGTAGCGCCGTTGTTGTACTACTGAAAGTACTATTTAGCGCCGTTGTTGTACTACCTTCCATACTCGTACTTGATATAGGGCAAGATAAATCACCCATGCCTGAACCTATAGGATTAATGCCCCCTGTGTAGGGCGACTCAGATCGCGTGCCCCATACGTATACAGCTTACTTCATTTCATTTACTAACTTTGGGTTCTATTTTTAGCTGATTTAACAAAATAGTTTTGTCTATATTTGGATTGTATCACTCTTGACTCGAGTGCTTATTATACTTAGCAAAATTTTTCTTCACTGATAAGAATAATTCAATTTGAGATTTGAACAAGTCGGATTCGTTACGGAGGCACAACTGTTATTATTTCTTGTTTAGGTCTCAAACTCTAGATTAGCTCATAAATACTACTATTAATTAGGTATTAAATAATTAAGGACTAATCTCGGTTAAAATTTCTATCCTTTTTTATCAAGAACTCAAGAACGCCTGCAATCTGTCACCCTTCACATCTACACAAGCCGGTATCGGCTTTATTGCATTGATCGTGCTTATGCGGTTAAGATAAGCAGCAGTAACCGCAATACTCAGCTATTTCCCAAAATAACCGCTTGCAGCAGTCCGATTGTGAAATCGTTCCTAATTCGCATTCGAAAATTTCCAAGTTTGATTATACCCGTAAAAAGGTAACGTAACGTAATCGGCTTTTTCCAAAACGGGCATGCGCCAGCATTTGTTGATTGTGTTGTCGTGCGCCGCGCGTCGCGCTCAATGGACTGGCTTGCGTGCCGCACGGCACTGGCCCTACGTATTTTTATACACTGAAAAGCGCCTGAATTGCACCCACATGTTTAACGTGTAGCCGAATGCGTTGTGAATCGTCGAGATAAAATACACATGCAATATTCTTTTATAGGCGTACTATAAGTTAGATTGTTTGAAGACACTAATAGAAGTGTACCACGATTACGTTTTTTCATGTTAGCATTTTGCAAGACCGTAACATTGAAGTTTCTAAGTAGGTACTTCTTAGATACTTGAAGATAAATAAAATTATTTCAATGCAATCTAGGACTATAAATACCAAAGTCCTTACTGCCTTCAAAGATAACCTTGCATTAAGGGCAAGAAAATGCAAGCGGAATTAATAGGCTTAATTCAGCATTGGAAAAGTTAAGCCCGCCTGTAAAGGTCATATTAAAATTGTGCATGCATCAAGGAAGGTGAAAGTTCACGGTGATATTAAATAATCGGCAATATTAATGAACCAAAGCAATTACCTTAAGTGGTACCACGGTTGCGTGACTGATATTCAAAAGAAAGAATCCGTTTAGTTGTTTTGGCATTAGCATTCATTGCTCGGGGCTGGTGCTCAGGGACTAATATGACGTTACTAAGTTGGCTGCCTTGATTGCTATTGTTTTATTGCTGAGTACAAAACTCTATAAATATACTTGCTTTACTAACTCAAGCTGTACCTACTTTGTGAGAAGCAAAGAACACTTGACCTTACACTGACGTTTCTAGTACATTAATCAATGACAACACATAACATCAAAATGGAGTCCATAAAATTCACATGAAACACACTTACACGTTTTACTACGTTCCAGCCAAGTTTGGTGTACGTCATACAGTTGCGTATTGCCAAAATCGACGTACACATACCTACATCGTAAAATCAGCAAGTCCACATAGCAGAGAACCCGAGTCAAATTGCAAAGTATCGTGTTGAGTTACAGCCTTCGCAAACACGCAACACTGACAGTATTTTCAAATTATGTACCGAGCATAGTATTTATGTACTTATAGCCTGACCAGGAACATAAAAACCCTGGCATAGAGGCGCGTCAATTGCATTTGATAGTGCAACACTGAGTACAGTCGTACCTGTGTTAAATTAATAGGCTAACTTTATGTATCAGGATTTAGGATTACGGGCTAATTTGATATTTTCATAAATTAACGAAAATAATATTATTATAGGTAACCTGGTTAAAATAAATTAAATGAAACCATCAATCGAGCTAGTAGGATTTATTTTATTATTCATCAATAATCAAATTCAGAACTTGAATATTCAACTGCAATGTCTGCTCATGAACGCTTCAAACTCGGTACTTCTTTCCCAATTCCATAAAATTCAACACTTAGAAAGTGACAAAAAAAATTAAAATAGGTAGTTGAAACAAACCACAGCTAATTTTCACAGTGGACTGTACTATACGATAAACATGTCAGTCAATTTGACAACCTTTGTCGGAAACATTATTCAATGAAAATATTTTCCGAACCCTTAGTATTTGTCTTCGACAAATACTTTAACACATTGTGAACCACTTTTCTTTCACGACTATAAAGATTTTAGCAATTTAATTCACAAAATCAATTAGGCACATTTAAAATAAAGTTTGTTTACACTTTGACAGCAATAGACTGACATGCAAAGTGACATGTCAATGAAGTTTTCAGTTACTGTTGCCATTAAAAGAAATTAGTACCATTAGTTTTCCGCAACATGGCGAGGGTTTTTATGTTCCTGGTCAGGCTATACTTTGTTTTTATTTGGAGTTAAAGCACTATCTAGTCTGTGGAATTCAGTTAGCTGTGTTGACAGACATTGTTGGGTTAAGTTGTGGGCTATTGGAAGCGCGAAAAGCTAGTTTGTGAAAAGTTCAAAAGTGAAAAGTGAAAAGTTTGTGAAGAGCTTCCTCGTTGTGGATAAAAAAAAGTTCCGAGAGCCTGCCTTACACCAATAGAATAAACATTGTGATTTAGAAACAGGACATAGTATGAGGTTGTGTGGAGCAAGTGAGATGCAGTATTGGTCATACGTATGTACGAGTAATATGTATAAGCGAGCCTTGGCTGGAGATAATGTGGTACACGCAGAGTAATATAATCTGAATGCGTAGCATCTCCTGTAACATACATATGATGCGAAGCATAAAATTCCTTTCATGCCAACTTTTAGGTTATGCACCTATGTCCTACTCAACTTTTCTGTATTAGCTACACAAAGTATGAAAAAAGTTATGTAGACGAAGTTTATTTCTGCCGTTCTATCAAGCAACTTTTCTCGATCTCAACTAGATGACCAATAGGAAATGTGATAAATAAAGTATTAACCAGGACGATACTAAGTAACTTACACGCTTCAATCCTGTCACTTAGGTCTATAAAATTATTTTTATAGCGTGACAAACCGCAGTAAGAATTAGCGCTATCTTATCTTCGCTTAGTCCCACCGATTCGCTTTAATTATGTTAGTTCAATTTAAAATTTTGCAAGTAAAACCTTCACCGTTTTATTAAATCTGGTTATTGTCGTAAAATGTATTATTATCTCTTATTTTCGTTTTGTTAATTTTGAATATTTTTAGAACAAAACTGTATAAGTTAAACCGGGCACTCACTAGCAAACTGTAGCTATCCAAAACACTAACACTGGATTGCACAAAAGTCGTCGTTTCAGCCGAAAGACATCCACAGCTGGACAAAGGCCTCCCCCAAGGATTTCCACAGAGACCGGTCCTGCGCCGCTCGCATCCAGGCGCCTCCCGCGAACTTCACCAGATCGTCGGTCCTATAACTATAAAAAAACGTCAAAAGTCTGTCAAACTATACAAAAACACCAATTAAAGTTGTAGTTACGGTTAAAGTTAGGTGATGCAACTCGGTGTAAGAAAATGACTTGAATGTTGGCTATTATAGCCATATGAATTAAATCTATGAATTTGCTAACTCTTTATTTATCGTCTATTTTCAGTCCACCATGCTACCACCTCCCGCTGGAGTATGCGAAGTTGGTGTCCGAGTTCTCCAGGCTGCGACGCAATGAAGATGGTGACTCCAATGTCATCTGGATACATAAACCTGTGGCCCAGAGCCAGGGTCGAGGGATTTTTCTATTTCGGGTAATGCATAAGAAATGTAAATGGTAAACTATTGCGATAATATTTATTGTCTTTTATGGAAGACATCTTTATGGAACACAGCGTGGGACCACAGAATAATAATAAGTACTACGTACAGAAGTTTTACTTCGCGAAGGTATTTAAAAAAATGTATGCTCAATGTCATTAACAATATGGTGTAATTTAGCCTGTCTCAAGAGTCAGTGATCGGCACTGCGCCGAAGGGCTGTCTTCGATAAAATGATGTGACGTGAGGTGCCAAACTGCGGAAAATGGCGGAGGAAATACATGATTTAGCATGAATTATCATGAATAATATTAACTACTTATTTACCTCTCAGTGTCTTGAGGCAACTTAAAAAAGTACATTCTGTGTTTTTATTATTATTTAGGCAGTTAAATACTGCACAGTATTTAGTACACCATTTTATTTATTTTCTTCCATCATACACAAGAATACGCTTGCGTGAGTCAATGTTCGCTCGTATGTGAGGCCTTGTCGAATAGTATCCATCGTGCGTGTTTTGTTTTCGATGTAAACTCGCGGAGATGAACAGGCCTGGTGGGACGTCCACCTACAAGGTGGACCGACGACAACGTAAAGGTAGCTGGGAAGCGCTGGACGCAGGCCGCTACCAATCAATCAACGTGGAAAGCATTGGGGGAGACCTATGTTCAGCAGTGGACGTCCTATGGCTGAAATGATGATGATGATGATGATGATGGGAGACAATCCTTATTTATGCTGACTCTGAATCATGATTCATGGTTTGCATTGCAAATCTCTTTTCCTCGCATGGGGAAATAAACACGTCCGTGTTGTTTTTAAAAATGAAAATTTTTTCGGCCAGTGGCTTTACAGCCTACAATCTTGTACAGGTCTGTCTAGTAAAAAAATAAATTGAAAAGGTCGTTTACGCGTACGGCCAAACTCCTTGGGCGCGCGCCTGGCCGGCGAGAAACTTATTTTTAACTTTGTTCTTTTCGATTGTCTCTTGTTTTTTTTCTCTTCACACTGCTTTTTACCCTAAAACCAAGTGCCTATTATGTGAATTTGTGTTGTAAAATAATCAATTAAACCATCTCGTAGTGTCGGTGACATGATTTACTTTTAGCTATCATTTGCTTTCTTCTTCTTTTCGTGTCGACAACAAACTTATACAGTATCAGCCAAAAACTCCGCCACAAGAGTGGCGTTGTCAGTAGCACTCATCAAATCCTCATTTGCTTTTATTACTTCTGTGACTCTAGGTAAAGGACACCAAGTATTGTAATAAATCGAAACCGTTTTGTTTTCAGAGCATTTGTGAGATGCGATGTGGCACTGCCGCGGTAGTGCAGCGGTACATAGAGCGACCTCTACTCATCGCTGGATACAAGTTTGACTTGCGGCTCTACGTTTGTGTGCCGGGGTACAGGCCTCTGACTGCGTACATGTATGCTGAAGGATTAGCTAGATTTGGTAAGGAAATTTTAATAAGTGTTATTCCAAGCTATTGAGCTAGTGGGTACAGTTAGCGCCACATAATTCGTGACACAAAAAGATGACCTTATTGCTTAAGTTGCGAACTTATTGGTTACTTGGGTGTCACGAACTATTTGACGCTGACTGTACTGAAAAGCTTTACGTAGTGGGATGTGTTACCACATAATACAGTGTGAGTCACGTTAAAGTGTACATATGAAAATAGATGAAACTAGACCTATTTTTATCAACAAAAAAGAGGTCAAAATTTTTTTGAGATTTTTTTTTTTGTAGAATTTTTTTTCTTCCAATTACTTATTGTAAAGAAAACGTAATAACTTTTAAACTAAGCGGTATATATCCTGATAAAATAAAAACAGTAATAATGCTAAATAACAGACGATACTAAAAAAATACATAAAATATACAAAAAAGGCCAACAAATAATAAAAAATGATATTTTTTGAAAAAATCTGCTTTTAAATTCGTGTTTTTTTGGTTATTTGATAAATTTCGCCAAAAAATGCCCCTATAACCGGTGGTTTTTATTACTTTGTATTATTCTCTATCGTATTACTTCGTAAAACGAAAAATCGCATGTCTCTATCCCTATCACACGTTTGCAATGATCGTTTGAACTAAGCCTCTCCGGGCGCGCCATTCAACGCTTCGTTAACAACANACACCAAGTATTGTAATAAATCGAAACCGTTTTGTTTTCAGAGCATTTGTGAGATGCGATGTGGCACTGCCGCGGTAGTGCAGCGGTACATAGAGCGACCTCTACTCATCGCTGGATACAAGTTTGACTTGCGGCTCTACGTTTGTGTGCCGGGGTACAGGCCTCTGACTGCGTACATGTATGCTGAAGGATTAGCTAGATTTGGTAAGGAAATTTTAATAAGTGTTATTCCAAGCTATTGAGCTAGTGGGTACAGTTAGCGCCACATAATTCGTGACACAAAAAGATGACCTTATTGCTTAAGTTGCGAACTTATTGGTTACTTGGGTGTCACGAACTATTTGACGCTGACTGTACTGAAAAGCTTTACGTAGTGGGATGTGTTACCACATAATACAGTGTGAGTCACGTTAAAGTGTACATATGAAAATAGATGAAACTAGACCTATTTTTATCAACAAAAAAGAGGTCAAAATTTTTTTGAGATTTTTTTTTTTGTAGAATTTTTTTTCTTCCAATTACTTATTGTAAAGAAAACGTAATAACTTTTAAACTAAGCGGTATATATCCTGATAAAATAAAAACAGTAATAATGCTAAATAACAGACGATACTAAAAAAATACATAAAATATACAAAAAAGGCCAACAAATAATAAAAAATGATATTTTTTGAAAAAATCTGCTTTTAAATTCGTGTTTTTTTGGTTATTTGATAAATTTCGCCAAAAAATGCCCCTATAACCGGTGGTTTTTATTACTTTGTATTATTCTCTATCGTATTACCTTCGTAAAACCAAAAATCGCATGTCTCCATCCCTATCACAACGTTTGCAATGATCGTTTGAACTAAGCCTCTCCGGGCGCGCCATTCAACGCTTCGTTAACAACAAAACTGAAAATGGCTCTAGATTTGTAATTTTGATAAAGACAAGTTAGATTTCAAATACAAACAAAAGATTTCGAAGTAAAATAAGCATTTTAGTTAAAATTAAAATTGTCTCTACCTGTAGCGGAGAATAATGTTGTGGCAGGCCGTTGTTCAAACGACGAATAATACAAAGTAATAAAAACCACCGGTTATAGGGGCATTTTTTGGAGAAATTTTATCAAATAACCAAAAAAACACGAATAAGTTAATTTCTGTAACACATTTGTTTGTAATTCCTAAAATTAAATAAATAAAAAATTTGCAGTGCAGCCAAAGCTGACGAAAGTAAAAAAAAGTACTACCTAGTAGATTAAGGTATGAAATGATACGAGGATCGAGTGTGAGGCAATGTGATAAAGATATAAAGAAAGAAGAGAAAGTTCGACTTTCGTAACTGCATCTTTATACCGCTCTTACGTGTAATATATCTTTGGCGGAAAAGTGTCTTAATATTTATTTATTTATTTTATTGTTAGGAAAACAAACAGCTTTTCGTCATATTGTTATCTGAAAATTCCCTTAGTTGTAAATGAATTAAAGTTAGCTCTATGTATTATGTTTACAGGTACGGATAAATATACGTTATCGGACATACACAATCCATACAGACATCTGACCAATTCGTCTTTGAATAAATCGGGGCCAAGATATGCTGAATGTAAGGATCGAATTGGAAGTGGTAAGAGCATGTTTTTTTTACATAATTTCTAATAATGAAAAGGTCAAAGCGCGCATTTTACGATGCATAAATCTGTTCAAAGTCAAAGTCAAAAGTCAAAGTCAAAATTTCTTTATTTGTTTGGACTAATAAATAGTTCTTACAAATCGTCATTTTGCTCTTAAGGAGCCTCTACATGTCTCATAATCTTTTTACCCTACCAGCGCTTCGAGACCAACATTTGGCAAGTGCTGAGAAGAAGCGCCGCAACAAACTCAGTCACCACTGTCTGCCGGTTAATATAAATAAATAGAAATAGTAGTAGTAGGTACATTCGATTCAGGAGCAGTTCACTGAACTCACTGTTTGTCATTGTTCCTTATATTTATTAGACTTCCTAGCAAAGTTAACTGCTTAAAGCAATAGGCTGAAATCATGGCACGATCATAGGCCAATGTAAAGGTCCCGCGAACTATCATGGGTCGCGCAACTTATCATTCGCCTTTAACTTATCATTTTTCTTTTATATTTCATTTATATTTGTTAAAGTAATTAATGTGCTCGAAGGACCTGTCTTATAAAGTTAGCTTAGTTAATTATTTATTGTAAGTAATGACATAATTATTGTAAGTGGGTTGATTAATTATTAAAATTCTTTTAATTTTTACCCGACTGCGCCAGAAGGAGTTTTTCGAGTATACGTATGCATGTATGTCATCATCATCTCAGCCATAGGACGTCCACTGCTGAACATAGGCCTCCCCTAATGCTTTCCATGTTGATCGATTGGAAGCGGCCTGCGTCCAGCGCTTCCCTGCTACCTTTACGATGTCGTCGGTCCACCTTGTAGGTGGAAGTCCCACGCTACGTTTTCCGGTACGCAGCCTCCATTCCAGAACCTTGCTGCCCCATCGGCCGTCAGTTCTGCGTACGCGAGGAACTGCTTCGAGTTCTACGGCTTTGATGTTCTGCTCGATGACTCTTTGAAGCCATGGTTGATTGAGGTTTGTTAAACCAATGCGTTAGACCCTCGTAGACAAGTGAGGCAGGTGGGGGGCAGCGGATTGGCTGGTCTGGCAGCGCATCAGGGCGCTGGTGACATTGACGCTGCTGGCCCAAGCTGCTGGCACTCCTCACGCGAGGAACTGCTTCGAGTTCTACGGCTTTAATGTTCTACTCGATGACTCTTTGAAGCCATGGTTGATTGAGGTTTGTTAAACCAATGCGTTAGACCCTCGTAGACAAGTGAGGCAGGTGGGGGGCAGCGGAATGGCTGGTCTGGCAGCGCATCAGGGCGCTGGTGACATTGACGCTGCTGGCTCAGGCGGCTGGCACTCCTCACGCGAGGAACTGCTTCGAGTTCTACGGCTTTGATGTTCTGCTCGATGACTCTTTGAAGCCATGGTTGATTGAGGTTTGTTAAACCAATGCGTTAGACCCTCGTAGACAAGTGAGGCAGGTGGGGGGCAGCGGATTGGCTGGTCTGGCAGCGCATCAGGGCGCTGGTGACATTGACGCTGCTGGCTCAGGCTGCTGGCACTCCTCCAGCGAGGAACTGCTTCGAGTTCTACGGCTTTGATGTTCTACTCGATGACAATGGGTGAAGTTATCTTCGAAGCCCAACATCTCATTAAGTATTTTATGTTTTAAAGTAAAAAGTGTGATAGGGATATAATATAAGTCCCTTGTAGCCTTCTGGGTATCCTTCCGTTTGGCCAAATTACTTTTCGCCAAATTTCATTTCGCAAACAACTTATCGCCAAAGTTTCATTTCCCAAATGAACTTTTAGCAACTGAACTTTTCGCAACGAACTCATTTGGTCAAAAACTTGTGTTATCATTTGGCAAACTTTTACTTGGCAAATGTTTACATAGCAATTAATGTTTTATTTTGCCGAATATTATATCCCAAATAATTTGTTTGGTCAAAATTGACACTTCACATACTTACCCACCGTTACCACCCGTTACCCACAAATCAAAGCATAAGGCACAATATGATCATGGTTTTCACAAGAATTTTATGTAAAACAAAGAGATTGCAGAAAATAGTATGGTTGCAGAAAGTAGGTAGGTATTGCAGAAAATAGTAGGTTAGGTAAGTGACCCTTAAGGATTACTAATGTTTGGCCAAAAAACGTTTCCCAAATTATCACATAGCAAACAACGTTTCGCAAATTTTCATTTGGGAAATTCTCATTTGGCAAAACAACTTATTGCAAACTTTTAATCCGCAAATGTCGTTTTTGGCATATTATTGTTTAGCAAATTATTGTTATTGTTAGCGACATCATAAAGGTAGCAGGGAAACGCTGGACGCAGGCCGCTACCAATCGATCATCGTGGAAAGCATTGGGGGAGGCCTATGTTCAGCAATGGACGTCCTATGGCTGACATGATGATGATGATGATGATGAAATTATTGTTTGGTAAAGTATGTTTAGCCAAATGAAACGTTTGGCGCGGCAGCGGCCGCCGAGCGCTAGAATCACCTCTATTGTTAATTAATCATTTTATTTGGAAACGATATAAAGATTGAAATTTGAAAATTAATTTAGAACAAATTTTATATTAACTACCCACTAAACAAAATAATAACCACAAGTTAATTTGTATTCCATTCTATGCACCAATCAAATTATTTTGTAAATAGTTATCGTTGCCAAATGAAACATTTGGCAAAACATTCTTTGCCAAACAATAATGACAAAAACGACATTTGCGAATTAAAAGTTTGCAATATAAGTTGTTTTGCTGAATGAAAATTTGCGAAACGTTGTTTGCGATGTGATAATTTGGGAAACGTTTTTTGGCCAAACATTAGGAGTAATCCAGCTTTCTGAATTATTAGTTATGATAATAAATATGTTGTGCTGGTATCATAAACTTACGTGAAGTCGCGGGCACAGCTAAGCAAATTAAAAGGGGTGTAATTATCAATAACCAATTAAGAATTTTCCAAAGAGAATTACAATGTGCATTATTATTTATTAATAAAAGGAAATGGTTTGCATTGAGTAATTAACTAAGTGATCACTTATGGTTATTAGAAGGTTACACAATAGAGTAGGAAGTGGAAAAAAAGCTTTTTATCTTTATAAAAAACATCTAAAATGTTGTAATACTTAAAAAAAAATGCTTACACTAGCTTTTGCTCACAGCTTCGCCCGCGTGAAATTTGATGTATAAACAGTAAATTTTTATCAAAATCCGTTCAGTAGGTTTTGCGTGAAAAAGTAACGAACATTTTTATAATAATTGTTTTTTTTTACGTATTCAGGTGAATTTATCGCCAGCTTTGGGAGCGAACTGCGAAGCTGACACAACGGTGAAGCAACCGATGCTCCACGAACTGTTTGACTTGTTGGGAATGCCCATGCGACACACTGGGCTCTCTCTTCTAAGGGGGCCGTCTTCACAGATACACAGGTAAGTTTCAAATTAGTCCGAGTTGGTACAATGAGGGTTTTCGCGAATGATAAATCCGCCAGATGGCAATATGTAGACGCGAGGTCCAAATGCTGCCTGATTGGTTATTTTTGACATGACATTGACAGATATGTCAAAATCCACCAATCACGCAGCAGTCAGACCCCACATCCACGTCCCGCCATCTAGCGGATCTTTCATTCGCGAAAACCCTCATTAGCGTCTTAAAGTTTGTGACACCCAAAGTGGCCAAAAAGTTGATGACATAACACAACTTTATTCCAATTGTAACGAATAGTCCAGTCATTTGGTAGTTTTACCTGGAATGTTTTCCGGGAGTAATGAAAATTGGTATTTATATAGATTTCGATGTGCTCTTTACGAATTTCAACTTTGCGACGTACTACGATAACTCGTACCTACGATTGCCGCTCGCTAAATGCTGCCTAGTAGGAGTTTTTTTCAAATGGTTCCTTTCGGATTAATTTTATGATGTTTTATCAGAAGAAAGAATTTTATGATGTTTTGTTAGAGAAACTAAAACTAGTGAAAAATTCCTATTTTTGATGTCTTTATATTTCATTTATATTTGTTAAAGTAATTAATGTGCTCGAAGGACCTGTCTTATAAAGTTAGCTTAGTTAATTATTTATTGTAAGTAATGACATAATTATTGTAAGTGGGTTGATTAATTATTAAAATTCTTTTAATTTTTACCCGACTGCGCCAGAAGGAGTTTTTCGAGTATACGTATGCATGTATGTCATCATCATCTCAGCCATAGGACGTCCACTGCTGAACATAGGCCTCCCCCAATGCTTTCCATGTTACCCGGTTGGTAGCGGCGTCCAGCGCTTTCCTGTTACCTTTATGATATCGTCGGTCCACCTTGAGGGTGGACGTCCCACGCTGCGTTTTCCGTTACTGTATGTATGTATATTTCTTAGGCACGACCTACAGCCCAAACGGATTGACCGATTTTAGCGTGAGAGGTGACGTTAGATTTGACACTGGCTATATTAAAATTGAAAAAATAAAAAAAAAAACAAAATGGCGGATTTCAGTTGCAGTTTCGTTGCAGTTGCGTTTCACTGGGCCTAAGGCTTGTTTTTATCTTTTTAGTTTATTTTTACGCAGTTGGGTTTTTTGTTTATTCAATCCTACTAATATTGTAAATGCGAAAGTTTGGATGTCTGGATGTTTGTTACTCTTTCACGCAAAAACTACTGAACGGATATTGTTGAAACTTTACAATATTATTGTTTATAACCCAGATTAACATATAGGAAATTTCAATAATTAAATAAGACATGGGTAAAAAGCGCCTTCTATCGTCATTGGTTAAAATCTACAGCACAGTAATTAAACGAGGTTCACGCGTACGAAGTCGCCGGCGGCCGCTAGTAATTTAATATTTGAATATTATTTGCTATCGAATGTCCATTTTAGTACGAAATAATACTAATATCTATATACATAATTTTATGTTTTATCTCTATCTATTTATTTTATCCTTATTTTCTTGTTTAACCGTATTCTTATAAAATAAAAGACATTATTGCCGGTGCGGTGTAAGCTTAAATTCTTAAACAGTCAACAGACCAGCATGGAGAGTGTAGGTCTTTAATTGTCCCCTAGTCCTCCAATAGCATCAAGTGCCGTCAACCAACCGTCCCTGTCATAAACTGGTGTCAAATATCCTGATGCTACGGCTCTAAACGAACAGATGATGATGGTGGATGGTGTTTCAGTTATTGTTCCGAAGACGAAGGCGGCGTGAAGCGGGTCGTACCGCCACCGCGGGCCGCCACCGCAGGCGTCAGACGCGGTACGCGGTGGCGACGCCGGCGACCGTTGCCGGTGCACTGCGTCACGCTGCTACCCCCTGTGCCAGATTATACGGAGGTAAGTGACTTCCCAAAACGCAGCGTGGGACGTTCACCTACAAGGTGGAACGATGACCTCATAAAGCAGGAAGGCGCTGGATGCAGGCCGCTACCAACCGGGTAATATAGAAGTCATTGGGGAGGCCAATGTTCAGTTCTGTTCATATTTTGAAAACAGGATTCCTATTCTTATTTCTTTCGGCTATCTCGTTTTACAGGAGATCGAAAAAGTAAAGGAGCCGAACAGCGAACGCTCGCTGAAAACTCCGTCTGAAGCCAGTATTGACAACTTGGATGCACAGGTAAGAGAGCATGTTGTACTGCTAGCTGCACAGTGGCGGCGTAGCAGCATGGGTTGGCACCCGGGGCGATCACCATGACATAGACCGTAGATTTGCCATGCAGATGCGCCAGTGAGTACTAATCTGTGCGACTTGTATCACCCCCTGATGCTTGGCACCCGGGGCGGACCACCCCCCCCTTATGCCGCTACTTTAGCTGCACATACTGATCTTACACCATTATTAGATTAGAAACAAGAATAGATGAATTACTGAATGGTAGCATTCAACCACTGGCTAAATTAAGCATTGCTGGCTGCCCTGTTTCTAAACCTATTTAATAATTAATATTTTTATCTGGCGCTAAGAGTCGCTTCTCGATGTAAATTTTTAAAAATAATTACAAAAATCGAACTGCCTATGGTGGAAATTGAGCCCACGGATGGGTTCATCCAGTGTCAAAGTAGCTCAGATATAAGAGCAGTCGCCCGGAAAGCGAATGGTCATGGGTTCGATTCCCACCTTAGGCAGTTCGAATTATTCAAATTATTAAAAAAAAAAAATTGTTTAAAGAAGCGCATTTCAAAAGCAAGCTATTAAACATAAATGTGTTGTTCTGTAGTTTTCATAATAATATGATCGTTATTCAGGTACCTTTATTTGTTGAAATACCACCTCTGTTTTTGAACACGTTGTTGAAGGCATCAACGTGATCAAGGGATCACACGTACCGAGCAAACGGACGAGACAGTGCTCTCGGCCGAGTACTCGGTGTGTGTGAACATTACGCCGAGTGCTCGGCCGAGCGCTCGAGTATGTGACTCGCTCACCCAACTGTCTCGACCGAGTAACGGTCATTCTCCGGATCTGGATTATTTTGTTGATTACCCCGACCTTTTTTATTTTTTAATTTAGAGTAAGTTTAGGTAAAACATTTCAAAATATACATTATTACGAGCATATTTTTTATATTGGCCCATCTGTAGCAAGCAGGAATAAAAAGTTATGCGACATCAAAATTTTCATGGTCGGGGTAATCAAAGTTGGGGGTCAGAGTAATCAAAAATAAAACAAAATATTTTATTTTCTAAGGTTTTTTTTAAGTTATGGTAAAATAAATGTTATTATAACTAGCCATTTGTTATTTTGATGTATAAACGACAATATTGTAAAGTTTCAACAAAATCTGTTAAGTAGTTGTTGCGTAAAAGAGTAAAAAACATACATATACATTATACATATAATATTAGTGACTCAATGTCCTATGTCTCCTATATGGGACAGAAGGCGTCCACAACAGTCCTCCATCGCATTCGGTCTTGAGCTTCGTGTTTGATCTCGCTCCAAGTCTTAACAGTGCGCCGCTATGTTTTTTTGGCGCGACCACGTTTGCATTTTCCCTGGGGGTTCCAATCTAGAGCCTGCTTGGGGATGTGATCGGGGTCCCTTCGGAGAGTGTGGCCGATCCAGTTCCACTTGCAGCGTTTATTCTGCTGAAAGATCGGTATTTCGTGGCAGCGTTCCAAAAGTTCGTCGTTTGAAGATTTTGGAGAATTCGGCGAAGACAGCGGCTGAAGAAGATCTGCAGCTGGTGCGAGATAACCTTAGTGACCTTCCACGTTTCACGCCCATAGAGCAGAACTGGTTTGACGTTGGACCCGAATATTTTGATCTTGCTTGGGTCAATTTCCGTGACTGCCATACGGCTCGAAGTTGTGCGAAGGTAGCTCTGGCCTTGGCAATGCGCGAAGTGATGTCCTCTTCGGTACCTCCAGGCTCTGAAACGATGCTCCCGAGGTAAGTGAAATTGTGGACTCGTTGGACATCCTCTGCACCAACGGTGTGCAATTCCTCACTCCAGATCGCATCTCTTGGGTCTTCCGGTACTGATACCCTTGCTTTACCCTTTTTTCGGCACAATAATTAGAAGCCCCTTATGCCAGTCGTCTGGGAGTTCCTCTTCCATCCAGATGTTTTCGAAGACAGGTGTCAGGACGTTAACGGCGGAGTTTACATCGGCTTACAGCATTTCAGCGGTGATAAGGTCGAGTCCAGGGGTCTTGCCAATTTTGAGGGATAATATTATGTATTAATAGGAGATAGGATTTCATTTTAGTAAAGGGTAATTTTGCTTATTAAACGTTATTTAGTTAATCATTCATTAGTAAAATTACAGTATTATTGATTACTCGGTGACAAAAGTCGGGGTAATCAAGGTCGGGGTAGTCAAAAAATTAAGGTTTATCCTGAGCCCTGCCCAATCTGTAAGTTGAATCCCATATGTTTTAATACACAAAAATGCGGTTACATGGACCATTATTCCTGTACATTCTCAAGAACTTTCCATGTAAAGAAACCTAAAAAAACAGGATAGAGTAAATCAATCGTGCACTGAACCAAGGTCGGGGTAATCATATTCTTATCTCGATAACTCCGAAATCCTGCGACGAGTTGCATTACCGATCACCTTGGCACGCAGGCCACCACTAAAGGTTCACGGGGGAGGATAGAGCTCGTTTCTAAATTGCGTAGCTAGGGACGTAGGCGCACATTAGTGACGTGTCGGGGTAATCACGGTTAACGCCCGGACACAACTTCAAATAGTTATTCTACAAAACCTTTTAGTCATATAGTTATATCGTATTTAATTTATCAATGTTTATTTAATCAGTAATCGATTACATAAGCATTGAAAGCGGTAATAATAACGGATTAATTTATACGAGCAAATTTGTTCTGAAATCGGGAGCGCGGACACGTCGTGGTAATCAATTTTTGACGACTTACGATTTTTTTTAAATTACTTAATTAACTATTATTAACTATATCTGTGGTTTAACAACAAGAACCAAAGTTATACTATTAGATAAAAATATTTGTTACTAAAATATTATGATATTCGGGTACTTTTTGGCCCCGGACACGTGATTTTCTTGGCCGGTGGAATGACCCGTAAACATTTTACTGTCTCGCCCGTTTACTCGGTACGTGTGATCAAGGCTTGAATGATCCTTTCAGTCCACCTCAAGCGGGGCCATAACCCCAGCGGAGATTCCGGAGGATACGTGGCGCAGCGGACTGACGACCGCCGCCCGCCGCCGGGTCATGACCGCGTGCGCATGGGGCAACGGCGTGCGGTGGGACCGAGCCTCGGGCCGAGTGGGCCAGTGGGTGCGAATCTACCCTCATGTACTGCCTACGGATGATCAGGTCAGTTTGTTTTAAATCGTTATTTTTTAACCACAGTGCAGCGGAGAAGCTCTTGGTCAGCATGTTCTGCATATAAAATAATGATTACACCGATTTTGGAAGCTTTGACATCATCATCATCATTTCACCCATAGGACGTCCAATGCTAACATAAGCCTCCCCCAATGATTTCCACATCGCATCGCCCTGTTGGTAGCAGCCTGCATCTAACACCTTCCTGCTATAATGAGGTCGTCGGTCCACCCTGTAGTTGGACGTCTCACGTCGCGTTTCCGATACGTGGCCCATCAGTTCTGCGTACTATGTGGCCGGCCCGTTGCCACTTCAGCTTGCTAATCCGTCGGGCTATGTTAGCGACTTTAGTTCATTTACGGAACTCCAATAAGAGCTAATGAACTGTCAAATAGTTTCAAAAAACGGTTCTGTTTGACGTGCGGCGACGGCATCACGCATCTCTTTTTATCACTCTCTTGCTCTCTCTTTGTTGCTCTATTCCGCTAGGTATATTAACTTTATGGTCTAGTCAGTCATATTGATAGAGCATACCAATAGACATGTTGACACCACCAATCAATTGACGTACTTTTTAAAACTGTCAAAACGAAACTCTCCCATAGATTTTGTATGCAAGTAACGTCACTATTTTGTCAACTTAAATAAACTACTTTTTTCAATTACAATGCGATCAAAAATGGTAAATTACACATGCAATTTAAAATTAAATAAGTTTTTAAGACCAGAATGAAGTGTCTTTTTAGAAAAGTTGCCACGTCGAATTTTTGGGGAATGGTGTCAAATAGGTTTGTTTCCTGGGTCAAAAAGCAAGAGTTTTAATTAGTCCGTCAGTTAAGTTATCAAAAAATACTCTACACGTATTTTTCACTTTTTCAAACTAATGAAAATTGAAAGAGATAAAGCGCGCCAAAGTTCATAAGAAGAGGCCCGTGACGTCAATGCGTGCATAAAAGTGCCGCACGTTGTGACGTCGTGCGGAACTTCAACGCACCATAACTATATTTGTTATTGACAAATAAAAATATATGTGTCCAATATTTTTTGATATTAAACATGACGGACTAAAAAAATTTTTTAGGAAACTAGCCTATTGTGTATTTATTTCCAGGCGCCGGTGGAAGATGCCCGCGACAGTGTCGCTCAAGTGTCGAAGTTCCTCCGCGCCGCCCGCGAGGTGTGCCGCGAGGGCGGGCGGGAACCGCGCGCGCCGCGCGACGCCGCCCGCGACGCCGCCTTCGAGGCCGCCCTACGCAAGAAGCTCGACTGCGGCCCGCAGTTCGAAGTCTGGCTTCCGCCGTTCTAATGTGTTCAATAATATTTAGGCAGAGTAAATACAAATGAGTAGGTCATCTTCATAGAAACGCACCGAGCGCGGTTTGTATGCGAGTGTAGTGTTAAATGAATACATACGATACGAGCCAATACGTATGCGGCGCGCACGCTTACTTACTTACTGTTGTGTTCGTTTCGTTAATCGAGTATTTTCGGGCAAGTGGGTGATTAACCTGCTGTACCCTAGTCCGGTGGTGGGGCTGCCACCTCAGAGCTTCTGGACTCGCTCGGTTTTTTCCGCGCACGCACACACTGACAAAATTCAGCGCACCTCACCGCTAATCCACGCTAAACTTTGTCAGTGGGTGCGTGCGCGCCGCATACGTATTGGCGCGCTCACATACAACCGCTCTCGGTCGTTTCTATGAAGATGACCTACCTACTCATTTGTAATTACTCTGGTTTAGGTTTAGGTTATTAATATGTTAGTTATTAATAAATGCTTGCTCAATATAAAACTTTTTTATTTATGCACTTCACTGGTCATTTACGCACGGCTTCAAAAATATATCGCCGGGCCAATTTCGCTAAGCAGATTTTAATTTACGTAAATAAATATAATAAATATGCATAAAACAATGTGAGAGTTGGTTTGGAAAACAAACTACTAACACTACTATACTATAATCCTGATTCCGCTTATAAAGGGATATTATTATGACGGCTACTATAATTAATGGTTCACCTACATATGTAATCCTTTAGTTACGAGTAGTACCTATAAACAAATATTGGGCAACCATACATGCTGGCATCAAGACTGAAGTGATATTACTGGTTTCTTTTTGTGTGTGTATGTAATAACGTCGACATATTAGCGGTTGCAGTCTACGTATGGTCCTTGGGTAACTTTTCCAACATTATCAATTTTGTTTGGCGTTTCCAGATACAATAACGCTTGCTTCAAGTAAAGGCAGATAGGTATGATATCAAATAGTTAATGTTTGCCTACAAATACAATGAACACTTAATTAACTTAGAAACCCCGCAAACAGACTTTTGTGGGCTGATGTTTGGTCGGGCTGATAATTAGCATAGTGGTATGAATATTAACTAGGTATATGGAAATGCGCACATTACACCGATTTGGTATCAGGCGATTCCTCATACAAATTATAAGCCGACCAAACTATCGGCCGAATGAAACTGAGACTGAAAGTCTCTAGTCTGCGGTGTGTCTTACATGTGACTTACGTTTTTGGTTTTGTTCGTGATAATGTAACGCAGAATAGAAGGTGGCGTGACGTTAGCGTTGGGCACTATTTATTTAAATGTTGAGCCCAACTATGAAAACAGTAATTTATTATTAAAATGGTATTCATTGTGTGTATTGGTATTCTCTTTCACAATCTATGTAGGTACTTTTGGTCCGTACATTAAGGATAGCAAAAGAAGTGTTTAGATTCCAAGTAAGAATTTGGTAATGACTATAATAACCAGTTTATTTCATATTTTGAATGTTTCGATTGTCAGTTGTTTGAAGAGACGTGTACGTAAAAGCTTACATTGTCGTCACGAATGAAAAAATGCGAAATGTGAAGTTCCCATGTTTTTGTGGACAACATAATTTTCAATTCAATAAATAATAATTTTGAATGAAGTTATAGTAGTTATTAGTCAAAAATGTCAAACTTTTCATTATAACCTATCTACGTCTAACACTAACAACACGTATGTTGTCAATAAAGCCCTGATCACACGTACCGAGTAATCGGGCGAGACAGTGCTCTCGGCCAAGTACTCGGTGCGTATGAACACAGCGCCGAGTGATCGGCCGAGCGCTCGAGTATGTGACTCGTTCACCTAACTGCTGTCTCGACTGAGTTATGCCAGTATGCTTTGATCACACGTACCAAGCAAACGGGCGAGCAGTAGCGGCGTAAGGGGGGGGCGGTGGGGGCGGTCCGCCCCGGGTGCCAAGCATCAGGGGGTGACACAAGTCGCGCCGAGCGCTCGAGTATGTGACTCGCTGACCCAACTGTCTCGACCGAGTAAACATTTTACTGTCTCACTCTCGCCCGTTTGCTAGGTACGTGTGATCAAGGCATTAAGGCTCACAACTTAAATAGTGCCCTAACTATGTCATTAATTTACGAACACGATAATTTTCATTAGATAATTGACTCCAAAATTCTAAGCAAATTATGAGGTAATCATAATATAAAAAAAAAACTATTCATTCTGTTTCCGGATTCTAACAAAATGGTTGTCTCTATCATTACTAGGACTGGACAAATGGACGAATTGAGGCTCAAAGTGATGGTGTGGAGTGGAATCTACAAGTTACATACTAAAAATCGCTTTCTGGGTATATGCCACGATGTGTACAGAGTTATAATGATATTGTACATATCGATATACACTCTCCAACATTTAATTTTCTTTTGTATGGTAAGAAATTATGAGGTATGATAAATTTTAATATAACTCATTAACTGCAATCAAATGGGACACAAAATTATTCCTTGCGGAAGTCTTTATTAACACTGATCTAGTCTAAAGTATATTTTTTTGAAACCACTCTAATGCTAAAATTATAATTATATAAAATAATAAATAATTCCAAAAAGCATAAATTTTGAAGAAAAAAAATTAATCAGATCAAATGCCTAATATTAATCTGAAGAATTTACTCGTCTTATAGTAAGTTGATTGATGACAACTCTAACAGATTGCTTAGTCAAACTTTTTAAAATATCAGAGTAAACTTTGCAGAATGTTATACGTGGGGACGCAATTGAATGGCAAGTGGCCGTATTCTCTCTAACAATGTTAAATATGGTTATAAAAGTAATAACGATTTACACGCACACTGAGAACATAGATGAAATACATGATTTAATTAAAGGTGAGAGGTGTTATTCCATTTATAAATGCTTGTAAATGCGAATATAAGTAGGTAGCTCCTTGTAATATTTTATAATCATTAATATAATTTCCGTTTCTAGATCCCATGTTTGCTGCAACATGTAAAGAAGATAAAGATGTTATTAAGAAAAATGAATATCACATTGGTTTGTTTATAAGAATCACTTACGTAGGACTGTTGGTATGTATGATTTTGTGGGTGGCTTCAATTATTTTCAATAGAGTTGTGGATGACACTGCTATACCCCCATCGTATTTTCCGTTTGCTACTAATCCGTGGCCGCAGTAAGTTTCTTATATCGTACTAAATAGTACTTCTTGTTTTTGTCTGTTTTTAACCAAATCATTAATATTAATAGATACATATTCGCTACATTTATGGAAACTGTGGGATCCATCCTCTGGGTTGGATTCGGGCACTTCAGTATAGACTGCAGTGTAGGGAGCTACTACGGCCGCGCTGCAGCTCAGCTGAGAATTATAAGATATCACTTGGAGCATTTGTTTGACAACGGCGGAGCTCAGGGCCGTTTCCAATATAAAGATGTTCTAGACAAAAGCTTAGACGAGAAATTTGTTTACTATGTTCGGCGCTATCAGAATGTTGATCGGTAATTTACAATAAAAATATATTGATCAAATATTTGTTATCGTCTGCATGCACTAAACTACGCTCAACATTATTTAAAAAATCTGTTGTCCGACTCGTTACAGGTTGATTGGTAGCGTAAGTGATGCTTTCAACTGGGGTATAGCATTCCATTTCGCCACCGTGACAACCTGTATCAGCTTGTGTGTTTACAGAATGAGCAGTGTAAGTTCGAGTATTTCACTGATTGTTTATGCTAATCCTCTGAATATAATAAATATGCGATCACATTCATGATACCTTCATCAAAAGGCTTCTGTTTAATTTTTAAAACTACCTTTGTTTTGGTTTCAGAAAGACTTCTTCTCGTTAGATGTCTTCTTTATGTTTGCAACATTCTGTCTTTATCAAATGCAAAATTATATGTACTGTTACTGCGGAGACTTAGTCAAAAACGAGGTATCCACTTGAAGTTACATAGTAATTTATCATTCCTAAGAATTGCTCTTGACAGTTGAATAGCTTTAGCTTTCGTAACTTTCATTTTCCAACGTGTGACACGTACAATATGATATCATGATGTTCAACCAAGTAGAGGACGTTTACTGCTACTGCTGTTTTATGATCTAATGTAACATTATTTAACTCGGTTTTTTATTATTTTCCGTTATTTTTATGTCTTTTAAAGCTTAATCCAGATGTTTGGATCTTATGCTTCCAGAAGCTATAATAAATAATAAAGTATTTTTTTCTAATGCTGGTTATTTCCAAATCTGATTTTAGAGCGATCAGGTGTGCACGTCAATGTACTTCAGTGATTGGCTAGCGGTGTCGCCGCGGTTCCGGCGCAAGATTCTGATAGCAATGACTCGCTGGGCGCGTCCGATCGAGCCTCGTGTGACCATTGTACCCATCTCGCTTACTACATTCGCATCGGTATGATAAGTAGTTTGATTTTTTTAAAATTTTGACGACTTTATTACCACCTCAACCTAGACAGACGGATTGTAAACCTTTTCTATTTACCTCTGTCAAAAAAAGGTTGTGCTTTTGTAGCAAAACTAAATGAGCTGATGGTGATGATAATACATTTGAAGAGAGGGTAATCAGTGTCACCGATATCAGCACCATGCTTCGTAAAAATCTTTTTTTTTACTATATCGACTGTCATTGCTGTTTACTGTTGCGATAAAAGACGTAAGTACCTACCTATTCCTCCAAAATTTCGCCTGTCTTGCCTGTTACACTGGAATAATTACTGATTTTATATTAAAGAAATATCTGCTAAGTGGTCATGTTCTAACTTCATTAATAATTAATGTATACTTGTAATAAATCTGTAGAGAGGTCAATTCGGTACATGAATTATATTTTCAAAATAACTATCAGGATTAGTGATCGATACTGATGCCAAAAATGCAATCAGTAAAATTTTTGTCTGTCTGTCTGTATGTTCCTTATAGAAACAAAAACTACTCGACAGATTTTAACGAAACTTGGTAAAATTATTCTTCATACTCCTGGGTAGGTCATACCCATATATAAGAATACTTAAGAATTCCCACGGGAACAGGAATTAGCGACAAAATTCTTTGGTATGAGAAATCTTGACCGCTTAAGTTAGACGCTTGAAATTTGGCATGCAGGTACCTTAGAAAACTTAAAGCTTAGTTACTACAAGGAATTCCCGAAATTACCACGGGAACGGGAATTAGCGGGAAAATCCTTTTGTATGAAAAATCTAAACCGCTTAAGTTAGACGCTTGAAATTTGGCATGCAGGTATCTTAGAAAACTTAAACCTTAGTTACAACAGGATATAGCAAAATTCCCACGGAAACGGGAATTAGCGGGAAAAAACATTTGCATGAAAAAATCTAAACCGCGTAAGATAGATGAAGGGGGTAAAACGGGATCCACGCGTACGAAGTCGCGGGCGGCCGCTAGTTGCTAATAATATTGTTTTGTTCCAGATTCTACGTTTCTCATACACATTGTACACCATGATGAAAACTAGAACGATGTAGATATTGAGATTCTTAATTAGTATTTGCACTATTAATTTTCCTGATCTATGTAATGTAATCCATGTTTTACAATTACCATGCACTTTAGGGGCCCTTAACGTTTGTACGTTAGTCCTCGGATTTCTCAAAAATTTCACCTGGCTTGTCTGTTACATTAGAATAGTTAAGATTTTATACAATGAAAGTACCTAAAGCCCGGTCTGCGAGCACGTAGGCAAATTCAAATTCAAATTCAAATTCAAATTGTTTATTTGCCTACTAAGTGTACATTAAAGGTCTTATCACTAATACATGTGTGCTTATTACTTAGTTACCTAGTTAAGGCATTGCAAAGGTTTGATGGGAGGGCTACATTATTTATTTTTATAAATAAGTAAGTATGAGTAACATTACTATTAAATCAAATATTCTATTGAATATAATATATTATGTTATCTATGTTATATATAATATATTTGCTAAAGACTCAGAGCGCCATAATGAGATATTTTAATAAAAAATTAAAAAGTTTAAAAAGTTAGTTTGTTGTATTATTTATATGTTGTTTTATAGGGTTTGTTATTTAAATATTCGTCTAGTTTGTAGTAGCAGTTATTTATTAAGAATTGTTTTAGCTTGTTGTTAAAAATTGTGTACTTTTGTTCGTTTTTTATTTCCAGTGGTAATTTATTGTATAGCTTGATGGCCATATAGTATGGGCTGCTATTCAGCATTTTAATTCTCGAGTATGGTAGGCATAGTTTTTCTTTATGACGAGTGTTTACGTTATGGGTGTCTTGCATTTTTTGGAATGAGTTTATGTTTTTATAAACAAATGAACATAAATCGTGTATGTATATTGATGTTAGAGTCATTAATTTGTATTTTTTGAAATATGGTTTACAGCTTTGTGTATTATCTATTTGGGCTATAATTCTTACACATTTTTTCTGTAGTAGAAACAAGTCATTGGCATTTACGCTGTTGCCCCATAGCATTATGCCATATTTCAGCCAGGAATATGCGTACGCGTAGTATGTCGTTAATGCTGTTTCTGTGTTGGTGCTGTGTTTGATTTCGAAAAGGGCGTATGTGAACTTTGATAATTTAGTTTTTATTTGATCGATATGTGTTTTCCAATTGATGTTTGTATCTATGTGTAGTCCTAGCAATTTAAAAGTATCTACTGTTTCTAATTGTGTTTTGTCCAGTATTATATTTATGTTTAGGGGAGCTATTGTATATGGTCGGAATTGCATTATTTTTGTTTTATTAAGATTTATTTCTAGGTTGTGTAGTTTAAGCCAATGTGTAATATTTGATAATGTATCATTGATAAGGGTGTTAGGATTTGAGTTTTTTTCGCACTTGATTAAAATAGACACGTCGTCTGCAAAAAGTATGGGAAATGATATTTCTCTATTTAAGATTTTCGGAAGATCGTTAATATAAATTAAAAAGAGTACACAACCTAGTACACTTCCCTGGGGGATGGAACAGGTCATGTCTCTTTCTTCTGATGTGATTATTTCTATTTTGTTCGTTGAAGTGTTGTGATATTCTATTTGGACTATTTGTTTTCTGTTTGTTAGGTATGATTTGAACCAGTTGTATGCAGTACCTCGTATACCTGAGCCATATAATTTGGACAAAAGGATGCTATGTGACACTTTATCATATGCCTTTGTCATATCTATTAATATGCTTAAGGCATATTTTTTATCATTTATGTGTTGAAGAGCGGCTTGGATGTATTTATACACTGCCAAGGTGGTTGACCTAGATTTCCGGAACCCATTCTGACAATCATCTAAGATATTAAATTTTTCTAAAAACGTGTATAACCTATTGCACATGGCTTTTTCAATTACTTTAGAAAATGATGGTAAGATTGCTATTGGTCTATAATGTTTGGGATTGCTCTTATCGCCTTTTTTATGAACTGGTTTAACTAGCGACATCTTTAGTAGGTTTGGAAATTCACCATCGCGGAAACTCTGATTAATTATAGAGGTGAGAGGTTGAGATAGTTCTTCTGCACAATGCTTTAGTAGTTTTGGTGGAATACCATCTACACCATAGCTATATTTGGTTTTTAAATTGTTTATAATTTTCATTATTTCTTCGTTTGTAACGGGTTTTAGGTATAGTGAATTTACTGGGGGGTCAATTACAGGTTGTCCTATATTGATATTTTTGTTATTGTTTTGGCCGACAGTAACAAAGTAGTTGTTGAAGGTTTCTGTTATCTCTTTTGGACAGTCTATGATTTTATTATTGATTACTAGTTGCATGTTTTTATATTTTTTCTGTTTATTTTTTCCCGTTTTGCTATTTATTATATTCCACATAGTTTTTATTTTGTTATCGGAGTTTTTCATTTGTTTAATATACATTAACTTCTTTGAAGTTTTGACACAACGTTTTAATGTTTTCGTATATGATTTGTAATAATGATTAATGATTTCACTATTTGTTTCCTTTGCAAGTTTACCTAACGCTCTTTTATAAATGCATGATTTTTTTATTCCTGTTGTTAACCATGTTTTTTTTGTAGTATTCTTAATTTTTATATTATTCATCGGAATATGTTTATTTAGATTATTCTTTATTACTGTTATGAATGAATTATAGTTATAGTCTACACTTTTATTTTGATCTATAATATTATCCCAATTCTGCTCTTTTAGCGAATCTTTAAACATATTTATGTTGTTTTTTGTAAATATTCTTTTTTGTTTGTAAATAGTATTATTGTTTTCGTAATGCCAATCAGAATTTAGTTTAACATGAACAGCTTTGTGGTCAGATAGGCTATAGTCCTCAACGTAAGATTTTTTTACTAGGCTAGTGTAATTTGTGAATACTAAGTCAATACAGGATGAAGTTGTTTTAGTTACCCTCGTTGGTTCGCGGATAAGTTGTTTTAAATTAAATGAGTTCATTGTATTTATAAGCTCTTGGGATTGTTTATTGTTTACATGCATATTTATATTAAAATCTCCCCCTATCACTATGTATTTGTTTTTGTCTTTCGTGTTTAGTTTTTTTAGCAGTTTATTGATTTGTTCGTAGAAAGTATCAGTATGGCGGTCTGCTCTGTAAAGTCCTATTACAATAGTATTTAGTTTAGGTATTTCTATTGCACAAAATTCTATAATAAATTCTACAGAATAGTTAACTATATCAGTTCTCTCAATGAAATCTATGCTATCTTTTATCATTAAACAGACACCTCCTCCCTCATAATTTTCTCTGCAGTACAATGATCCCAGTTTGTAGCCTGGTAAATTAATAGAGTTACAATAATTTCTGTTTTTCCATATTTCTGATAGTAACATAATATCAATATTAGAATCTGTCAATAAGTGCTCAATCAAATGTAATTTATTTCCTATACTTTGGATGTTTTGGAATGTTATAAGTAATCCACTATCGAAATGTCTGGTTGTGCGTAGTTGTTGTTGTCTTCTTACTGTTGTGGGCATGGCGCTGCTGGGGCGCCGGGGTGGGGTGGGGCTGCGGTGGCTGGGACGACTGGGTCCGGGACGACTGGGCCTGGGACGACTGGGCCTGGGACGGCTGGGCCCGGGACGACTGGGCCTGGGACGGCTGGGCCCGGGACGACTGGGCCTGGGACGGCTGGGCCCGGGACGACTGGGCCTGGGACGGCTGAACCTGGGACGGTTGGGTCTGGGATGACTGGGCCTGGGACGCCTGGGCCTGGGATGACTGGGCCTGGGACGCCTGGGCCTGGGACGACTGGGCCTGGGACGGCTGGACCCGGGATGACTGGGCCTGTTATTTTTGACATTTTTGTTATTTCCTACTCTATCTTTTCTGTATAGTTAGAAAGGAGCGGCATTCGTTCTTTCATTCATCCATTCATAGAGTGTGAAGTTCACAGATATGGATAGATGCAGCATGTGTCAAAAATTGTATGAAGCCGAGCGTGCCACTTTTTAAACGTCATTAGTGTCATTTTAGCGAATTTTAGTGATTGCCGCAACGTAAAAGTAATCGTATCATCGTACTGCATTCGCAAAGTCATCGAATGATATCGTGTGACTCGATTCGAAAATTAATTAATTCCGATAAAACTGATAATTTGTTAAATACAAAACCAAAAACATCTTTATTTACCTTTTTAAAATAAATTAATTCTTACAAATCGTCAAATCTCGTTATTTTTTTTACCCTACCAGCGTTTCAAGACATAAATTTGTCAAGTGCATGAATACATGCATCAGTGTGTGTCTTATTGTTATGAGTAAGTACGGTTCCTTGGGATCGGTATGAGTGCACCACATACAGGGACCATGGTTTTAACTCTTAATAGTACATCGCAGGATATGTATTAAAAACAATACTACTTTATACTTCTTCTACTGCTACTTTATTCTAATTAATTATTTTCTACTTGTGCTGTTAATTACAATTCTCAATCCGTAAATAATATCTTCTTTCTACTGTGTTCGTACTACTGTTCTCGTAAAATCATCGTAACCGATTGTTGTAATCGGATTACATGAACATCACTCGACCATGTATGTCCATTTGGACATATCGGAATGGCACGCTTTGACGATCAACTTGCTGTATCTACTCTAATCCATATCTGTGGTGAAGTTGGATACGTTAACATGTTCACCAACATGACATCACAAAACCATCGAATTATCGCTGGCGAGTAAAGTATACGGTAATTGAACTCATGGTATGATTTTAATGCAAACTTCATCGATCCACGTTTAAACTCTATCGATTGTAGTATACGAATACAAGTTTTCGATGGCAACTCATGGTAGAGGCACAGTTCGCCATGCACGGCCGGCAACTCTCATGTCGGATAAACTCGGTCACGAAAGCGCCCATGCAATTTATTATGAACTGCAACTGTGAAGTATGAGTGCAGATCTATTGTCCTTCTGAATTCGAAATTGTACTGTGTGGTACAAGTTGTCTCTGGAAGTTGCATTCCGCTCATGGTCCTGATCCTGGTTGCAGATAAAATATGCTTTGAAAATAAAAGTGAGAAATCCAAACTTTGAAGAACTCTAGTGACTCTAGCTATTGCGCAAAACACAATACCCTAGTATTATAAGTTACTAGCTTAAGCCCGCGGCTTGTTGTGAAATTTTGTCTGTCGCAGAAAAATTTCATCGCGCGCGCTCAAAAACCTGATTAAAACTATCCTACGTCCTTTCCCGGGACTAGAAACTATTTCTTTACCAAATTTTATCAAAATCACTTCAGTGGTTAGCGGTAAGCGTGAAAGCTTAACAGCCAAATAGAACAGTTACTTTCGCATTAG